AACATAAGTTTTTGTCACAGACTGCTATAAGGAACGGTTCTGAACCACCTGCACCTATTTTTCTATACATATAGTTATTTCCATAAGATAGACCAAACACTAACAAACAAACTTTATTAATTAAAAGCTAGTAAAAATAAAGATTGTTCTATGTGGCGTTAATTGCTCGGCCGCGTATGATACAGCGAATAACTTATTAATGTTATTGATTAATAAACCGTACTCCATTCGGGATTTTAAGGTTTTTTTAATGGGTGAGAATGGAATGATGACCCCATCAGACGGGGCACCAGTGAAGGGTGACAAGTGAGAATGAAGGCAAATCAGTTGGCCCATAGTAACCAATTGAACAAAAATTAACCACTATGGTATCCTGGAGGAACCGAGTGGAGATCGACCCGATACATCCTGTATTTACTAGCAATGGGGCTGTTAAACCTCATCGCTAATAATCCCTTTACCCCCTGGGGTTTTAAGATTTTTTAATGGGTGAGAATGGAATGGTGACCCCGCGTGTGTTATCGGTATACGCTGGCAGGACACTAGTGAGTAGTGATAGATGTGAATCAAACTAGGTCAGTAAGACCATTATGACGAATTTCGCAAGAACTAATCACGATGATTTCCATGGGGAACCGCGTGGAGGTCAACCTGATAGGGTATATTGCTAAAAATGGAACTGGTTTTTTTTTTATAGGTGATAATGAAATAGTAACCCCACCCGCGCTATCGGTATACGCTGACAGGGCACCAGTGAAGGATGATAGACGAGGATGAAACAGGTCATTTAGCCCATCGTGACGAATTCAACGAGAATTTTTCACGATGGTTTCCAGGGGGAACCACGTGGAGGTTGACCTGATAGGGCATATTGCTAGCAATGGGGCTGTCAAACTCCATTGCTAACAATCCCTTCCCCACACAATGGGACTGTTAGACCCCATTACTACATTTCTTTGCCGCCGGTTTTTTAATGTTCTACTGTTAAATTAACTAGCCAAGCCACAAGCCACAAGCCAAGTCACAGCCTTTGTGTATAAAGGAGTTGGTCTAGAAACTCTTGATGCTAAAGGGCGACACCCTCACAGTGGTAGTTGTAGAACGTGAAGGAGTCCCTTACGGGGTAGTCAGATAGAGAGAGTAATGAACCCTTAAGTAGCTCCTAGAATACGTTTGTAGAACGTTGACTCCGTCTATATCAACACGCTCTCGTCAGTTTTATTTTTAAATAAATAACATTGAAAGTTTATTAATAATTCAAGATAAATAGTGTTATCTTTTAATGCGAATTAGAATTACAATTTAATCCCTCCGATAAGAAAAATAATTTACAAGCTTTTAGATATTAGATAAAAATGTATCCAAGCTAGGGTTACGAACCTAACAGATATCATTTTATCTCACTAATCCTACTAATAAATATTATAAACTAGTTGATCCCACAGACGTGTCGTCATGTACAAATTACAATTTTGTCTGTGAAAAGTATAAATGAGTAAATAGACATCTTTTTATATGGAGCATTGCTTGTAAAAACATTTTTTTGAATATTTATATTTGAGATACAAGTTTAATACTTTTGAACGTCATGCGGAATGACCTTCAAAAGGAAGTAAGAAAAATTGCCAACCTGATAGGTGTAGTTCTTATCGTCAGTTATGATCGAGAATTTTAGAATGAATTCGGAGATCTTTGACAATTTTTAAACGATTTTATTAATATTTTTCTAATAGAAACTGTTTTCATTTTGACCAGTTCCACTTGTCCCTACCAACTTACCCCCCTGAGGGGTAACAGTGGTTAAGAATTATTTACTATTTATTTTTTGTAAAAAATATTTAATTGTCACTACGATTCATAATGACCTAAGTAAAGCCATAACAATATCAAAATATATAACAATTTCACATTTATAGGCAATGCTTGTTAAGCAGATAACAAGTCGGTCATAATTGAAAGGCGCCACAAAGCTCTGCAGGCCCACGAAGTATAGTTACATGGTGTCAACGAGACCCATACGACGAGGCGAGAGCGGTAACGAGCCACTACACAGCGACCGCGGGCCCTCACTAAGCACGGTGATTTGAACGCGAGGCACCCCTAGCACGGATCTAAGGCCCATAGACGTACATTCAAATAGATGGCGCTCTAACACGTGGTTGGTACAGTACAAGTTCAGTCCGGCAATCCAAACCATACACACACAGTGGTCTCCCGCATTAACCAGCCAACTCGAGCTAAATTTTGATTCAAAGTTCCCACGTTAATTAATAAATTATTCAGACTCGATACAATCTGATAATAATCTTCTTCCAATCACATACCTTCCAATTTAAATACGTGAATTAAACCAATATAAATAATTTCAAGAGAATTGACAACATTCTTTTTAATCGTAGATACTTTCGAAGCAATTTGGCTTATCAGGGTCGCGCTCACGTCACAGCCACTCATGATTAAGGGTTCCGGATGGCCTAGAAACTAGTCGAGCTTTTTCCTAGAATTTCACTACAAATTGTCATCACCAGACTAGAACACAAAATAAAAATAGCTGCTTAGTGGTAGAAATAGGTGCGATAAAGATATTTACATACTTAGTCTCTGGTTCCTTTTTAAGGATTTGTTAATTTTTTTATTTAGAGATTGGGAAATGTTCCATCCCATATCAGGTCTTTAATGAAATTCTTTCCTGCACTCAATAGAGAGTAATTAGTCAGTAACCACGATGCAATACGTTCGAGTCTCCTAAACTCTCAGACGACCCGTAGTCTACAAGTCAGTCGGCTTGCAGACTATAGCAATTACTGTGAAATTAGCGGCAGGAATGCGGATACGTGGAATTACAGTGCAAGGAAGTACAGTTTCAAACTGTTGATTTTTCAAGAACCTCATTAAGGAATTCCTTTTCACAAGATTACATAGCCAACATATTTCTTAATTTCTACCGTTATTATATACTAGCTACTTTATCACGTATACGTTTTTTAAATATCTAACAATCTCTTGGCGAATCAATAATATTTATGGAAATTATATTGCATGAAGATTCTTATGCGTGACTACGTTCATACTTTGTACACGCTTACTCCATATTCTTAAAACTTACAATTTATATCTTTAAAGCATAAAATATCCCGAAGTTAAACTGTCTCCAATGCGCGACAATAAATAAAAAATTAAGCATTTTACTATCATATTATACGGGTTTACGCTCTTTGAATTAGACAAGAATGATTTTTTTCGAAAGTTTAAAAATGCATAGTAATAAACGTAAAGTATCTCGACAATTTGTTCATTCCGATACAGTAACAGTGAAGACGCTTCAATGACGCCTCAATTCAATATCAACTGGGCAACTGAAGCATCAGGTTCAGCTCAGTCGACGCACCTCCGCCTCAAGTGACACTAGACATTGGTTGCTCAAAGGCGAGTGTTTGCCCCTTTGTCTTACTGGCCAATTAGTGCAGACCGTTCATTTAATTCTATCGGTCGATTAGCAACGGAGCCAGGTGGCCATTAATTGTTTGCCGCCAATTTGTATGCGCTTCATGTTTGGGCGCCAACGTTACGGTTATGCACAAAGTGATCTAGAATAGTTATTGCCCTACCTACTGGTGCGGTTGAGCTCGTCATTACTTTAATGATCCAATCAGATCAATTTGAAATCTTAATAAGGAGAAGAGACTGTCACTAATAATCGCATTACCAGCAATATACTCAGATCAGATCAGATCGACCACATCTGGGTTTTCGACGAATTCATCCTGATGAATTCGTCGAAAACCCAGATGTGGTCGATCTTACAGTTTTTACCCCTAAAAACTGTAATGTATCCTGATACATTACAGTTTTTAGGGGTAAAAACTGTAATGTATCCTGATGAATTCGTCACGACCGGACTAGTTATTTGCGATGAATAATAATAATAATAATCAAATAAAAGGAGTAAATAGATGAGAGTAACAAATTAATTTTGTTAATGCAAAGCGCCGTATTTTGGTGCCAACAGTCTGCATCAGATATATGAGTTTATTTGCTAAAACTCTGATTTTATGTTGCTTATTACAAATATCCGCCTTGAACACATGCAAATGTATATTCAATTTCACTTTAAAGTTCAAGACGCAAAAATATCTGACGCAACATCGTATTCCTATGATCATAAATCATTGCTGAGTTAATATTTGTCTTGTCTACCTAAGAGTTTGAAAACTTCTAACTGGAGAAGCCCGCATACGAACTTTTATTTTTATAAGATTAGGAAAGAGGATTGGATAGATTTGTGGAAAGTTTAGTCTAGTCGGCCGATTACTTCAGTTCTCGTATTTATATTTAAAGACTGTATTAGTTTTATAAAAACTTTTATTCTTTATCCAAGTTTCACTTTATTAAATTTTACAGGAACATCAGACAAAATGAGGAATTATGTTTTGTATTCAGTTTCATTAGCGTCTTCTATTTATCGTAGCATAACGTTATCGAACTTACCAATTTCTGTACTTTTATTCAAATATAATGAGTAGTTCAGAGTTCAAAAAGTTTTTTGTAGGAGCCGGTATAGCAGCGGCGACAGATCTTAGGCAACCTTATAACTTAACAACTCATATTAGACCTGTGGATAGATGGATACCATAATCACATATCACAAAATGGCCAGGAGTAATGGTGTCATACTACTTTAAAAAATAAAGGACAATATTTGTTTTCTCTGTAAGATATTTTCTTGTGATTTTTGTTTTTGCTAAGTTTACTATTGCAATATTTTAGAAGATATAATAAAAAGTATTTGCTTATCTACATAAGTAAAAGTTTTAAACGAAACAGTCTAGCTACATCGTAAGCGTGGATTTGAGAAGTAGGAAAACTAATAAAATAAAACCACTTTTTTAAGTTTGAGACTCAGGAACACAGCTCTGAAAATCTCATCCAATTTGGTGTAGTAATTTTTACATAACATACAGAAAAACAAAATTTTTAAAACATATTTTATAGACCTCTAATATCAATTTTTCTTAAACACCTCCCATGTACAGACATCGTCTAGTTACAATTTTATTATACCAGTAAGATAAGATTAAATTCTCCACATTAAGATCTATCTTATAGCGTATCTATGTAGTTCCCAATATAAAATGGGCCACCACCCCTTCCTTTCCTGTGGGTGTTATAAAAAGCGACTAAGGGAACTTAATCGTCTAGAGATGGGCAGCAGTGTCAGCAGGATCAGCAGTGGACAGTTATGATTAAGAGGGGGAAGGGATTGTTAGTAATGGAAACTGAGAATCCCATTGCTAGCAATATAGCCAGGTCGATCTCTTTGCGGTTCCCCCTGGAAACTATCATGGTTAATTCCTGATGAATTCATCATGATGGGCTAACTGGCCTGTTTTCATTCTCATCTATCTCCCTTCACTGGTGCTCCGTCAGCGTATCCGGTTAGCGCAGGCGGGGTTACCATAACCATTTTCACCCATAAAAAAAAGGTATGATTAAGATCCATATATGAATAATATAATGAGCGGATTTGAATAGTTTCTGAGAAATTCGACTTATCTATTTTTCAAACTGATAACAACAGCAAACAAGTTAAAGACCTTCATCGTCAAGAAATCAAAAATCGACTAGAAAAAAAAAATAAATCGAATCGGTACAATCGAGTTTTGTCTCAACAAAGACTTTCCTCGTCAAGAAGTCAAAAATCGATTAGAAAAAATCAAAAGAAATCGAATCGATACAATCGACTTTTGTCTCAATAAAGACTTTCCTCGTCAAGAAGTCAAAAATCGACTATAAAAAATCAAAAGAAATCGAATCGGTTCAATCGACTTTTGTCTCAAACAAGACAATAGAGCACAGGGAAATTAGTAGGAAATACTTGACCTAAGTCTACTTGTGATTGGTAAGTCGAAGAGACTCCACTTGTAATGACAAAGCTATGCGCCCCGCACGGTCCTCCAAGCCTAATCCGTTTTCTCGTGTTACTAAAATGGTGTAAGAACCAATACGGACGCAAGGGATGAATGTGTTTATGTATATTAAACATATGTTACAATGTCTATGATCAATTTAATTATCTTTAAATGCAGCTCCATCTCTTATAAATTAAATAAATTTGGTTGAAATTATCAAATAAAATTTAACAATCACTTTACCTACTCATTTCAAAATTAAAATATCGGTGCGGGGATTGTTAGTAATGGGGTTCCATTTTTAACAATATACCCTGTTACGTCGACCTCCTCGCGATCCTCCGTGGAAACCATGTTGGTGAATTCATCACAATGGGCTGACTTATCTGACTTCATCCTCATCTATAATTTTTCACTGGTACCCCGCCAACGTATACCGAAAACACAGGCGGAGTTAGTTTTATGTTGTACAAATTAAATAGTCATATATATTTCTATAATCCATTAAATGTATTTATTTATACTTTATTGTACACACTATATATACATAATAATACGTAAAAAATATGACAGATGTAAACAAATGAACAAAGGCGAGCTTAACTCTAGGAGTTCCCTACTAGCAAACTCAAAATTAATTAATTTATTTTAATTCTCAAAGAACTATTAGTTTTAGTTATTTAAGTAACAAAAATGACAATATTTGGGATTATTTGTATTAATCGATAGAGTTTAATTTTATACCGATTAGAGATGGGCAATCCACCTGGGTGGGTTTAAAGTCTGGTGGGTAAAAACCGGGTGTTTTGGGTTTATTGGGTTTAAACCCCATAAACACCCAAATTTTTGGGTGTTTATGATTTTGTACTTCATCATCGTCATCTCAGCCGCAAGACGTCCACTATACTGGACATAGACAATATTATTATGCAGCCTACAGAATAAAAAACTTTTAATTTGATTTTGAGTTTATTAAGAAAGAGATGAAAGTAAAATGTAAAACTACAGTCAATCACTGTCAGATTCAGAGTTATTACAAGCGATGAATTGTATAGGTTCGATAGGCTCTATTTCGTCTAAACTGTTATGTTCATTTACTTGCTCAATGAAAGCTTCTAAGGTATTTTCTTCATTAAACTGAATGTCCTCGCATTCAGCTTTATGTTTAAGATTCCAGTTATAACAAATGAATGAAATTTTTTCAGTTCTTTCAGTTGTAAGTCGATTTCTTTTGTTATTATGTATGTAGCCTTGGATACTAAAGGAACGCTCAGTGGCTGCCGAAGTACAGGGAGCTGATAGAATACGAATCGCTACTTTGCTTAACTCAGTGGAACCACAAATACCTTTCCACCATATTAGGGGCTCAATGCTATCTAATGAGCTCCATACAAATCCTCTGGCCCAAAAGTTTTCTTTAGCTTTATAACACGCCAAATCTGCCATTACATTTGACAAACTTAAGTGTTGGCTTAAATTGTAGATAAACTCCATACCCTTAAGTTCTTCCTCTTGAGTAAGTTCGACTCCTAGAGTCCTGGGGTCTAGAATATATGCTGCAAAATGTATTGGCCTCATTGCCATATTGCATCTTGAAGATACTGATGTTAGAATCTGCTGTTTGCTTTCTTCGCTCAATGTCGAAATCTCATTTAATGCAAAACGTATCTTAGCTTGTACATCTCTAAATGTAATGTATGTGCGATGCAAACGATTCTGGTCGCTCTCTAAGTAAAATATGCTTTCAGTGACTGGTTCCAAAATACTTATACATTCCCCTGTCTTCGTCCAGAAATCATCACTTAGAATTAAATCTTTAATATCTCTTGAAATTACCACATCTTCTCTAACTGTTAATATTTGCAAAGCTATCTTATTTGCTTTCAAACTTTTTAACGAAGTAACATGACTTCCCCATCTTGTAGCACAAGGCAATTTTAGTGTTTGTGTAGAATCTTCACCCTGCCTTGATTTTATCAACAAGGAACTTAATCGTTGACTCCTTTTAACAGTTTTTATTATATTTATGGCTTGCATAATAAACACAGTTACTTCTTGTATCTTTACAATATCTTGGCACAACAAGTTAAGGATATGTGCACAGCAACCGAGAGGAACAACATGTGGATATTTGAGTTTTGTTAATTCGAATGCCTTTTGTATATTTCTAGCGTTATCGCCAATAAGTACAAGAAACTTATTTGCTCCATACACTTTCATTACTTTTTCAACTTCTTGGCTAAGGTATTCACTAGTGTGAGGATTACTTTCTGTATTCAAACTTTTAACGTATGCAGGTTGAGGTTTTGATATAAGAAAGTTTATTATTCCTTCATTTCTTAAATTAGACCAGCCATCACACTGAAGGTGTAAGTAACTACAAGCATTTAGTTCCTCATTTAACTCAAAACGCATTTCTCTATATATTTTATCTAAGTATTTTGTCGCTAAAGCTTTACGTGAAGGTATTTTAAATTTTGGTTGCAATTTTTCGAAAAATTGTATCCATAAAGGATGTTGCACCATCGATAATGGCGTCCCTGTTACAAATATAGCTCTCGCTAATTCTGTTTTTATATGATCATCGGTGTCTTGAAACTCAGCATTTATTGTAGTGTTAGCAGACGACGAGGGGCTTATAAAAGAATCATTTGTCTCTATCTCTGACAGTCCAGACATTTTGGTTTTGGACGAGCTATCTTTTATAAGTTTCATAGAGTCTTTTAATGTTTCTGGAGATTTTGGACAAGTGATAAGATGTTGAAGCATTTTGGCAGCATTACTGAATTTGTAGACCTTATTACAAAGCTTGCAAGAAACAGACTTGTTTGGTAAAGTACGGTAGTGCTCCCATATGCGTAAATCTTTAGGTCTCCCCATTGAACCTAAAAAAATGAACGATGATTAGTTGGTCTGACGAAAATTCAACAATAGAGTGCCTATTTTTTTACAATGATTATTTCTTGTTATTTACAATAAATTTAATAAAAAAAAAAATAAAATAAATACAAAAAACCTTTGTAAAATTACATCTCCTCGGAGGATTAAACGCAGACGCTAGTTTATTATCGTATTGTTCTGTATTTTTCTCAGCAACTTCTTTAATTTGATTAGGTACTTACGCATATTATGTTAAAAATAAATATCTAGTACACATCTTAGGCTATCCACCATTATTATCCAATGACGACTCTCAGCTAACTATGCACTATCATCCAAAATAAACGTGTATGGAAAATTTTATCCCAGTCGGTTGAGGATTGAGGATAATTGCATCAACATACGAACATACCTACATACTTTTATTTACATAACGCAAGCTAAATAAAAGCTTGTAATAATACATCTAATTTTAAGTTAAAATTGTTAAGTGATCATGATATAATTGTATCATTCAAAAATCCACTTACCTTTAATTATTTCTTGTTAAGTATAAATATTATTTCAAATCTGCTCCCTTAATATGCACTTTTTTACTGCTTTTCCTACCTAACACGTTACCAGGAAGTCACGTTACCAGAGTCAGAGTAATAGTGAACACGTTTGACAGTGATTGTCGTCGCCTCATATTCAGCGTCGACGAATAGGGGAATCCCCAGTCATAATGTATTGCATGCGTGGCGGTCTTACTTCAAATCCATAAACAAAGAGATAATTACAGAACTCGATACTAGATGGCGCTGTTTTTGTTTGAAGAAAGTTTGCGGGCTAAAATACATAGAATTTCATCAATGACTTCCACAAAGAACAACATTTCTGTTTTTTCTAAGTCCGTATCTCTTCCGTATATTTCATAAGATATAAGCTTGGGCTACATTGTTATGCAACGTGATTTTGTCGCTGTCTTGCTAGCAGGGTTGACAGATATACGATTTAAATCGTACTCATACTATTATTTGTCTATTTTTTAATGTACGATCGTAAAGATTATGATCGTAATTCGCACAAAAACATACGACTTTTTGGTTACCTGGCAACATTTTTATTATGAAACGAACATGCTCACATCATCAGTCACATGCAACAATTTATTGGGGATTTCCCCTTCACATCTGGCAGTCCTGCTTGCTAGAATATAGGTAAGTCAGCCACAGTTACTGACGATCGATATTTAAAGGGTATTGTTTTTGTGCTAAATATTTCATAAAAACGTTATTTAATACTTTGTGGATTATTAATTTAGTTGATAATCACTGGAAGTAAAATGGATGCTAATTTGAGAGATCAAGATCTTCGTATAAAACAGTTAATAAAAGAAAATCTACGTAAGTACTCTTTTTATACCTAGGTAGGTAAGGTATAATAAACACAAAAGGTACTTAGATCGCGTGTGTTCGAAGCATTTATTCTAATAAATTTAATTTAAAATTGTAGAAAGAAAAAAATGTCTGCCAAGCCGTAGCCGAAGCCGATCTCCAAATATATTTGGCGATAGTGAGACCCAGTGTCCAGATGATTTACCCAGCGTCGTCGCAACAAAGAAAAAAACGAGGATAAAGTAAAAGAAAATTTACTGAAAGAAGAAACAAACTGTTCTAAATGCTTAATTTATGGAGAAGAGGATAAAAGAAATGAGTATTTCGGACTGTTAGTGGCTCAAGAATTTAAATATATACGGCCATGTGTGCGAACGAGGTGTTATGAAGAAATTTTAAAGTATCTACGGGAAGCAAAAGGCCAACATGTTGATCAACTGCAACATGAAAACACTGAAAATTAATTACTTTCATTTTATTATATATAGATTTTTAAAATTTCCTGAAATATTATTAGTTAACGTTTTATTTAATATTGTAGAATTGATCAATACAATTTATAAAAATAATTTATTGGTATTACTTACATATTTTCAAAAAAATACGTAAAAACCTTTTTTTTTGGGTGATTATGGGAGTTTATGGGTGTTTATTGGGTTTTTACCAAAGCACCGGGTTTAAACCCGGTGCTTTGCCCATCTGGAATACCGACACGTAAATTTTAGCTAGGTGGATTTTTTTTTAAATAAATTTATAAACAGATTTGATTTCTTGATTGGAATGAATAAATTTCAAAAAATATTTAATCAACAATTAGATACATTATCAGCGAATAATAGCACCAGTATTTTTTTAAACCGTACGGAAGGGACCAATCGCCATTAGCAATATACAAGCCCGTACAATTTTTCAAAATATTTGTTGTCTTATCCTTTTATTGCTGACTGTATTAATTATGAATTAAAAAAATAACCAGTCGTATTCCTTTGCTACTTTTTAAATAAAAAAAAAAAATAAGTACTAGCTACGTGGTATGATACTTTAATAATAAACGAATGTCCTTCCCAACTCGGATACAAAGTTTAAAGCGGTTGTTATGACGTTATTCCCCGCGGGGTCGGTATTAGCGCACTGTCGCGTCTTCAGAGGGCGGCGAGATCAAAGCTAGGTACACACCAACCGGTCCCATTGATGTCGCGTACAAAGGGAATTGATTGTTGCAAACCTCTTTTTAAAAAAAAAAAAGATAGCACACGGATTGATTACACATCTACTTTTTTATTGTGTTGTGTGCCTCCCTTTGTTTACTTCGTCATTTTCTTTATTTGCGCCGCGTATTCTTTTATGATTTTGGCGGTTGAAAGGTTAATTTTATGTTTGATAATATTTCAATACAATTAAACATTATATAAAAAGATTAATATTATTTGATACCTATTACGTAGTCACTACGTGGTTACGTACCTATGTTAATTACGTGCGCATTGACAATCTTTGTATTTTAGATATATTATGTAATTTCATATATTTCAGTTTATTGTCTTTAACTCATGGATGGACAGAGAAAAAACGAAATAGGTTTCCATTTTAGACAATATTAGCCTCTATTTTTATAACTATTAAATATTTATCATCAATTTGCATTAATTCTGTCCAAAAATTACGTTATTTCTTCTAACATATATATATGTAAACAAAAAAATTTAAGAAATGGTAAAACATAAAACTCGAATGAGCCTATGGTTGGTGGCACACGACAGACTGGTGGAAATAAAGTTGCTGGATTTGGATACCTACAAAAAATATAGAAACCAAATACTTAAATATTCTAAAAATTGTGGTCAAATTGTGTGTACAAATTATATTCTTTTAATTTTGAAGATAAAGCCGACTAACTATATAATCTTTAACACTTAAAAGCATTTCAAAATTATTATCAATAATGCTTGTTAATACTGTTTAATTATTTCAACATTATTCAACTACAAATAGAAATGTAACTGGTGAAAATTGAGCACTATTAAGCCTAATATAGAACTAAAAATTCATACATAATGTACATGCATTTGTGATTTTTATTTAAATACATATCTATAGTTATCAGTAAGCTTTGGTATATTGCTATGAATATTATATGATATCACATCATAGTAAATACAATTTCACAAATAAAGTATGTTCAATATGGTGGGATAATAAAAATGTGGATTAAAACAGAATCTCAGAGCGAAAAACTTGTATATTATTTTATTTGAAATTTGAATGAAACCCTGATAAAGTTTATCACTTATAATATTAATATATGAGAATAAAAGTATTCCTAATAAACAGACATCAGAAACCTTATTTTTAATACATGATCGGGACTTAATGAGTAGTAAAAGCATTCAGAAATCTTATTGATATTACATACAGATATCTGTCTATGAGCCTGCCTTATGAATAAAAAATAATCTGGTATTTGACATTTATAATTATCTACTTCAAATATTACATAAAAATTTTAAAATAATTACACATGAGACAATTTCTCTGCTTTCTTCACATTTTGACAACAACTAATTAAAAATAAAACCTTTTAATAGCGACAAGATTCTAAATAATATTAATTGAACCTGCATTCCTGAAGCTTTATGAGCCTAATGTTTCCAAGTTAAAGGTAAGTATAGAATTAATTTTAAATAAGTGATATTTCCGACTATATGTAATAGGTATCTATGTCATTTAGGGAAATTAATAATTTAAATCGTGTAACAGCAGTACAATCTACAAAAATATTTTATTTAGCATTGTTTGTAATTGTGTTACAAGTTGCAGGAGACGATAAGGTTGCTAAAGACATATATTTCAACTGACAAAATTAACAAATAAAAATGATTTTCTATACTAAATACAAATATTGGAAATTAAGATAAAAATGGTGAGGTGACACTTGAACCTAGTATGTGCAGTACTAAATTAACAATTATTAAACGTTTTAATAAACAATTTTCTTAGTGCACTGCATGCATAAATATAAATATGAGTCCATATATCAAATATAAGAAGTATGCTATAAAAACAATTTAACATGTTGCTTATCTAAACAATAATGATTAAATATTGTTTAGTTGGTATAATTATGTTTATTTATAATTTTACATGCCAAAATCTATAGATTATTATGATAAAATGTATTACTGTGTTTAAACCTTTTACTTTTAATAAGACAGATTTTGTATTATTTAGACCTAAACAGGCAAAATGGCTTCATGTAGTAAAACATATAAACATGTATTTAATACCTGTTTATAGAAAATTAAACTTTTTTTGATAAAACTCCATGTTTATCTGTAAAAACTACTGAGATTTTATGGAGCAATGTTTTTGTGTACAGTGGCAATTATTTTATATTGTGAATAAAAGTATGGTAACCTGTATATGGATTGTCATAATAAATTATCCTAAATATTTGTATTTTATACATGAGGAATTCAGTTGACTAAAAAATTTAAAAGAATAAAATTATTGGCTGGAGAACAAGTATAATACAATATTATCAATATAGCATATTTGCAGATTTTATACTGAAATATTATTTTGTTTTTATTTAAAAAGAAAACATAAATAATTAATAGTTCTATGAAATTTCAAATTACAATCAAAGTTTTCGACTTTAGTTGAAGCTCTGGCTTAGTTGTAGAATGTTCTTATTGAAAAAATATGAAATAAGTAAATAATCTGATTAGTAAAACATGAAACTTTTTAAAGTTTTTAAGTTTAATTTTTGATGAGTTAAAGCTTAATTTTCCCGCCACTTATTTTTAATTACTTGTACAATATCACTAGGGCTTACGGATATAGCAATCATAGACATTAAATCCTAACCTTTCCATGAATGTGAATTATTTATAACTATTACCTGAACATTGATACTATTTTAACATAAACGCACAGAGGTAATTAAAAAGTTCACTGGTGTAAAATCACAAATTAGCCTCGTCAATGTTAATTTTAGAAACCATAATACTGGGTTACGCTTGGTTTTCTTACCTCGTTGACACCTGAATTCCCGAGTGATCCCAGAGTTCGTTACAACTTCACACATTAAACTTGTAACTTTAAACAAAGAGTCTTCAAACCAGATAAAATTTTAACACTTAATATAACTTCTTGTTAAGTCTGTTAACATATAAACGAACAGAAAACAAGGTTTTCACATAGAAAACAAAAATATATTCACAAGACTGACATCGCTTTCGCCATGGTGTTGATGCTCAAGCGACCTCTGTTCACATGTTTTTAAACTAATTAGTAATATACGCTTCTTTTTACGCAATAATATACTTTGTCATGTGTGAGCTTTTGAAAACTTTGTAAAATTAACTGTTTAATGTACACTTATATTAAGCCGACTATTCTAGGGAAAAATATATGGATCCATAAGATAATTTTTATCTCAAGCAGATCAGGATTGGAAACATTGACTTTTCCATAACAGTGTGTGATGACTCCATCGACGATTTATATCAAGCTGGTTCTCTAATATAAATTACCTATTGAATCTTTTAGGTATTTACTTTTCCTTTTAGTTTAGGACCAAAACGAATTTTTTCCGACTTCCTTTTTTACAAAAGCGATATGAGTACATTAAACTACGTCTACGAGATAATTAAAACCGTAAAAGATAGGCCACTGACCATTTACGGAAGTCTTATAATAAAAAAAATTGTAACAAAATGATGGCAAAAGACAAAAATAATTATAATTATTTAGCGACATCTTTACTGCTTAGTAACAGTATTTTTTTTTAATCTAAAGCGTTTTTGTAGACACATGATTAATAAACATTGTCAGCAATATAGGCTAAGGATTGTAAGAAATTATTTCTTCAATCAGTAAATACCGTATAATTATTAGTTATCCCCTCTGGAACGTCTTTTAAATTATTGTACCTAAGCTCGTACAAACTTTGATATGAATTCAAAACCATCATAGTATGTACATTTCAAATGATGATTTCGGTTAACTAATTAAGCTCATTCCTCAGCAACTGTAAAATTGGATATTTTTTAGATCTTATGGGCTTATGGGCCGGAGCACCTAAATACCAGCTTGAACCTTTCGACTCGTTGCAACGACGAGCTATGAGAATTGTCGATGTTCCCAAGCTCACAAGCGGTATCGAACCCTTAAGTCTTAGGAGAGATTTTGCCTCACTCTGCGTGTTCTACCGCCTGTACAATGGATTGTGCTCAGAGGAATTGTTCAATATGATGCCCACAGCCACTTTCTACCATCGTACGGCTCGCCATCGACAGGGAGTTCATCCTCATGTCCTACAGCTTCAATGGTCGCTACTGCGCGGTTTCAGAGATGTTTCCTCCCACGAACACTCAGGTTGTGGAATGAGCTCCCTGTCGAGGTTTTCCCAAGAGACTACAGCATGGGGTTTTTCAAAAGGGGGTAGAAGTTTCTTCAGGGTCGGCAACGCACGCGTAATACCTCTGGTATTGCAGGTGTTCATAGGCTACGGTAACCATTTACCATCAGGTGGGCCGTATGCTTGTTTGCCATCTGTGGTATAAAAAAAACCTTGACAGTATAACTAGTACAATGCCTCATCGTCAAATAACTGTATTCGTTTCGCACAAAACAAATATTTGTCATGTTATGTCTATTTTCATTGGTGATCATTTGTTTGACAAATATAACAACCTGTATGACTTGTAGAGTATTCAGAGTTATTTATATGAAAAAGATGGGTTACGCAGACGAGTGAACATATTTTTTCCTTCGGCATATATATTTCTCTGATTTATCTTAGATTTATCTGATAATAAGTAGTAAGTAACCTTTACGTTACTGTACACCTTACAAAATAGAACTGCAAGTAGTTGATAGTTCAAATATTTTTAATAAGAAAACAGAATTACAAAAACACGCTTTATTTGGTACCAATCAAAGTTCACAATATAACAGAATGAAATAAATAACAGAAAGCGTAACTTGCGTGATGCCGATTGGAATATCTAAGTCTATCATTAACAACAATCTATATTATACACCAGATAGAATTGGACAAGTTTATATATTTTTATATTAGAATAGTTTTCAATTCTCTCAAGTGATTTTACATATAATTGTCATTATATTCATATTAGACTTCCATTCAATGAAAAAAACATTTTTTCTTTAATTTTATTATATATAACTAGATATATAGAAACTTAATTATACAAGTATATACTATATCTTATAACTAAATACATACTTAAAGACTTATTACTGTATTTATAAATATAAAAGAAATGGATTATGCTATTTTCATTTACTTGAGCAGGTACAAAATAGCAAAATTAAACATAAAAACAACACTATCGGCGTACACTAACGCTATAAAAATGACTAAAACAATGACTTTCTCTCTTAAATAATACAATAAATTAACTGAAACGATCGATAGCAATATAACAAACAAAATCTGAGGTATTTCTTACTCAAGGAACCTACCATTCATTGTTAAAGTTATAAAATTGGGTACATTCCAGCTACTTCAAAATCAGAACAATAATATGGTCATAATTATCATTAGGGACACTAAATACTTTTGTCCCTTTATAGCTGTAAACACCTAGTAATCATTATACCTTAATACTTTTCAGTTTCATATTTTCAACAACATTACAATTCTAATCAGATTTTAAGCTAAAATATTTTTACGTGACGTTTGGAGTTTTTATGAATAATATACATTTACCATGTACACCTTTTCTCACTGAATGATGACACCCAACCACTAAATATTTTTATGAAGCCAACTGCACATACATAAGAATGCATTAATTTTAATTGACTGCAGGAATACGAATAAACTTACGAGAAATAACATGGACTCGGTGATATTTTTTAAAAATAGCATTAGAATAATAACAAATAATTTATCATTAATTTTCATTTGGTTACTAACCTCTTTTAATATTTCAAAATTACAATAATAATCGAGTTGTTTATAATAAAGTTAGAAATTTAAATTAATCACTAATAATAAATATATGTACAAGTGGACAAAATATCATAACGCCATATGGATATGGCCTTTCAACTTTTCAAATATAGCGACATGAAAAATCACTTATGAATTTATCAAAAATATTCTTTTTGATAAATTATAATTGTCTTTAACTCAGAAGGAAATGGATAAACTTAGAGCCTTTGAAATGTGGTGCTGGAGAAGGATGGAGAAAATTAGCTGGAGGGATCAAATTAGCAATGAGGAGGTCCTGCTTAGGGTTAAGGAAAAACGACAAATTATTAGAACTATTGAGGACAGAAGGGGAAAAATGTTAGGACACTTGATACGACACGACGAACTTATGAACATTATAATAGAAGGTAAGATAGAAGGAAGAAGGGGGAGAGGGAGACCGAGACATAGTTACATCAGGCAGATCAAGGAAGGAGTTGGTGTCGTGTCGTATCAAGAGGTGAAGAGACTCGCTGAAAATCGTAGTGAGTGGCAAGAGCTCCACCGACAAGAGCGCAGCTCTTAAATGGATAGATAGATAGATTCTTTTTGGTTGATCACATTAAAGGGTCACACTGCGAGGAAAGTATATTACGTGAAAAAGAAGAAAATGCATAAAAGAATTAACATAATTTTTCTTTTCATGCATACAACTCAATTTATTACTCTACCCTCAAAAAAGTAAAACACCAATTCTGTTGTGGTCAAAAGCCAGCCGAGAAATTTCATAGCAAAACAAAAAAATAGAAATAGTGTGTTACCATTACAATCACTGTTATTTAATACTTTAAACTAATAACAGATACCATTAGAAGAGGGACAGTCAGAGGTCACTCTCGATCACATTCAAGCAATTTATAATTTAGTAGAACGCGTAATTGCATTGTAGAAGTCTGACGTCAAACAAACTAATGTTATAAATTACAGTTAAATTTTAAGTTCAAAAGACGAATTATTACAACTATCGGAACGTGTATGGAGTTTTTAGGTTACTGTAACATCATAATGTTATAGGATTTTACGTACGTATTTGTACGAGCATTACCTTTTATTATATATAGATACAATCTATATATGAAGTAGATGATTAGTAAATTAATAAGAACAATCATTATAAGTAGAAATACATATACAGAAGAAAATTCCAAGTTGGTTATCTCACGTTCTTGACCTAGTTATAGCTTCTTTACTGTTCCAAAATTTAAACAAATTACCAAAACTTCATACTTAATCGATCATAGAGAATCGAATTAGCTCCCATTTTGTTAGAAACTAACGTTAAAGCCAATTTCTAATAAAATTTGGTTGCTATTTCGAACACGACCTTACATTTCATCCATCGTATTTCAATACCACGTTTAAAGCTATATTACGGATCGATACTGTCACATAAAAGCTCGATTTCGTGTAAATAATGAGTGGCGAAAATATAAAATTTTCCATATGAAAAGGCTTCCGAATGAAACAATATGTTACGTAAGTGAATTTAAGAAATATAAAACCAAATAGAGATTATACAGAGAACAGAATACTGATTCTAAAAAAATTGGCTTTCAAAGAAGCAGCCAACACGTGCAAGCTAGTTAGTGTCCATTCACATAGACCAGCTTCGAGGGATCTTCTGTTGTTATTTATGAGAACGCACGAGAGCAAATTTAAAAGAAGTGAAATGTAAAAATAACCTTATTCCAATGACCCAAAACTGAGTTTTATATACGATCAGAATCTATTCTTTTCTCTATACCAATCTGTATGAATGGACCCTTGTATCATTGTTTAATTTATAAACGACGTTAATTGTGATGCAAGCGAGATATTTTATCTTCAAAAATATTAGTAAATCTTTGACTACAGATCAGCCTAGTAGTGGAAAGCCAACGCTCCTCACGAGAGGAGAGGCCGATGCCCAGCGGTGGGATATTAATGAGTTGTTTTGAATCTCCATTTGTTTTTAAAATCCTTGTTACATTATGCACCCATTTTGTTCAGTCCTTTAATGAAGTTTGACATGTCATACTCCTCTTCATACTGTTTATCATCCCACAGGTCCGGCAGTGTGTCGAGGATGGACTTCCCACTGGAGGAGCCTGGTTGAGGCTGGTTGTTTTGCCCGTTGGATAGCTGGAATAGATCTAGTAGCTGTTCAGTACCCATCGTCTCTAAGGCTGCATTCTCACTGCTGATCACCGTGTTGGCCGTTAGTAGCTTGAACTTTTGTAGCCTGTCAACAAGTACATATAAAATTTTAAAATGTCATCTTATTAAATATTCTTTATTGTAATTAGAAATATATTAAAAACTACAATTAGAGACAATGTAAGCAAAGGTGATTTCATTACTAAAAAAGATCTCTTCCAATCAACGTTTGTAATACATGATTATACAATAAAGTCTTAAATTTTAGGATGCAAAGTTCTTAAGAAAACAATGAGTACAAAAGAATTATTCCATAAAAGGGATTTCTGCCAGTCAACCTTTCAATATGTGATAGAAATAGTGAATTGGTGGAGATAAAAAATAGCAAATACAACATTAATACTACACAATATAACACATCAAATGGTACCTATCTAAACCGAACACATCTAAAAGGCTATGACATGCATTATGCATGAAAATATTTATAATATACATTAGGAGTTATAAATTAGGAGGTACATAAGTCTTAATATAAGAATAACAATAAATTATATATATATATATATATATAATACATATATAATACATATAGAACTTGGGGGGGAAAGGGATTGTTAGTAATGGAGACTGATAATCCTATTGCTAGCAATATACCCAACCGGGTCGACCTCCTCGCTGTTCTCCCTGGAAACTATCATGGTTATTTCCTGATGAATTCATCATCACCCTTCACTGGTGCTCCGCCAGCGTATACCATTAGCGCAGGCGGGGTTACCATACCATTTTCACCCATCAAAAAAAAATACATATAGAACCAAATATACATAAATACAAATAATATGTATACATGAAAATCAATCTAGCACCACTGTAGGATAACTCCAGAATGTCTTACGACGTAATTTTAGGACGATTGAACGTTAATTGAAGAGAACATTCTCATATCCATTGATAGGGAGTTCCAGAGGCGAGCAGCTTGAACCGTAAAGGATTTTTGTAAATTGGTGAGAAGTATGCGTAAGACGGATAACACTACAGCCAAATTATGACTGGATCGAAGGCCATAATCAGAATCATGAAACTGGATTCTTTCTCGCAGGTATATGGGAGATAAATGGTTGAACAGGATCTGGTGAGAATATGAATATTCCAACGAAGACAATTAGGGGGCCAATTGAGCTGTTTACGATCAAATATGCGTAGACCGATTATAGAGAATAACATAACCAAATGGGCGGTCATATCACTAAAAAAAAACTTTATCGGGCAAAGATAAAACTTCAATTCACAGTCAACTACAATGACACTAAACACAGCCACTCATCTCCGCACCAATGTCTTTTGACGCTTATTTCGGCCCCACCCACGACACGGACGGCTTCACGGGCTCTTCTAGCTGCCGCCCGCAGTGCGAGAAGAGACGATGTGACGCTAAATGCTGTACTACTCCTGAAGAACACTTCCGGATGACGTCGAAACAATTGTCGGATACGACAAACATGGTAAGTAGATAAAATTCCCGTTGTACATGTATATAGAAAAAGATAAAACTTAAGAAGGGCAAATAAAATAGTTCGCTCGAGACGCCCTCTATTCTGTTCGCAACGTTTGTCTATGTTGACCTCATCAAGCCGAGTATGTTTAAGATATACAAACTTTAGACATTGGGGCATGCCACAGAACGATTCTAGTCGAATTTAGGTTTCGCTATCTTTTTTACATAGAGACGCACTTACGAAGCAGTATGCTTTGTTTTAATAGGTGAAAATGGATGGTAACCCTGCCTGCGTTAACGCTACACACTGGCGGGATACTAGTGAGAGATGATAGGCGAGAATGAATGCAGGTCAGTTGACTCATCATGATGGATTTAACAAACCACAAAGGTTTTCAAGGGAAACCACAGTAAAGCGGCTTTTAAACTTCATTACTAATAATCCCTTTAATCGAAGCAATATACTAACCCCATGATCTTCTCTTCGAGCGTGTCCCTGGTGATGAGTCGGTACACGTTGACGACTTTCTTCTGGCCGATGCGGTGTGCTCGGTCCATCGCCTGTAGATCCTTCATCGGGTTCCAGTCATGCTCCACGAAGATCACCGTGTCCGCGCCCGTTAAGTTCAAACCCAGTCCGCCCACCTGTGAAAGATTATTAATGCTTTCTACAACTAGACATTACAAACAAGCTGACAGTCTGCCTGATGGAATCTGAATCGGAATGAACCATTGCTTTTATACCTGAACCTCACCATGGATATTAAAGTATTGTATGTATGTTAGCCGTGTGGTCCTTGCATAGACTTGGCCATCACTTCCTATCCCGTGGGTGTTGTAAGAGCCGACTAAGGGAAGGTGAGGGATGGGCAGCAGCGTCTCCCTCTTAAAACAGAGGGAGACTTTGTACAAAAGTCGATTGCTTGGGCACCTCTGTCCCATTCGTGTTTCTACCGTGAAACAGTTGTGTTTGAATGGCTGTGTTTCGGTTTGAAGGGTGGGATATGGCGTGAATTTACAGGGTACGGAGGAATAACACCTGAGTCCTCAGGAATGGCAACGCATGGGGGTATCATGGGCGAAACAGTATGTGTGTGTACTATTATGTCCATGGTACTGCTCATGTCAATAGGCGACGGTTACCACTTTCCATCAGGTGGGCCGTCAGCTTGTTTGCCATTCTAAGTTGTATAAAAAAAAAAATTATGATTACAAAATGACGCATCAAAAGAGTCTGTAACAGATGTATATGAATAAAAATATTTTTGATTGATTGATATTACAGTTTACCTAAACGATCGCGTTAATTCCAACCTCTAAAAACAAGGAATTACATAGAAGGAATGATAAAATAAAAATTGTAAATCATATAGTTGCCTCCTTTTTTCTTATGCAAATATAATTAGTAAAAAGAAGACGAAAGATACGTCATCAGTTGCTATTTTTCTTAATTCATAACATTTTCTATACGTTATGTATAGAAAATGTTTGATATATCAATTATTTATCAATAACAAATTTTACGTTACTAGATCATATATTCGACACAGTTTATGTAGAAAATAGGCAAGCAGGTTGCATCTGAATCTAAATCGAGAAAAAAAAGTAACTGATAGTATATCACGTGTACTTTTTGCTAATAATATTAGCATAAGAAGAAAAGAGGCAACCATGTGATTTACTGATTATATTTAATTATTTTTTCTATGTAATTCTTTGTTCTTAAGCCTCTATAAACCTCTATAAACTACATCTACAGTTTGTATCACTCAAGCCTAGTGCATACGCATGATACTCCTCATTTATCATTCTTTAAAACTAAAAGAATTGAGATTTTTTTGTCAATATCAGAAGGAATCTTTAACAAGGAGTCTGTAATAATTATTTATGAAAAATAATTTACCTTGACCACAAATTCGCATATACCTCAATAAAAAAATATATTACCGCAGTAGTGAGTAACAGCACATCGAAGGAGACGTCAGTATTGAATTGTGTGACGATCGCGTGCCGCTGGTGCGGCGGCACGCTGCCGTCGAGCCGCAGGTAGGATACGGCCGGCAGGTGGCGCTGCAGGAGGTCGCGCTCCACGATGTCCAGCATCTTCTTGAGCTGGCAGAAGATGAGCGCTCGGTGCTGAGACACGACCGCCGCGACCGCTCCCACGGCGCCCGCCTCCGGCGCTGTTGTGCCGATGCCGCAGTCTAGCAGCAATTGTCTGTGGAAGAGACACATTTTAGTAAAACATACAATGGTATAAAGTCGCGTAAATCAAAGAGTTCTTTGTTAATCATTTTTAATGTAGACTGATCGATAAGACTGGAACCTTATGGGACTAAGGGCTGGTATATATACACTAACCCCTTTACGATACCCATAAAAACACTAAATGTGTAATAAAACTATTTTAGCTGTTGAAATGTTTCTTTTTTTAATTTTTCTTGTATGATAAATTCCAAATAATATGTAGTTTTAGTTACGAACAAGAGAACAAATAACAAGTTTAAATATTACTATTACTGCTTTTTTGGAACTATACTGCTATTGTCTATAGATGACTTTTACAGCTTCACCAAAGGGACGAGCATTCCGATAGGGGTCACTGAAGTTCGACTCCAGCCAAACCACCTTGCCGACAAAAGCCCATAGCCAACTAGTGGAATATGACATTGAATATTAACTTGATTACTAACTTGAGTGCAGGCAGTTTTGCAGAGTGCTCGATGTCATCCAGGGTAGATCGCTGCGCAGTCAGTTGCTCAGCTATCTTGGCTGCCTCAGGGTGTTCCGGCGTCAGTACCAGTTTAGGATGGTTGCACACATTTTGTAGATAGTGCAGCGCCTGGAAACGATAATTTCTAATAAATAAAAATCTTGCAGGCACTATCATGAGCGCTAAGCATTGTTATAGTATAAATAAGACATACTATGAGTTGTCTTTTTTGTATAACAAGAAATATCATCATAATATCAGCCGTTTACTGTCCACTTCTCATTGTAAGTCTCCCCAAACGGGGGGTTTTGTAGTTGCCACATTTGGCAGACAGGTTGGGAACCGCAGTTAGACTTTGATGACGTTTCAAGAGCGATGCTGCTGCCCATCCCTTATAACAAATATAAAATTTACAAAATATACAAACGAGGTAATCGAAAAATAAAATTATTTGTCAATTTGAACAAAGGTAAAACAGTTTTTTATGTATACAACGCCATCTATTGTGGCAAGCGCAAACAAATATTGAAATTTAATAGCGTAAATCTAAATTCTACTTGAAACTATTTCCAGCCCACAAAGAGGTGTAAGAGACAAACCTGGAAGACGTGTGTGTGACTAGCCATGCCTTGCGGCATGTGCTCCCGCGAGAAGTGTTCGTACAGCCTCCGTTGCAGCGGGCTCAGCTCGCAGTAGTAGTCCTGAGTTATCTTTGGCGGCAGCTCCTTAAGTACGTCCTCTTTCACACGACGCAGCAGGAATGGTAACACCTGGAATGGAAATATTGCTGTTGAAAAACCTGTCTCAAAAATTCATATCTTAGTGTAAGTCATCCAATTTGTTCAATCTCTAATAATTATGGTTAGACATATATTAATTTAGATAATTTAAGTAGTTGTGATATAATAAGTGAATTCAATGTAATAAATATAATTTATAGGAAGAGATAATTAATTATAATGTGTGTGTGTGTGTGTGTGCGTGTGCACGTGCGTGCATGTGCGTGAGCATGCGTGCGTGCGTGTGCGTGAGCATGCGTGCGTGCGTGTGCGTGAGCATGCGTGCGTGCGTGTGCGTGAGCATGCGTGCGTGCGTGTGCGTGAGCATGCGTGCGTGCGTGTGCGTGCGTGCGCGCGTGCGTGTGTGCGCGCGAGCGTGCGTGCGTGCGTGTTGCGTGTGTGTGGGTGCGTGCGTGCGTGTTGCGTGTGTGTGTGTGTGTGTGGGTGCGTGCGTGAGTGAGTGTGTGTGTGCGTGCGTACGTGTGTGTGTGTGCGTGCGTGTGCGTGAGTGCGCGGTGCGTGCGTGTGTGCGCGTTGCGTGCGTGTGTGTGCGTGTGCGTGTGTGTGCAAGTGCGCGTGCGCGTGTGCGTGTGCGTGTGTGTGCGTGTGTGTGTTAGTGTGTGTGCGTGTGTATGGGTGTAGCAGGCGGACCTGGCGGTGCAGCGCCTCGCAGGCGAGCGCGCCGGCCTGCAGCTGGTGCGGCGCGGCGCGCGCGTCCCGCGCGGCCAGGATGGGCCGCGAGTAGCGCGCCGTGAACTGCCGCTCCGTGCCCAGCAGCCCCGGCATCAGGAAGTCGAACAGCGACCACAGCTCCAGCACGTTGTTCTGCGCCGCGCACGCAACACACACTACACTAACCGCTACCACTACGTACGAATATATTACGAGAGCGACACACACAGTTCACTCTCAGTATAATTCAATTTAAACAAAAAAAAATCTAATGAATGCTCGTTCTTCCATAAGCGGTTATTTTTTTTTTATTCATTGAGGTAACAAACAAACGTACAATTCATCTGCTAATAGATGTTATCGTAAAATATGAACGCCTGCAACTAGAGGTATTACGCGCGCATTGACACACCCTGAAGAAACCTCTTTATCCTTTTTTTAAGCAACCCCATGCTGTAGTCTCTTAAAAAAACTTCGACAGGGAGCTCATTCCATAACCTGAGTGGCCGTGGATGAACGAGCTTGTGGGTTTATTTTAATATCACTTTTAAAAATACATGTAATAATATGAGTTTTCACATATCAATTATTTCAGAAAATCTTTTCCAACACGTAATCCGGCTCGAAGGACAACTTATTTAATTAATTTAAAATTAATATGCTTCAGGGAGAATAAAGAAGAGAGAAAGGGGAACGAAAGATTAAATTTATACCAAAGTAACAGTAATTAAAGGCTTTTAAAAATCACTAACCTGTATTGGCGTTCCAGATAATATCAGCCTATGATTCGCGACTAATTGTTTTATAGCTTTAAAGGCCTTCGTCTTTCCGTTCTTGATAACGTGTCCTTCATCCAATATGCAGTAGTTCCACTTAATACTACTAAAGAATTCTATATCCTTGCGGACAATGTCATAAGACGCTACAATGAGATTGTAGTACTTCACATGTGTTCTGAGACGCTCGCGCTCTATCGGCGGCCCGACGTATTGGAGGGGTTTGAGGTATTTCGAGGAAATGAATTTGTTGACTTCAAACACCCAATGCCCTGTAATATAACACTTATTGTTAGAATATTAAATTTCATTTTTGAATGAATATAAATTTTCTGTGATTGATATAAGAAATTACATGAAAGTAGCTAAATTAAAAAAATATTCATGGCTATAGGCGAAGATTACCACTTACTACCAGGGTAGATGTCAGCTTGTTTGTCATTCCATCTTACTATTATAACAAAATTGTGACTAGACGATGTCTGTACATAGGAGATGAAATGAAGAGTTTTAATAAGAGGAATAGATGCCAAAAGAGTAATTTTTAGAAATGTCTATCTGTATATTTATTCTAGTATCACACAAAAACTACTGCATGCAAATTGAATGTAATTTTCACAGTTGTATCCCTGAAGATCTAACTTAAAAACTGTGGTGTTATATGTCCTTTTTCTACTTTTAAAATCTACGCGTACCATGTAGTGGGCAAACTGCAAGTACTGTATAAGGGAGGAAAAGGGATTGTTAGTAACGGAGTCTTACTGCCTCATTGCTAGCAATACACCTTATCAGGTGGACCTCCACGTGACTCCCCCTGGAAACTATCATGCTTAATTCTAGTGCAATTCGTCACGATGGGCTAACTAACCTGCTATCATTGTCAACTATGTGCCACAACGACACAAACACAACTATGTACAACCTCACTGGTGCCCCACCAGCGTATACTGTTAGCGTAGGCGGGATGACCAATTATCATCCATTTAACAAAAAGGGATTTTATAAAGAAATTACAACATATAATGGTACCTGTAAGCGTTGGGGGGCAAACAACAAGCGACTGTAGAGCGGGTAGTTTGTCGCGCGCGCGCTCGAAGTGTGAAGACGCTACTACTACGATGGACTGCAGAGTCTTGCCCAGTCCCATGTCGTCACAGAGTACCCCGTGTAACCGGTACTCGTATAAAAACCTTAGCCAGTTAATACCCGCCTGTAATAAGAAAATATATTTTAATTTTTTAAAATACCAATTCACATGAAAAGATTTGCTAGAAGAAATCTCTTATTAGAGATAAGTTCGCCTTTGTACATTATGTTTAAAATGAATTGTATTTAACATTATGTTTTGTGTACAATTAAGAATATATGTACATTATATGAAAGAATAACAACCTCTCACTAGATAGAAAGATGACCTTAAATGCATTGCTAGGAGTCAGTAGATGCAGGTGGCTCAGGACCGTTCCTTATGGCAGTCTATGGGGGAGACTTATGTCCAGCTATGGACGGATAAAGCCTAAAATGATGATGATGGTATGAATGAATGAGTACACTTCACTTGCATTATACAACATAGGGTATAAAGCACGCAAGATAGGTGTGTACCTTAGACTATATAGATAGAGCATCGAAACTTAAAAAGCGTTAAACTTTTCGTCAGCTAATTGTGAAATTAGCTGACTCGTTGTTTTTATTAGTATTCTATATGCTTACGCATAAAATGTATCTTGATGTATTATTTAATAAATAAAATGAGTATTTATGCATGAAAAAGGTGCAGAATTTCTGAGACAAAATAAATATAAAAGTTATAAAGAAATCCCTCACAACTATTTATCACGCAAAATTGTATGAAAAAATGAAGCCGTTTTTCTCGAAGCATTTCTATGGAGACAGTATGTATAATAATAATAATATAATGCAAGGTGCGGCCGTATGCGAGATACCTGCTGGTAGGAGCGCAGGTCGGCGGCGACGGGCACGGGCACGCTGTAGTCGGCGATGGACTTGGGGTTGAAGAGGTGGTCGAGGAAGCGCTTGTCGCGCTGGCGGCGCGCGCGCAGGTCGGGCGACAGGCCGCGCGGCTCGGGCACGGCGCCGTCCAGCGGCATCAGCTGCACCAGCGCCGCGAAGCAGCGCGTCGCCATCACGCGCGCCGCGCCGCACTGGTCGCTCATGCGGCCTGCGCGTGCGCACACACGTACACACATAAACACCCCGCCGTATACAAATTATAATGCCGTGTGGTTACGGCATTAAATGGGTAACTCCTTCCTTTCCCGTAGCTGTCGTAGGAGTCGACTAAAAGAACTAGATAGACAACGAACACGCAGCAGCATTCCTCTTTAAATATCACAGAAACCTAACTTCAGTTGCCAGCCCGCTTGTCAAACGTGGTAACTATTAGGAAAATGTCCCAAAAAAGAGAAGCCTATATTAAAAAGTGAAAAATTAATGGCTGGTATGATGATGATACAAATAATAATAAAATAAAGATTGGAAAACTATTGTCAATTAACAATTATTTAATAACTAACATTAAATAATTTACTTGGATACCTTTGCCCCATTCGTGTCTCAACCGTGAAGCGGTTTACATGGCTGTGTTTTGGCCTAAAGGATGAAATACAACAGTGAATATACAGGGTACAGAGATATAACACCTTAATCCTCAAGAATGACAATGCATGGGGGGTATCATGGCATACTCTATTAGTTCATGTCTAAAGGCAACTGTTACCACTTTCCATCAGGTGAGCTGTCAGCTTGTTTGCCATTCTAAAATGCATAAAATAAATTAAAATAAATTATTATGATATGTATTATTCAATGTCATTGGTCATTAATGCCAATCCGCCTACCAAGCATGGCAACTACTGGCAAAACCCCCAAGGGAGAAGCTCCTGTTTAGCAGTGGACAGTTAAAGGCTGTTATAATGATGACTGTTCGTCAGTACAGTATACAGTATAATATTAACCTAGTAGCGGCACGACGAGCAGCACGATGTACGGCACCACCTGCAGCTGCAGCGCGTCCACGACGCGGGCCAGCGCTTCCGCGGCGCCGCACCGCACCCGCTCGTTGGTGGCCTCGCTCAGCGCCGGGATTAGCTACACAAAACACGATAATGTTTAGTTAGTTTTAGATCGATTATAAACACAACTCTTATTTATATAGTCAAAAGTAAATAAATTGTATAATAAACTTAAAAAAAATTATGACTATAAAAAAAAAATTATTGTCGAATAATGGATATTGCTGGTTAAAATTTTCGTAAAGACAAATCAAACGAATTCAAACACAACGAAATAATAATAAGAAATAGTTGACAAATTCCTATGGCCACTCTCCGCCTTCATCATAAGATCAGTTTAATTATATAATAATACCCTAAATTAAATGCCCGTAACAAATGCAAAGCTGTCTTTAAAATCCCCAGACATAAAACTAATTTGGGGTTGCATGCTACAGTCTCGAGGTTAATCAATACGTACAATTCCTGTAACGAGCCCCTCAAACTTGATATATTTCACGACCATCCCACGTCATTTAAGAGTAAAATTCTAAAAGTTCTTTCGTAATACTATCATAATTTTTCCACAACCAATAATTTTAATTCTGTGTGCACTGTTCTAATAATTTTAATAATTATATATTTTAAGTATTCTTACATTTGTTACCTGTATGTTTTTTTTTTATAGTTTTGTTGGTGTCAATTTTGTTAATGTGTAATCGATGACTTAAGAAAATGTTGTGTACATCTGTAATTGGTGTAAATGCAAGATGCAAGCCCTGTATATCAATTAAAATTAATGTCTGTATTTACACTGTTGATGTACCTTTTAAAAATAAATAAATAAATATTTACTAGTTATTAGTAACAATATCACTGAACTTACATAAGAGCACTAAATTTCAATACAATCAAACACCAGCCTGTAGTTAACAAGGAGATTGCAAATTTTACCGCGTATTTAAAATGTCGCCTAAAATATATATGTACAAGAGCATAAGCTAGACAGTGACTTCCCACGCGCGATCAAATCTCAGAGCGCACACATAGCAACAGCAGTAAGGAGCTGTTACCTCCTGCATGAGCGTGTGCATGACGGCGGCGTCGTCCCGCGCGGCCATGGCGGCGAGCGCGCGCGCGGCCATGTGCCGCACAGCGGTGTAAGCGCTGCGGGTCAGCGCACAGCACGCTGCGGGCGCGCGCCGCAGCTGCTGCCAGAGGGCATCGCCCATGTGCGCGCACACCGCCTCGAACACCTGCAGCCGCGACACCATCTCCTCCGCCGCCTCCACCGACTGCGCCTCCAGCTCTGCCCAGGAGAGGGGAAGGAATTGTCAGTAATGAGGTATAATATCGATCAAGTCAGCCTCCATGCGGTTCCCCTTGGAAACCATCACGGTTAATTCTTGTTGAATTCGCAACGTTGGGTTTAATTACCTGCTTTTATTCTCACCTATCATCGCTTACTGGTACCACACCAGTGTATACCTACTGAAAGCGCAATCAGAGTTACCATCCTATTTTCACCCATAAAAAAGAGATCTACGAAGAGGAGGGGATTGTTAGTAGCGGATACTAGTGTGAACGTATTAATAAAAATGTTATTTGCCAGTTTAATATTCTCTTGGTAACCATAGTGATTAATTCCTAATGAATTTGTCAAAATGGGCTAACTGACCAGACATTATCCTTACCTATCCGTACTATCCCGATTATCATTCTATATACATCCCATAAAAACCTCGGGGGAGAGAATGAAAGAGAACTCCTTATTATTCCCATAAAAAAAAACATGTACTGTTATATATGAAATATTAAAAAAATTACATTACATAAAACAAAATACCGTGGTACTAATGATGCTCAAAACTCATACCTTGTAGCAATATTTTGCAGGCAACTTCGTAATACAATGGTGTAAAAATATAGTGTGACGTGTAAAAAATAGTTTAACAAGTAACACAAATACACTCACCATTGTCTGTCATCACTTTGTCAAATGGTTCGGTGATGAATTCCCACAGCTTGGGCAATTTTTCAGGCAGGTCGTTGCCGAAGTACTTTGTGAGGCTGACGAGCGCCAGCGTAGCGCCACGACGTTGTATCCGAAGTAATTTGCGGGCCTGCACCGTGTATGTCAAATTATCAGTTTATCGCACTTAAAATTATAAATAGAGAAGATAGGATTTGCATGCGACATGTGATATGTTCAATGACTACGATCTAATGTAATAAATAATCTATGTCCTTCTACATATTTATTATATAGTACCAGTATAATAAATTTCATAGTGTTCGGTTAAGCCGTTTAGGCTCTCAGAAATAACAAACATACTCACTTTCACATTTATAATTATCATATTAGGAAGGCAAATAATAGCAAAGAAGTGAAGATAGTAAATGCGCCGTGTGGTGTCATAAGAGGCGATTAAAGGAACTTAATGGTCGAGTGATAGGCAGCAGTATCCTTCTTAAAACATCACCAAGACCTTACTGCGGTTGCCAACCTGCCTACCAAGCGTGGCAAGTGCAACAGTAGCGGACTGTTAATGGATGGTAAGGATTAGGAAGTTACCTCGTCCTCGTGCATGAACAAGTGGTCGAGCGCGAGCGCGGAGGCAGCGGAGGGTGTGGTGGGCGTGGTGGGCGTGGCGGGCGTGGTGGAGGCGGCGGGCGGCCGGCCGCGCCGCGGCGCCCAGCGCTCCGCCGCGCGTTGCTGCTCCCACAGCGTCAGGATGCCAGAGTATTTGTCCACTGCGAAAGAAAGTACACTCATTTTATAATTCATCTACAATTACACATTATATACATATGTTATCCGTGTGTGTGTGAATAGGGTTACCTATAATGTACATTTCTTATGTACATTATGTGATAGAATTGCCAATTGTGGCAACTATTGACAAATCCCCCCTTATGAGGGAGACCTATGTCAAGCAATAGCCAGTTAAAGGTTCAAAAACGGGTTAACTTTTTGTCAGCTAATTGTCAAATTAGCCGACTCGTTTATTTATCAGTGTTCTATATACTTGTGCACATCATGTGTCTTGACGAATCTATATATAAATATTTAATAAACAAAATAAGTTTTTACGAATTAAAAGATGCAAAAATTATAAAACGAAATAAATACAGAAGTTATAAAGGAAATACTCACAGCTATTTATCACGTAAAATTGTATGAAAAAGTTAACTCACTTTTCTCGAAGCATTTGTATGGGGACACTCTGTCTATATAATGTAACATACAGTACGTACCGGCGACGTGGTCATGCTTGTGCCGCTGCGGGTCGCCGCGACCCTCAGGCCCGCTGTCGCCGCTGCCCGACTCCGCTTCCTCCGCGGTCTCCAGCGAGATGCGAGGTGTGAACTCCGGGTCGCATCTGCGGACAGTACTTCTCTCAATATCCATACATGGAGGTTCAACTTTGATTACTTTCAAATTTAGAATGACATAAAATTAGATAGAGATGACATTACTTGATAGAAAATCAAGGAACTTTCTGAAATTAAAACTCTAAATCCCTTAACAATTATTAAAAACGATTTCCCCCTCAGTCTCTTATATATACAGGAAACACGAAAATTAAAACATGGTATTATATGTATATAATCTATAAGTAATATTATAAAGGTAAAAGATTTGTTTTTGTTCGTGATCCATAAACTAAAAAAAAAACTTAACCAACTTTAAACTTTTTCATATAAGAAAAGCTAAATTATCAGCAAGTAAAATATAACTCAAGTTACACTATATTTTGCTATTAAAAAATCCGTGTAAAATAGTAGCAAATTGCTAGTTCAAAATTAGACAATAAAACAATAAGTGATCAATTCAAATAGCATCACTGACAGCTTTTTGAATGCGTCTACGAGTATGACGCAGCGCAACATCTACTTAACAGATACCTGAGGAAGGCCTTCAAGTTGACGAGCACTTTGTTGTTGGGGCAGGGCTCGCGCGCGACGAGCTGCGCGAGCAGCACGGCCAGCGTGTCGGCCGAGTTCTGCTGCAGCTCCTCGCTGCACTCGCGCTTGATGCTCTCCATCAGCGGCCGCACCACCGGGTTCAGCTTCTCTGGTAATGCGTGAAGGTTGGCACAGGCACCTGCTAGAGCTGCTTGTACGCTGTAAATACATTTTTTCTTTAGTAATTTTTAAATAATTTAGTATAGCTGAGTCAGGCAGACTCGAGGACTGGCTTGAATATATAATAGGTACCTAATAGTCATTATACAGAACTCAAGTAAGTGGTATTAAATATAGGTTTAAATACATGGTATTCGAATACAGGTTTTGTATACATGGTATTTGAATACAGGTTTTAGGCACATGGTAAAAAACAGATTTGGGACACATGAAATTTGGATATAGGTTTGGGGTACATAGTATTCAAATATAAGTTTCGAGGACATATGGTACATATACACTACCCAAGTGTTCCACATAAGTTTTTCTTTTAACTACCCAAGGAAAAATTATTAGATTACTGAATATTTATTGTCTTCATAAAAGAAAACTTTAGAAATGAATTTAAAAAATGCTTATGTCTGATGAAGTACATGAAATATCAGTACAAATACTTGAATATCTGCAAATGTTCAGATTCGAGTCAAGATTTTTTTTTTTTTTAATGAGTATCAATATATGTTCAAGTATCAAAATACTCGATTTGGCATATCACTGATGCGATTTGTAATTTAACAATACATTTAATTTTGCAGATGTTCTAATTCAGGGGTGGAAAACCGGTCGATCGCGACTATTAGTCCAGTCGATCGTATAATAATCGGCAAGGCGAATATAATATTTTGCAAATCAAGCGGAAGATGCTCAGACGCAATGCTCACACTAATATAAATAAGTAGTTACTAAGAATAATTTTTAGTTTTCTATTTATCCACTTAATAAAATAAAAAATAATACAATACTACATAATTGTGTACTGAACTATGTTGTTTCATTTGAGATTTCAAGAAGTATGTAATTGGTAGATCGCACAGGGTTTCGTCAGTAAACAGTAGATATTGGGTCTCGTCAAGTTGCCCACCCCTGTTCTAAGTAGTATATAAGTGTAACAACCGAAAACTTTAAATGCTATTATTTAATTTTTTTGTACAACTTAGAATGGCAAACAAGCTGACGGCCCATCTAATGAAAAGCGGTAGCTGCCGCCTATAGACATGAACGCCAGTATGTTGCCCTCATGTTTTGCCATTCTTAAGACCAAAAATGTTATACCTCTGTACCCTATAATTTCACTGCCATATGCCACCCCTTAAACCGAAAGACAGCAAAATCAAATTAATGTTAAAGAAAGACCTCATATTTGCACGCTGTGCTTCAACTTGAAAATAGATCTTGTTCTAGACATGTTTGTATTTTTTATATGTTTTTATTGATCAGATATCTGAATTATTAGTGTTAGTAATAAAAATAATGTTTGTGTTGTCACTCACGAGACGTTGAGCGTACTCTGCTCGCTGGAACATTGGCCGACGGAGGAGTGCAGGTTCTTCCGCCGCTCTTCTAGCGTGACAGCCACGCGCTTCAACTTCATCGCAGCCACCATCGGTTGTGTTACAGTCGTCAGTTGAGACACCTATTTTGGATGTCAGTTTTAGAAATTTTTCAATAATGCACCTTACATGTATGAATACATGGGCGAATATTGATTATTGCGAACTCATGTTCATAGCGGTTTATCTATACTAATGTAATAAGGCGGAAAAGTTTGTTTATTTGAACGCACTAATCTCTGAAACTGGGGGGAATGCATTGTTAGTAATGGGTTCTAATAGCTCTATTGCTTGCAATATACCCTATAAAGTCGACCTCCACGCGATTCCTCCTGGAAACCATCCTAGTTAATTCCTGTCGACTTCTACACGATGGGCCAACTGACCTGCCTTCATCCTCATCTATCATCTATCACTGGTGCCCCGCCAGTGTATAACAATAGCGTAGGCGGGGTTACCATTCTGTTATTCTTCTATCTATGTTCTCCTGTCGTACAAATTATAATTAAAAAAAGACTGAAACTACCAGTTGGATCTGAAAATCTCTTTTTGCATGACGTCTCATTTCCTGAGCAAGCTTAGGCTTTTCAAAGGATTTCTTCCAACATTTAAAAGTAGAAAATTTGAAAATTTGTAAGGACCAAATAAAAAATGGTAATTATGAATTATTTATGTTAAAATGAAAATAAATTTCTATCTCACCTGTTCTAACCTAAATATATTGTTGAACTCCTCGCTGTCGACCGGTAATTTGTAGTGTTTCATCAACGCGTGAAGATCGCGAGCCTCTTGCAGTATCCTACATTCAAACAGAATAGAAATAATTCTCATTAGGTAAACTTACTACAACTACTAGACAACAGGTAAGACTCATAATGGGTGCCTTAGCTGAACATATGCCAGTAAGGCATATACTCTACATCATTAGGTAAACTTACTACTACTACCAGACAACAGGTAAGACTCATAATGGGTGCCTTAACTGAACATATGCCAGTAAGGCATATACTCTACATCATTAGGTAAACTTACTACTACTACCAGACAACAGGCAAGACTGAGTGCCTTAGCTGAACATATGCCAGTAAGGCATATACTCTACATGATGAGTCTATCCTTGGACACACTGTGTAGACTGTGCGGTGAGAAATCTTAATATTTTATAATTTTAATTATTAATAGTACATTTTTTTTTCTACCCTCCATTTTGGAATATAATTTCAGCTGAGAAGAATGAGCAAAGAAAGAAACTCAGTTGTTATTTTCATCAAAGTTGAATTTTACAAGTTATAAATTATTGTATACACACACTAGCAAATAAGATTACAAAACATATGTAACCAAATATTTATCATTTGAGAACAATGTTTGGCAACCTTTCCTAAACACATTAGAAGCAAGGAATACACAAGTATAACTGACCTATTACAATTTAGCGCTACTTCGTCGTAGTAGAGAGCCTGGTTCAATGCTGTGTGCAGTGTCGATGTCAGCAGTGGTGGCGCTAGTAATGATCCATTCTCTTCACTAGCACTCTCGGTTTCCATCTTTCTTTCCTGTATAAAAATAAGGTTGTATTATTGGTGGTTTCGTTTACGTAAATAATATTGAACTATTAATTTTTGTGACAATTGAAGCTGCTTTTATTAAATAAAATATACACTTAAATACAATACACACAATCCCGCGTTTTAGATTAAAATATCTCATAATTCCCTTGGAATAATGGGTTCGTGGGAAACAACTGTAAAGTAAGCAAATAATCACCTGTTGCGTTGAGTGCCCGTTGGGAGGGTGGTGGTGCTGGTGCGCACGCAGGCGGCGCTGGTGGCGCGCCCACGCCGACACCACGAGGCTGGCCACCAGCCGCTGCAGCGCGCTGCCCGACCGCAGGTATACCACCATTACCTTTAGTATTACATTAAAATAAAGCTCAGTGTTTCATCAGTGGAAGACTTTGTACAAAAGTTGTATGCTTGTGTCTTAGATAGAATGTATCCCATATAATCCATCATACACTATCACTAAAATAAACATCAAAATTTCAGAACTATTATAAATAATTATATTGAGATAGAATACCTTAACGTAACAATCTATTGGACTTTCATCTTCAGCTTTGTACTCTATACCGGGCGCCGGTTGGACTAGGTAGCATGAGAGGTAACCTGCAATGAAAAATGGGACATAACATTATATATATATATATATATATATATATATATATATATATATATATATATATATATATATATATATATATATATATATATATGCGCAATGACAAAAAAATTAAACGACATACATAGAATGGCAAAAAGCAAAAAAGCCGAAAATCGTGCTCAGTAATGTAACATGTATATTATTATTGACGTATTTAAAATTATTTTGCCAGTGGTGCTTAGTCCCGGTTGTTATAATTCCCAGATTGTTTAAAATTAAATATGCTTATAAAAGTAAATAAAAAAATATAATTATTAAACAAAAAAATTGGTATATTTAATAGGTATGTAGCAGAAATTGTTATCGCTCGAATGTTAGAGTGCGTTTGAGAGTGCCCTCGGAATATCTCCCTTGTATTATTTTATTATACTCAAATATCAGTACTAGTTTGTTTCTGCTGGAAATTTCGCACCTGGCTTTTTGGTCACAACGGAAAATCAGTGTTTTGCCTTTTTGAAGGCAAAGCACAACTGAGTTGTGGCTATTTTGTGGCTTATACTGTGGCCACACACAGAAAAAAGTAATAATGAATGTCACTATGTCTATTTTTCCTTTTTTTTCTATTTTGTTAATGTTTATATGTGTTTGCCGCTACTTGTGTGTTGAGATGGTTTTTAATAAATTATGATTATTATATCGTATACAGAGCACTGGTGCAGTGTATCGGTTACCGAGTATGTCGGCGGCGAGGCAGCGCGCGCGCATGACGTTGCGGTCGCGCAGCGCGGGCGGCTGCGTGTCGCTGCCGCCGATGAACCACTTGTGGCCCGCGCGCGCCGCCTGCTCCTCCGCCGACTCGACCTCCGCGCCCGCGGCCACCGCGGCCCCCGCACCACCCGCACCACCCGCACCACCCGCGCCGCCCGCCGCCTGCGACGACGTGCGCACGCGCTGCTCCTGCGCAATATTTATTTATTTTTTATTGCACAATAAAATTTTATACAAATGGCGAGCTTAATGCCATATGGCATTCCCTACCAGCTAACCATTGGGCAAAAACAGAAAGCGTATGAAGAACAGATGTGGTGAAGAATATATGACAATTATAGTAACACATTAAGGCAATACACAATATAAATATAAATGTAATATACACATAAGAAATGCACATATAATACATAAACGTTACTTATAATATATATGGATAAACTAATACATATGAAATATATATATATATATATATATATATATATATATATATATATATATATATATATATATATATATATATATATATATACATAAATTAAAACAATGATAAGCATTGGAGATATAATATCCAAGTAGTTATTGAAGATACTATGATTTATAAAGAGGTTGAAAAAAGAGTATCGTCTGAGGATATTACGCTTTTTTTTTTATGGGTGAAAATGGAATGGTAACCTCGCCTGCGTTAACGGTATACGCTGGCAGGGCACCAGGGTGATCGATGAGAATAAAAACAGGCCAGTTAACCCATCATAATGAATTCATCAGGAATTGACCAGATTGTTTCCAGGAAATGGCAAGAAGGTCGACCTGGTTGAGTATATTGCTAGGAATGGGATTTTTAATCTCCATTATTAACAATCCCTTTCTCTCCAGGACATTATGCTTACCATGATAACAATAATTAGATACCAAAATATGTCTTTTAAATTAAAAATGATTGTCGCTTATTCCACGAGGGGAAGGGCGCGACCAAAATAAAGCTACATAAGACAGATTAAAAAAAAAATGTTGAAGTAGTCCTGTACTACTAGCACCAGCATCATGTGCCGCGTGACGTGTTAGTGCATACCTTGGGCGGCGCTTGCAGCAGCAGCGCGGGCTCGACGGGCAGTCGCGCGGGCTGCATGGCGAGGCAGAGCCACGTGGCCAGCATGGGGCACGCCGCAACCAGCATCACGCCCAGCATCGAGTGCCGCATCAGGTTGCCCCACACCTGGTGTTAGAGATATGAATGAATCATGGAAGTTCGCAAGATAATCCGTGAGCCTTACTCACCTATGGTACACCTTGATAAATTGCCAAAAGACCTTGTCAAGTCATTCCTTAATTTTAATGAACATGGGCAATAGCCATACCGCATTTTATATTTCTATCTAAAGGTCTAAAGGTGATATCTGACAAGAAATGATAGAATACCTTTATCCCCAAGGATACAAAATCTTCATTATATCAGCCGTTGACTCTCCACCGCTGAACATAGGTCTCCTCCTTGAGAGGTTTTACCACGCATGATAGACGGGTTCGGAACCTCAGTTAGGCTTTAGTGACGTTTTTAAGAGAGACGCTGCTGCTCATCTCTCGACCATTAAGTTTCTATAATTCGATGATATCCATAAGGGGTGATTACTAAACTACATTAAAGTAGTCAATTAGTAAATTACTAAGTAACTCTCAGAAGTATAAAAAGATCTAACAATCATACTCTTGATTTCAGTTGAGAAAACTATCTATACTATACCGCTCTTACTAAAACTTGGGAGCATTTTTTTTATGCAACATAGAATGGCAAACAAGCTGACGGCCCACCTGATGAAAAGTGATAACCGTAGCCTGTAGACATGAGCAGTACCATAGACATAATAGAGTATACTGTTTTGCCCATGATACCCCCCGTTGCGTTGCCATTCCTGAGGACTCAGGTGTTATTCCTCTGTACCCTGTAAATTCACTGCTTCATGGTAGAAACACGAATGAGACAGAGATAGCCAAGCAAACAACATTTGTAAAAAGTCTCCCTCTGGTGAAATAACATCAAGTATCGAATTTTACCTGCACAGCAATCTCCTGGATTTCATGTATGTGCTCGAACAAAACCCTTTGATAGATATGTCGCATCGCTTCCTGCAGGAGCTCCGGTGTCCACATTAAATACTGGCTGGTATCATCGCCATTCTGTTCAGACTTGGCACTGTCCCCGTTTGTGTCGGTGCCGTTGTTCTTGGTTTCAGTGGTGACGAGAGGCTTGGTGAGTGTGCATAGAGTTTGAAGTGCCGCCTTCCTCACGGAGCTGGTGGAGTGATCAAGGTACGGCCAGAGACGAGGTAGTACGTCGGGAAGATCAATTGGACTGTAAAGAATATTTATTATTGAAACACTTCGTAGCAGTTCCTTGATATTCGACATGAAAATAGTGTCTCTAGACAAATGGCAAGCGAATCCACAAACGGAATCGTTACCGAAAGCTAGTCCATGAGTTGGAATGAAACATCCGACATTTCTATCTCATTCTATTTCACGGACTCGGTAGCAATGTCGATCTCATCGATAAATTCGCTTGCTATTTTTGTCTAGAGGGTCAGCATAAGCGTCACGCGAACAATAGTCTGTATTGTATTAGATATGACACGAAATAAATCTAATGGGCATTACTGCGTTATTACAACTTGTCCATTTGAGGAATTGTCGTTGTGCAGGCCGTCGACGGGCGGTCGAAAATTCATGTTACGAGAATTACAATTTTAGAAATTATAAAGGCCTATACATAATCGAAGAGACGCGGTTCAATCACGTTAATAGCTACGTCACATCAGCTTATTTATTATGTTATACTCGTATTATTCCATGCTGGACACAGTCATCATATAAAAGAAAGAAACTAGCGTATTAATATCTCGCTGGCTTGGCTTGTGTTTTGTTCTTTGTCCTTATTCGTCTATTACGATGTTCCGGGGATAAAATAGAGTGGTAGTACAGCATACTCCACTGCCTATCGCTATTCGGGCCGTCTGCCGGCATATTCCGTATTGTGGGTGACATGGGTACTGTGGTAGGTGATGTGGGGGCGTGTACGCACTGCAGCGCGGCGGCGGCCTGCGGCAGCGCGGCGAGCGCGGCCAGCAGCGCGAGGTAGTGCGCGGCGGGCGCGGGCAGGTGGTGGCGGTCGCGCAGCAGGCGCCACAGCCGCGCCGCCACGCGCGCCGCGCCGGCCGCCAGCGCGCGCGCCGCCGGCACCAGCGCGCCCGCCGCCACCGCCGACACGTCCTCGGCCGCGTCCGCCAGCCCCGCCGTCAGCTGCTCCAGCGCGCCGCACGCGCACGCCTCCTCCTGCCGCCCACGCCCACGCGCATCACTAAACACGCTCGGTGCCACATCTCATACAAACCGGAGGGACACTTTGTACAAAAGTCCATTACTTGAGTAACTGTGTTTCAACCGTGAAGCAGTTGTGTTCGCATGGCTGTTTCGGTTTGAAGGGTGGGATATGACGTGAATTTACAGAGTACAGAGGAATAACACCCCGAGTCCTCAGGAATGGTAACGCATGGAAGGTATCATGAACGAAACAGTATACTTTGCTATGTCCACGGCACTGCTCACGTCTACAGGGGACGGTTACTACTTTCCATCAGGTGGGCCGTTAACTTGTTTGCCATTCTAAGTTGTATAAAAAAAAAAAAGAAATGGTTAATTAGGAGAGTTTAGTTAGCATGCGGGCGCGCGTTACCTCCCTGGCGGCGAGCAGGTACTTGTAGGCCAGCAGCGCGCCGTGCCGCGCCTCCCACTGCGCGTGGCGCGCGAGCGCGGCCAGCAGCGCGGCCACGAGCCGCACGCGCGCCGCGCGCAGCTGCGCCAGCGCCACGCCCAGCGCCTGCGCGCACGTCTCGCGCACCGGCGCCACCACCTGCGCCGCGGCACGTCGCTCTTAGTAATGCCCACCTGGCTGCCCAGTGCCCACGTGTACTCATCAAAACTAAGTGCCCTACCTTCTCGTTCTCACCTATCATCCCTCACTAGTGCGGGGGGAAAGAGATTGTTAGTAATGGAGATTAGCAACCCCATTATTAGGAATATACTCTATCAAGTCGACCTCCTCGTAAAATGCATACAACAACAAAATGACAAAAAAAAAATTATAACAGTAACGATATTACAGTAACATTAAAATATCTCAAAATATAATTATTATTATTTTGTTTTATTGTTCTAAAATAGGTTTCCTAATTCGTACTGTGTAATGTTTACCTGATCTGATACAAAATCTCCAAATCTGTCTAATGCGAGTACACATAACAATCTTAGTGCCATATCTTCGAGCCACTCTTGGTGCGCGTCTTCCATCTGTAAATTAAAACAATTATGTTGTAGGGACTATAGAAGCAACGAATAGAAAAAAATAATGTGCGCTTTTATCCATACAATTTGTATATTTTCCTTTAATGACAACGCTGTAAGATTTCGCGCCATGTTGTGGTCAATTCTTAAATTATATTATATAGATAAAACATCAAATATCAAATACATGGCAAATTAGTCAGCTAATTTGCCTGTTGACAGCCAAATTTTTTTTTTTATTACAACAAAACGCGCTTTTTTCAGTGTTGTAATTAATTAAATTAAAAATTTCCCTGATCAGATTGATATTAAAATTTAAAATTAGAACAATTTATTTTTCATATTAACATAAATATACACATGTACGGGTTGCTTATAAATTAATATACAAGTGTTAATTATAATGGCTACCATTTTCAATGAAAAACTTATTTTGTCTATACTCAAATATAAATCAAAACGCTCAGTAAAGGTAAGAATTAGTTACGAAACATTATGCATTGTTCATTATCTTATTCTTTCAAATAAATTCGTAATAATTTTATATTATTTTTATTTTTCAACATTGTAACATAAATATCTCCAACATGCTCATTATTAATTACATATGTAAATAACCCAATTTAGGCACACATGGATCAAAACCTGTTTTTGGAAAAGTATTTATATGGAGACACTCTATCTATATAATCTAAGGAAAATTAGCACTCAAATTGAGTCTAAAATCATAAAATATTTTATTTCTGATGAATAAATTGTATTTATTCATTCACAGATTGATGTTTATGTAGATACTATGTATGGAGATAGAGACCGCAAATATATTAAAACTAGTACAGTGTCCACTGACAGAAAACAGTAAACGACCAATTAGCATTCAAAGCTCGTACTGTACAAAGTAGATACAATTGCTACATCCACATCTGAGGTCGATACTATATTTTTTTCATAGTGACAATAACATTTTGCAATAAAATAGTAATAAAAAAGACAGATTGAAAATGTTTGAATTTAGGAGGCGTACTTGTGAGCATACCATATTAGCTATTAATTGTTTACTGCTAAACGTAGACCTCTTTCTACGAGAGGATTTTGTCAGTAGTTGCCATGCTTGGCAGGCGGGTTGGTAACTGCAATTAGGCTTTGGAGGCTAGACGTTTAAAGAGGGGCGCTGCTGCCCCAGCCCATGACTATTAAATTCCCTTAGTTATCTCTTACGACATTCACGAGAAAGAAAGGTGGACCAATCTATGCCGGGACCACACAGTAATTTTGTTAATTGAGAATGATGTCCTATTCTATTTAAGGCAAAGAAGCTGATAGTCCACCTGATGGAAAGTGGTAACCATCGCCTATACACATGAACAGTGCTATGGATATAACAGTGTATACTGCGATGCTCATAGCACCCCTTTTTGCGTTGCCATCACTGAGGACTATGGTGTTATGTAGCTGTATTTGTAATATAACAAAAGAACAGGTATTTTGACATAAATTTCGCTTCTAATCGCTGTGCCCGGCAGGGTCTACAATATACTTTATTAATTATTAACATCTTTCATAATAATATTGTAGAATGCAATAAATAAATTGAAAAAGAAAGATCAAGTTTAATAGAAAAAATGTCGGTTAATAAAAGGTTGTAGAAAATGGACCTGTTGGTGTGTCATGTCGGCGTGCATGGCGGCGCCGGCGACGACCCGCGAGCGCAGCAGCTCGCGCAGCGCGCTGGCGGCGCCGTGGCGCGCCTCCCACGCCGCGCTCAGCAGCTGCGCCTGCAGCGCGCCGCACCACGCCTCCAGCGGCCAGCGCCGGCACTCGCCCCACGAGCCCGAGCAGTCCGGCACCGGCAGCCCGCTCTCCGCTGCCGCACCCGCCACGGACCGTACATTAGTTACGTAACGCTTCTTGAGATAGAGGTTACTTTCAAACATTTCTACAGGACCTTATCTCGGGCCTAGCCATTATATATATTTTTTAAGTCAGAATGTACGTTTACCAAAGCTGGAAACCACATTCTTTTCATGTTCATCTTCTCATCATCCAATCAAGCGATCATGGACGTTGCCCTGACCCAATATACTCTATATTAGTAGCAATGGAAACAAAGATACCCTTATTACCCCCCTAATATCGAAAATATCTATAAAAATGTATTTGAATTTATATATAGTTCTGCATAAACCTCGTCTTAATGCTGCATAAACCTCGTCTTTTTCCTACTATAAAACTTTATGAAGACGCAGAGAGGCTTACTGTACGACAGCTGTATATATTACAAATAGTCTTGCGCAAACATTGCTCTCTATCATATGAAAAAATAATTAGCGTCAGCAACACAAGAAGACACTTCCAAGTCTGTGAATCAGTAAATGTTAAGACCTCATTTGCGCAGAGAATTTACCAATTCCGCAGTGGAATCGTATATAACAGGATAAACAAATTATTAAACATCTTTAAATATAGTAAAAATGAATGTAAACATATTGTAACAAATTGGCTATTAAAACAAACCTATAACGATACGGAAAAAGTAATAGAAGTAATAAAATTATAATAGTGTATAACAGCGTTATCTACGCTTAAGTACATAAACACACACACACACACACGCACACGCACACGCACACGCACCCGCGCCCGCGCCCGCGCCCGCGCCCGCGCCCGCGCCCGCGCCCGCGCACGCGCACGCGCACGCACGCACGCACGCACGCACGCTCGCACGCACGCACGCACGCACGCACGCACGCACGCACGCACGCACGCACGCACGCACGCACGCACGCACGCACGCACGCACGCACGCGCGCGCGCGCGCGCGCGCGCGCACACACACACACACACACACACACACACACACACACACACACACACACACACACACACACACACACACACACACACACACACACACACACACACACACACACACACACACACACACACACACACACACACACACACACACACACACACACACACACACACACACACACACACACACACACACACACACACACACACACACACACACACACACACACACACACACACACACACACACACACACACACACACACACACACACACACACACACACACACACACACACACACACACACACACACACACACACACACACACACACACACACACACACACACACACACACACACACGAGCGCGCGCGCGCGCTCGCACCTCTTTGTTCTAATATTAAATCATATTTATTTTTACTCCACGCAACTACCTTTTACTTTGAATTGTCAATACTTTATATGGGGGGGGGGGACCTGGTGTCTAAGATACAAGTTACGACTTAGTTTAGGCTCCAGATCTCCCACAAATTATGATACTTTTATTTTGTATAAAGTAAAATGTAATATTATTATACATTGTAATTTGTGGAGATGAATAAACTAATTTTTATTTTATTTATTATAGTTAATTTATATTTATATCAGTTAATTAACTACATTACACTACTACATTATGTTTTATTACGTAATATTTTTATAAGCGGATATTACAACTATTTTTATGATAGTAAAAAAAACATTGGTATTCTTATATTTGTAAATTATAAGCATGAGATTTATGTACCTCTTTATTTAAAACTATCCGTTTCCCGCGTCGTTGTTCACTTCTAACTATGTAATTCCCATATACCATTTCCATTGAAACTCTCCATGAATTCGGTTCTTTATTGTATTATACATTTAAATAATAAATCCGTACCTAATACCTTTATAAAGTTTCAGCCAATTCAACTGACCGGTTATTTTACAGCATTTTATATGTGATTCTTTAGATTGATATAACTTTTTTATTAATGAACCGATTGAAATAAAACAAACACTAAATGTTAAGTTTATAGAACAAATAAAAACTAAATCTGTACTTATTACTTACGATAATTAAGACGGAAATTAAAAAATTATAAATAACAATTTAATATCCTGTTGTCACATTGAAGATCGTTAACATCTCTACATTAACTACGACAACGAGCGATCGATTAAAATTCATTCTACATAATTAAAATTCAAGTCACGTATTCGAATAAACAGTACTCCATTATTATTAGGATTAAAGGTATAATATATAGGCTTCCGCAGATAATCGACCACTTAGATATTTTGAATGTATTTTAAAATTATAAATATTTCGATTTGAAGGGTGAGATATGGCAATGAATTTACAGGGTACAGGTACAGTACAAGGTACAGGCGCGGTCGGCAACGCGCGCGTAATACCTCTGGTATTGCAGGCATTCATAGGCTACAGTAACCGCTTACCATCAGGTGGGCCGTATGCTTGTTTGCTACCTCAGTGGTATTAAAAAAAAGAGTACAGAGAAATAACATTCGAGTCCTCAGGAATGGCAACGCATGGGATGTATCATGGGCGAAACAGTATACTCTGTTATGTCCATGATGCTGCTCATGTCTATGGGCGACGGTTATCACTTTCCATCAAGTCGGCCGTTAGCTTGTTTGCCATTCTAAGTAGCATAAAAAAATATATTTTATTGGAATTAAAAGATATTTCTATTGTGTGATATCGTACACACAGTGACATGACAAAATACCGCAATATGTTATTTTACTAAATTAAATAAAAAAAAAAACAAATAAGTTCACAATTGTAATACCTAAGGGGGTAATTATGGACAAGAAAAAGACTTATGGATTTTCATTACGTACATATTTCACACCCTGGATATTTCATACTAAAACGCCACGATTCGTGCTCGTCACAACTACAGAGAGAAATCACGTCTGTACAGATGACAATGTGTGCGTCTGTTGTTACGATTAGCGTTAGAAAAAAGTTGACGTGTATTTGAGAAGGGGTGAGTCAGATCGCCGTGTGGTCCCGGCATAGAATAGGCCACCCCTTTCTATCCCGTGGGTGTCGTAAAAGTCGACTAAGGGACGGCGAGGGATGGGCAGCAGCGTCCCTCTTAAAACATCTCTAAAGCCTAACTGCGGTTGCCAATCCGCCTGCAAACCGTGGCAACTACTGGCAAACCCCTCCCCCCCAAGGGGGAGGCTTATGTTCAGCAGTGGACAGTTAAAGGCTGATATGATGATGATGATAAGATCAGATCGCAACGGGTGGCAGAGACTGTCCTGGACTGTACTTTAACTCTATTACTTATACTGTGGTAATACGTAACAGATTGGAATATTCGGCATTCACAATCTCTTCTCAGATATACTCATTCTCCTATGACGTATGTATGTATTTCTAAAGAAATAAACTTACAAAGGAACTCATCAGGCGGTTCCAACTTAATCTTCTTTTTGTCCGGCTCAATCGGCGGCGTGGGCGGCGCTGACGGGCCTTCCTCGCAGTCTCTAGACTTCTGTTTGCTGAACGCCGCGCGCGCTTTTCGCTTCGCGAGATTCATCTCACGGGAGCTTAATGTTTTGGATGACACGATCGGGACTAGTTCTTGTATAGGCCTCTGTTGGATAAAATATGGGGTTATTTTGTATCCTAAAACTAGCTTATAAAGTTTTGGAGCGTTAATGATCAATATATAGTATATATATAATTATCAGGTCCCAAAGATTAAGGTCCTCATAGATATGACACGTAATGACAGTAATAGAACGAGACACAGTTATAAGCACAATACGGAAGTGTGAACAAGATCGAAAACATTTTTGTCTTGCTTCGCGTACGTTTTTATTATTGGTTGATCCACTTATTTGCCACGTCAAGAGCATTTCCAGATTACCCGTTCAAATTAAAAAGCTATTCCATTCTATTGCTATTTCATAATACATAAGCACGTAGCATTTCTATGGCATTCTCTTTCTACGATAGATTCGAAGTTCAAACATCAAAATTTGACATGACCATCGAAAGATAATTGGATAAAAGTCAAAGTTACAAATTCAATAAAAAGTGTCTGAAAATGAAAATTATAGGAATATATGTTGACAGCCTTAAAAACCCAATTGTATATTAAAAATAAAAATAGTTACACCGCACATAGCACATTAACTGCAAAGCGTGCTAACCAGTGTTGCTAGATTGGGTATTTTTTCGCTTTGGGTAAAAAATTTTCTATCGCTAAAGTTTGGAGAAATTAGAGAAAAGTGAAATGGCCAAAAAATATGGTTATTTTTTTTTAGAAATTTTGGGTAATACTTGTAGTACTTGTAAACTTTGCACAGGTATATAAAGTATTTAATTACAGCAAAACCAAAATAATTAAAATTGATTGAAGACACACAACGGGTAAAGAAGGAAAGTGAAAAGTAGAAACAGAAGAAATGACCTATTTTCATTTCATTTTGTGGCAAGTGCAAAACGATACAAATTCGTGAAGGCAAAAAAATCAAAATTCGCATCTGGCAATCTTGGTGCTAACGATTTCGATTTCATTTTATATACGAGACCAGCTTACCCTAGGCGGTTCAGTCTTATTAGGTTGCGGCTTGACAGGACACAAGTCTTCGTTGGAGTACACGGAGGTGAGGTCGACGCCGAGCTGCTGTGCCATGTCGAGCCCCAGACGAGCGTTTAACTGCTGTCGTTGCTTCAGTAATCGATCTTTCATATCTGCGATACAAAAACAAAAAAAAAAAAAACATTATAACGACTACAAAAGTTGAAAATCTAGGGATATATAAGCAAAAATATACACATCAAAAAAGTATAAGCAACACATACAAATTTCAATTTTACAATGTGTTTTCGCATTAAATCCTTAGTATTTTCTTTTTTATATTATTTTATAATGCTTCTTTTATATTAAACAACAACTGTTTTTTTTTATTTATTTTTTAATAATCTTAATTAACAATAATAACGAGTAAGTTTACCAGAGGGAGACTTTTTTTTTAATGGATGATAATGGAACGGTAACCTCACCCGCGCTATCGGTATACACCAACGGGGCACCAGTGAAGGATGATAGGTGAGTATGAAGCAGATCAGTTAGCCCATCGTGACGAATTCAACAAGAATTGTTCACGAAGGTTTCCAGGGGGAACCACGTGGAGGTCGACCTTATAAGGCATATTGCTAGCAATGGAGCTGTCAAACTCCATTGCTAACAATCCCTTTTCCCCCAGAGGGAGACTTTGTACAAAAGTGGATTGCTTGGGTACCTCTGCCCATTTGTGTTTCAACCGTGAAGCAGTTGTGTTTGCATGGCTGTGTTTCAGTTTGAAGGGTAGGATATGACGTAAATTTACTGGGTACAGAGGAATACCACCCGAGTCCTCAGGAATGGCAACGCATGGAGGTTATCATGGACGAAACAGTATACTCTGTTATGTCCATGGTACTGCTCATGTCTGTAGGCGACGGTTATCACTTTCCATCAGGTGGACCGTCAGCTTGTATGTCATTCTAAGTTGTATAAAAAAAAAAAAAGTACTGTATGTACGTAAAACAAAGTAAGAAACCTAATCAACTAAGTTTTTTCAAATTATTGTTTAAATCATAAAATTGACACAGAATACTAAATTTTAATAAGCAAAGAAAACGCTATAAAATTCGAACAATTGCATTTGCATTTTTTACAACCAGCCAGTATGTCCTCTAGATCTAAAAAGTTTACATAGGTATTACCTACTTGGTAAGAAATGTTATTTACACTTTTTTGATGTGTGTAGTTTGTGTTTCTGTGCTACTAGCTTGAATTTGAAAATAAAATAAAAAATTGTCGACGTAAATCTTTACGAAGGATGGAAACAACAAGGAGTATTGTTTTTATAACCATAAGTGTATTTAAACGGTAGACCGGGTAAGACGTGCCCTCACTAGAATTGGCCGGGGTTCATCACGGGATGTGAGAAAATTTGCAAAAACATGTCTGAGAATACATTTACGCCTTTTTCAAGGGGACAGCCCCCTCCCCCACCTTCCACTCTCACTGGAAAATATTTCTCAATAAGCTAATTCTTAAACCCTTCACAAATAACAAAAAAAAATATAATACATATTGCATGTATCAAATTCAGACGGTTATAATTTTCCATCAAACGGTCAAGACTTATAAGGAAAAAACCTATATACATAAAAATTTGACGAATTAAAACTTCATTTTTGAAGCGTATCAAAAATAGTATCTCCTTATTTCTAGAAAAAACAAAAAAAAACTTATTGATTGATAGTTGTTTAGTTAATTTTTCCTCATAGTCTTATTACAAAACAGGAGAAAAATTGTATGACACTACTTTTACGAACAATTTTCATTATTTAATTTATAATAATTTTCCTCAATATTATTACAAGCAATACTGATATACAAGTCGACACTATTATCCTCAATGGGTATAGTTAAAATTAATATTTCTATTTTTTCCTATTATGAGTATAAGATAATGGAAAATAACATGGAAGACGCAAATATCCGATTGTTTTTAATTTTACGACTTTTTTATTTTAGCTACTTGCTAGACTGCATTCCTACATTTAAAATGGATTTAATGACACCCGCCAGTGATTCGGACAGTTTTTTTTGCCTTGATAATGTTATGATAACCCTGCCTCCGCTTTATATATACGCTGACAGAGCACCAGTGAAGGAAGTGAGGATGAAAGCAGGTAGTCAGTTAATACATCGTAATCAACTCCGCAAAAATTAACCGAGATGGTTTCCAGGGAGGTTGTGCTGATAGGGTATATTGCTAGGAATGGGGCTGCTAGATCACTATCCGGACATTATTAGGGTAGGGTAGTAAAGACTTGAACTTAGTAAAATCTAAATTGCCAAATAATTAACAGCTTTTCATCAGTGAATTGAATATTTCCCAATGTAACATGACGTGAAAAAAGAAAAAAAATTGAAGCCTCTACAATAAAAAAAAAAATCAAAAAATATTTTTTATTCAGGACCACACGGCAGTACACAGTTATTTTAATAAGTTGCAACAAATTATACGTCATAGCTTTTTCGCCACCGCTGTATATCCCAATCACTTGTTTTAGCCATTGGTTTTGGTGATAGAGGAAAGCCAACACGGTTAATGCCGTGTTGACTTTCCTCTATCACCAAAGCTCGCAATTTGAACAAATGTTATTATGCAATAAAGAATAAATAAATAAACATCACCTGCAGCGGACATAGCCTCCTCTTCCATGTCGTACTCGTGACCTTCGGAGCCCATCAGGTGCGCACCATTCTGCAGCACCTTCTCTAAATCGAAGGTCTCGCATCGCAGCCGCCCGTTGTCCTCTGGCTCCGTTTTCTCTTCTGTTACCATAATCAAATTTGAATTAGTTTACAATAGCTGACAATAGGGGGAGATTGGATGTTGGACATTAGAATCTCCACAGAAGACAATAGAGATGGACTGTTTCTTTTTTAATGGGTGATTATGGTATGGTAACCCTGTCAGCACTATCGGTATACACTGGCGGGGTACCAGTGATAAATGACTGATGAGGATGAAAACAGATCAGTTAGCCTATCCTGACGAATTCAACAAGAATTAGCCACGATTGTTTTCAGGGGGAACCACATGGAAGTCGACTTGACAGTGTACCATAACAATCCCTTTCCCCCCGAAGATGGGATGTTAGTAATAAGGGTCCTATTAGCAACAATATCATATGTAACTGGTATTCCATCATGGTAAACCAATAATAGCATAGGAGGAGGAAGGGATTGTTAGTAATGCGAACTACCAGTCTCATTGCTAGCTATATACCCTGACAGGTTGACCTCCATGTGGTCTCCATTTTGAAGCGGTTTTTTTAATAGATAAAGTAATGCAAGAGAAAGGTTTATATGTATAATACATGCATAATATTATAGAGAAACACTGATAAATTTAGAGGTTTCTAATATGACGTGATGTTATGTATACCTGCGCGAAGCCGGGGCAAGTCGCTAGTATTATATATAGTATATGACAACGAGTTCATTTGTCACTTCTTAGCGCCTTAAGCCGTTAATTTAACCTAATTATTTAAGTGTACATGTTGTGGTAGGTGGCAACACTAGGAGTTATCATTGGGAGGGTCATATTAGTAAAAAAAAAATTATTGGGAGGGTTTATGACAGATAAAAGATGTAATGTAGTGGTCGAGTTTTCTGTGAATTTATCTGTTATTCAAGTAATTATTAAGAGTGATCCAGAATGTTATTTATCAATACAAATAACGACCTTTACAGTACAAAAGGCGGATTTAATGCCTGTAGCATTCTCTATTAGTCAACCTTTGAGATGAACAGTGAATCACGAACGTGGTACTTCCTTATTGGGATAGGTAAAGAAAATAACAGTAATCGATCAATATGAAATTTGATATACACGTGTTTTATGAACAAGGATGTGGGTTACTTTTTATCTCAGTCATTGAACATAACTCGGTCACGCAGACAAAGTCACGAGTAAAAGTTATAATGTGTCGCCATATCGACACAATACACCAGTGCGAGGGGGAGAGGGGGAAGGGATTGTTAATAATGTGGACTAGCAGTTCCATTGCTAGCAATACACCCTATCAAGTCTACCTCCACGTGGTTCCCCCTAGAAACCCTCGTGAACAATCCTTGTTGAATTCGTCACGTTGGGCTAACTGACCTACTTCATCCTCACCTATTATCTCTCACAGGTGCCCCGCCGGTGTATACCGATAGCGCGGGCGGGTTTACCATTCCATTATCACCCATTAAAAAGACCAGTGCAAGAGGTAAAGGGTATGTAGGAGAAGGAATTGTTAGTAAAACTGGTAGTCTCAGTCTTATTGCTAGAAATATCCCCTCTTAGGTCGACCTCCACGTAGTTCCCCCTAGAAATTATCATGGTAAATTCTTGGCTTATTCGTCACGATAGGCTAATTGTCCTACCTGTCTTTTCATTCTCACCTATCATCCTTCACTGGGGCCCACCAGTGAAAACCGTTAGCGCGGGGGCGGGATTCCTATTCCATTATCATCCATTGAAAAAAATACTAGTGCGAGAGAGACGGAAAATTCGGTATAGACACTATGTACTCAATCGCCTATGATGATCATGAATGATAGCCAGAAATAGTTAAATTATTGCATCGTGTCGTAACAAAGTACGAATATATTTCACAAAACATTATGTTCAAGATATGTATAGCAACAACATAGCATTACCAATGGAGGAAAATACGAAATAAAACACAATAATCGGGTCAGCGGCCAGCGATGTATTTTTTTTTAATAACATTCTCCTCTTGCGACGGCGAGGTTAGGTACATACTCGTAAAAGCTTACGTAATAAGGACAAATTGCTTTTATCATCGTTGATCTCTGACCCGTTAGTGATTCTGCCGCCATGCAGCTGTGCTTACATAGCTGTACTTTGGTTTAAAGGGATATGACAGTGAAATTATTAGGTAAATAGTTAAATCCGGGGATGGGGAGGGGATTGTTAGTAATGCAAACTACCAGTCCCATTGCTAGTAATATACACTGTCAGGTTTTTTTAATGGGTGATAATAGAATGGTAACTCCGCCTGCGCTATCGGTAAACGCTGGCGGGGCACCAATGAGGGATGATAGGTGACGATGAAAGCAGGTCAGTTAGCCCATTGTGACGAATTCCACTAGAATTAATCACGATGGTTTCCAGGGGGAACCGCGTGGAGGTCGACCTGATAGAGTGTATTGCTAGCAATGGGTCAGTTAGACCCCCTATTACTAACAATCCCTTTCCCCTCTACCCTGTCAGGTTGACCTCCATATAGTTCCCCCCGGAAGCCATCAAGCTGGATTCCAGGTGTATTCATCACGAGTGGCTAATTAACCTGCCTATTCGGGGGGGTGGGGGGGGGGAAGATTATTAGTAATGCGGACTACCAGTTCCATTGCTAGCAATATACCCTCTTAGGTCAACCTCCATCTGATTCCCCCTGGAAACCATCGTGCTGCATTCCAAATGTATTTATTCATAATAATGGGCTAGCTGACCTGCTTTTTCATTCTCACCTATCATCCCTCACTGGTACCCCGCCAGCGTATACCGTTAGCGCAGGCGAGATTACCATTCCATTATCATCCATTTAAAAAGAATTAAATGGTCCGTCAGCTTGTTTGTACAGAATAAAAAAATATATACATATTTGAGATTTGACTTGCTAAAGCAGAAATTGGCGTGTAGTCCCGGCATAGAATGGGCCACTCCTTTTCCTATGGGTGTCGTAAGAGGCGACTAAAGGAAGTTATCAGTCGAGGGATGGGCAGCAACGTCCCTCTTAAAACAACACTAAAGTCTATCTACGGTTGCCAACCCATCTGCCAAGCATTACAACTACTGGCAGAACCTCCAATATGGGCTCCCCCAATGTTCAACAATGGACAGCTAACGACTGATATGATGATGATGATGATGACTAAAATAGTGATTTCTCTAGAATTTTATGAAAACTCAAAACATATCAATCATCGTTGATTTAATAGTAAATAGATACATACTATAATGTTCTGAAAATGAAAATGTAACAAGATAAATTATAAACCACTGATTACAATAAAATTTCAAATTATACAAACAAAACAACGATAAACTAATGTTATCTCAGCACAGGACGTCCGGCCAGTTAATGTGCCGCGATTTTGTATTATTTTCAACATTTAAACCGACTTCAAAAAGTAAGAGGTTCTCAATTCGGTTGTATTTCTCTTTTTTATGTTTGTTTTTTTATAACTCAATCACTTATAAAACGAATTGAGATTTTATTTTATCTGAAAAGATATACTTACATAGAAATTTTATCCAAATCTGTTTAAAGGTTTAGTTTTTAAAATCAAAATAGTTAATATTGCCACAATTTTTTTTTTCAACACAGGGGGCAAACGAGCATGCGGCTCACCTGATGGTAAGTGACTACCGCTGCCCATGATCACCTACAACACCAACAGCATTGCAGGCATCCGGCCTTTTAAAAAGGAAAATGCTCTTTTCTTGAAGGTTATAATTGAAATCAGTTTTTTTTTTTTGTGAAACTCAATTTTAATTATGTCTAAATATCAAAATTTTTATATTTTCGAAATAATACCAATTTATTATATTTTTAAGCAAGTACATAAAGTTTACAGTCGGTTCTGTTATGAGATGTAAATGGAATAATAATTGTCAGTTGGTCCATTGTGATGACTGGACGGACACCATCCTCGCTTATCATTATTCAATGGTATCCCGCCTGTAATATTGGTATATGCTGACGGAGTACCAGTGAAAGATGATCAGTCAGGCCACTTAATTCCATCGCGAATTTTTCACCTGGCACTTAACCACGATGATTTCAAGGGGTGACCGTGTGAAAGTAGATCGATAGTGATATTCATTTACTGGACGCAATGAAGCCGTTAAACTTTATTATTAACAATTCTTTCACCCCACTAACAATTTTTTTTATTTTTTATCGTTAGATTACGCAGACTTTGACAATTTTGAACACATTTCCACAACTCCCATTGCTGGGATAAGGTTTGATCCCCTTTTGATTTTATATTCTTTTCGGAATTATTAAAACTATCATTTAAATAATGCTTTATTTTTTCTTCAATAAGAATTCTTACTAGAACGAAAATTACAAGTTGGTACGTAGGGACGTAACCACTGAAAATAAACAAAACCACGCAAAAGCACAAATTGTCAATTGCATTTTAAAATAAATACAGGATATAATTTTAATTTTAAATATACGAAATACAAAGTTAACGTACATTTTACAGCGAAAACAAAGAATACTAATTAATGACACGACCTATGGTACTTCAGCTGTCTAAACAGCGTATTCTTTTTATCAACATGTATTTTTAATCGATTTCCAAAAAGAGGTTTTTAATCTTAAACAAAATCGTAAGTTTTTTTTTTTTTATTTTTATTTTATCACGTCATTACATTGCCAATTTAGATTTCTACTCCCTTGTAGGACCATTGGCTTTTTAAAGAATTTTAAGATTATTTTCCAGCAATAGGCACATATGTACATGTATGTCTTTACGAAGCTTTGCTCGCATCTTGAAATGGACACGGCCAATTCGGCGCCCCCTTTAAACATGCCCATGTGTTGATCCAATATCAATTTGGCAACGATTGAAATTGCCATTTTCTTTGCGGAACAAAAAAAAAACTGATGGGTGCAAAGCAACGCCTACATGTCGACACGCGATTTCGCATTTTAAATTCTAATCACGTCACATTGGAAGCCACGGAATCTCAAATTAACGTGAATTTGGGAAATTATTCGGTTTATTTCGAAAATAAAGAATTAATGGCATGACCTACGCCAGTTGTTGTGTTCCAAAGAGTATTTTTACAATTCAAAAGTGACACGCAACAAAACAGATGGCCAGCAATCTGGAGTTTTGCATATGCGTCATAATCTCGAGGGCACGAATGTAGGATAGCATCTCATCTCATGTGCGCAATAACTTCACAATTTCACAAGACCAATTTTACTTTCAAATCCGGATGACAATGCGAAATGGGACATCTATAATGTTGTTACTCAATCGAACTACGATTTTTTCCAGGAGTGCATTATACAATTATACAATTCCCATATGTTATAGAACTGTAAAGAGAAATAATTACAAAATGAATAAAGGAACCATAAAAATTTTTAGAGCAGTAAAAAGTAAATTTAACTATGTTTTTTTCTTTTTAAAACATAAAGGGAAAAAGAGCATGCGGCTCATCTGATGTTAAGTGATACCATCGCCCATAAACACCTATCTGCAACATCAGAGAAATTACAGATGTGTTGCCTGCCTTTTAAAAAGGAGTATACTCTTTTCCTGCAGGTTTCAATGTTGTATCTGTTCGGAAATACTACTGCCAGGAGTTGGTTCCATACTTTGATTATGTGTAGAAGTAAATTAATATATATTAAAAAAAAAAAGATGTAAATTTTGATAACCTGAGTAGAGAACTATCCTCAAATTAAGATTTCAAAAGATATAAACTCTATAACTGCACAAAGACAAAGAAGACAAACCTTAACTCTTGGGAGTCGTAAGCTTATAACGCGTGGGAGTGTTACTCATGGACGTTTGAATATTTTTGGCTTTTCCAATCGTTAATATTTTACTGAACTAACTGTTATCCTGCGGAAATCCATATCAGTGGTTATTTGATTAGAATTATTTTGTTTTATTTCCGTTACCATCAGTATGTGTAGATCTATATGTAGTACGTATGTATGTATATGTAGTATAACCAACACTCGAAGATTGATCATTAACATTACTACCAGAAGTTCTAGAACCTTCCATATTAGTCCTCATATATATATATATATATATATATATATATATATATATATATATATATATATATATATATATATATATATATATAATGTACTTCAAGAAAATAAATGTCAGACTTAAAGGAATATCTATATCACATACAGAGTGGTTTAAAATTAAATCGGACGTTATTAACTTATTGTTACAATAAACAGCCAACAAGGTCGATTCGTACAGTTATTTCGAGCTAGGTCGAACAGACGTACACTTGTAGGTTTATAAAATATTACAAAAACATAATTTCCACAATACCTAATAGCAGAGTATCGAGGGAAAGGGATTTTTAGAAATGCAGACTATCAGTCCTATTGCTGGCAATATACGCTATCAGGTCAACCTCCAAGTGGTCCCCCTGGAAACCACTTTAATGAAATTTTGGAAATGTCTATTGTTTGCTCCAAGATGAAACATACGGTGGTTCTTATTGTGATAAGAAAAAATGAGCTCTATATAGTTGTTAATAAATAAGGCTTTCAAGCCCATTCGTGAGTTTTTATTCTTTTTAATACTTTTATTGTATTGCCGTTTTGATGACATTTGGCATCATTAAGGATTCGAAATTTGAAATCACTGAAGGATATCCATTAGAAACATATAAATAAATGAAAGGCAACAGTGGAATTACGTCAGAGAGAACAAGCATTACACACAGCACGTTTTGTTGCTAATTGTAACTAAATCTAAATATTTATGAAAACCGTACGTGATATTTACTCGAGTGCAGCTGATCTGTGGAGAGAGGAGATATTACGTCGGATTACTGAGAGAGAACCACGTTACGGCAAACGAGACATACTTACATATTTTTTTTGAACACTGGTAAGACGTTCATTCTATTTCTTTTGAACCGATCACAAAAAGAAGAAGATACTCAATTGGATTGTATTTTTTTTATGTTTGTTACCTCATAACTCCGTTAGTTATAAACCGATTTGTAAAATACTTTTATCTGAAAGGATATATGTACTTACAGATTGATCCCATATGAAATTATAATTTTGTCACAATTTAATGAATTAATGAATGAGTATACTTTATTTGCATTATACGGAATAAACAAGACCATTCATAAATATAACGATACAATTTTATAAGTAAAGTATGGCGATCTTATTGCTGAGAGCAATCTTTTCAAGACAATCTTAAGGTAACGGACTAATTGTCTTGTGTCTGTTTTTTGTGGAACAAAATCTTAAATTATGATTGAATACTGTTGTTGTTATTATTTATTAAGCTAGGGATTAGCATTGTATAAAGTAATTTGAGGACCTTTGCCTTTCTTACATCGCTTAAAGTTTGAAAATTTATATAAAACGTACCCAACATAGAATTAAAATAAGTTAAACAAAGGGATTAATATTGAAGTACCATTCCTTAAACTTCTCTTTAAAATTACAATTTCAATTTAATAGTTTAGCAAAACTATAATCTTTAAAGTTCTGACTAAATCCTACTAAAATTTAATTTATATTAATCTTTAGAATAATAAAATTTTTATAATATCGAATTGAAATTTTAATTTTCGAAAAGGAGGTTTTTTTTATACAACTTAGAATGGCAAACAAGCTGACGGCCCACCTGATGAAGAGTGGTAACCGTCGCCATAGACATGAGCTGTACTATGGACATAACAGAGTATACTGTTTCGCCCATGATACCCCCCATGCATTGCCATTCCTGAGGCCTAAGATGTTATTCCTCTATACGCCATATCCCACCCTTCAAACCTAAACACAGCAATGCAAATACAACTAGTTCACGGTAGAAACACGAATGGGACAGAGGTACCTAAGCAATCAACTTTTGTACAAAGGCTCCCTCTGTTTCGAAATCGTCTTCAGAAACTTCTTTTATAAAACTTATATTATAAAACTAGCGATCCGACCCGGCTTCGTACGTGTAGATAAAATTTTCGAATATATGTTGTTACTAGTTGATAATGTAGCTTTCTATAGGTGAAAGAATTTTTAAAATCGGTTCAGTGGTTTTTGAGTTTATCCATTACAAACAAAAAACAAAACCTTTCCTCTCTACAATATTTGTATAGATAGTGTGCACTAATTAGTAAATGTTACGATGATAATTTGAATGCCATAATGACCACTATATGATATTATTTCATTAGTCACGAATGTAGACGCGCTATTGCTACCTTTTTTGCCTATGCACGGCGTTGGCTGCCATTCCGGAACATTCGATAGTATTGCTTCGACGGCCTGCAACAAAAACATACAACATCTCATGCAGTGTTATGTACGCAAATTCTTATATATATTCTTCTACTGTATCTTAAACAAATGATTGAAGACATTTCAACATAATTTCATATCGTCCATGGTCCTTTCACGGTTCTTTTTATATCACAAAAGTGGCAAACAAGCGTACAGACTGTCTGATGGTAAACGGTCACTGTAGCCTATGGATATCTGCATGATGAATTTTGCAAATTAAATACACTCGATTAACACGTTTAAACAATCTCTTCTACTTTGTATATTAGTATATTCATCCTGGTAGCCGTATGGTCCCGTCCTAGAACAGGCCACCCCTTCCTTTCCCGTGGGTTTAGTATGAGGCGACTACGGGAGAACGAAGAATGGGCAACAGCGTCCCTCTTAAAACAAACGTGGTAACTACTGGAAAAACTCCCCAAGGGGAAGGTTTATGTTTAGCAGTAGACAAAAGAAGGCTGATATAATAATAGATGTTGTCCCAGGACAATACATGGGACACTTGTCATCAAATGACCGGAGGCAAAACGACGAAATAAAGCCAGTAATAAATAAAACATGAAATGGAAAACTTTATGAGTTTGTTTTTTTTCGAGATATTATCTGTAACCATAGATAATATATCAGACTACCCAAGCGAATACAAAAGCTATTTCATTGGGGTAATTATTCGCATCGTAGTTTCAAATTACAAATATAAATACATATCCGTAATAGGATATACCATAGATAAGAAAAGAGATATAATTATGCATAATTTTCATTCATAGGTCTCAGTATGCAATATGCCTATTGTAAAAACCATATTTTTTTTATTCATTTATTTATTTGCATAACGTCTACCTTTGGACTCCTGACGCTTGTATCAACATCATTGTATGTTTACAAACCTTAGGAATTCTCCATCTAAATGGAAAATTACGTAACTCTATTTTTCTAGTTTCGAGAATGTGAATTACCATTCTTGTCACATTTTTATTGGTATTATTAAAATTAAAATAATGTCACTGTCGACATTCATAAAAATATCTTCGAATAATACTTATATGCCATAGTCAACACCTAGTTGTGTTATTTTATTTATTTACGTTCAGGATACAGTCATCTACTTAAAAAAAATATTAAATTTATTACTAATTTATGAATATTTTGTGTGACATTCTTTACTTATTTTGCGCTTCTTCCGCTCATATATTTTCTTCGAAGTCTCGAAGGATTGAGGCGAAGAAAAATCCTTTCTAATTTTATAAATATGAAAGTAAGTTTTTTTCGTTACATCTTAGCGTCTTAACGGTTTAACCAATCACTATAGAATATGGAAATATACACTTTCTTACTTATAAAAACGCCAAACCTATTTTACCTATTGAACTATTTTGTGTCTTTTTTTTATGCCACATTCCCAATTTGAAAGAAACAAAACAGTTCAATAGCTAAAATAGCTTCGTAGTAGATTTTAGTTTTTATGAATAAGGGCTACTATGTGGAATGGGGGGAAAGGATTATTAGTGATTAATAGAATTACCAATCCTATTGCTAATAATATACCCTTTCAGGTCGACCTCCACGTGGTCTCTTAGAAACCATGGCGTTGGATTCCAGATAAATTCATCACGACGGGCTAACTGATCTGCCCTTTCAGTCTCACTGGTGCCCAGCCAGCGTATACCGTTAGTGCAAGCGGGAATACCATACCATTTTTACCCATTAAAAAAAGTATATGCAATGGAGATAGACATAGACTACATTTTATTCCAGTCAGGCGAAATATCCGGGTCATGTGGACGAAATTGCGGATAAAAGCTAGTACATGATAACCACAACGGCTGTACTAAGTACCTGTGCAGCAGCGACCCTGGTCTCCCAGGTTGGCGAGCGCAGATGCTTCATCAAACGGCCGAGCAGCCTGTGCAGCTCCTCAGGATGTGCCTTCTGCACCTCGCCAAGCTGTCTCGCGGCCGCCCGTCTAGTCGCCGCGCCCGCTCCTGCCTCCAGCAGCACGAACAGGCGGTCCAATCTATTACAATATGATTATTAATATTATAAAAGTGAAATTGAATTTGTTTTTTATCTTTCAGCATCTTGACTCCTTAACCAATCACTATGGAATTTGGCATATGCATCCTATAGGATGTATAAAATGATGGTATGAGACAGATGGAAGCAAAAAACATCCCAATGTGTCAACGTGCTACGGTTTAGCTGATCCCATACGCAAATAAAAGATAACAGAAGATAAAATAACCTATTTTATTCGTTTAGTTAACTTTAAAATTGCTCGTCTGTTTTGCTGTATTAATATTATTATTTTTTTATGTAAAGCATATATTATAAATATAAATACTTATAAATTAGTGCAATAGAAATTTTATCAAAATCTGACCAGTAATTTAGTTTTTAAATTTAAATTGTTTTGCCACATTTGAAGTCAGTTTTTTTTTTATGGAACCCAATTTTATATTAGTCAGTAGTTATTTTCAATTTATATTCAACAAAGAATATTTGAAAATAGGAAACAAACACAATGTCAAATTGATCGGTGCGTATGAGTATGGCCTTGAATGTCTTATGCAATTGCGTTTACTATATACAAAGTGGTAAATAAACAAAAATAATGTTCAAATGTATGCACAGAAAAAGACTTACATTTTTACAAAATTACGATAGAACAAGTGTGTAATTAAACAGTTTCGATAATAAAATAAATTCAACAAAAACGATTCACAACTGACAAAAATATAAGTGGTATAAGGAAAATAGAACGATTTAATATTTTGCTTCGCAAAAAAAAACTGCACAACAACTTAACGATAAAATAAATATGGTGTCAACACGGAAATAAACCCTAAAGATTGCAAAGATAATTATTGAAATCTTTTAAAAAATTCTCTAAACAAGATTGTTTTTGTGTGTATTATATATAAAAGAGCATAGACAAATTGAGAATCCTCTACTTTTTGCTTTCCAGGGGGGGGGGAGTGGTTCTGGTACCAAAAGAGGCAATCTTAAACATGTCTTTTTGTGAAAACTACTCACATCCTGAGCTAGGCACCAGTGTTTTGAGGATGAGCACTCCCTCCCCCCCCCTCCTAATACTATGTGAAAATCAAATTTAAATCTCCTTTACTTAAATAGGCTTGTTTACAAGCATTTTGAAATATTTTTTTTTATTTACTGCAGGGTGCGGAAAATTGTTTTCTGCTGAGAAGAGCTCCCAAGAAACTTAACAACTAGTAGATGGCAATGCTATCGAATACTAGAGAAGTAATAGTCTTTAGGAATGGACGCATAAGAGATACATGACACTACTGGGTATACTTTGATCTTTTTTTTTATACAACTTAGAATGGCAAACAAGCTGACGGCCCACCTAATGGAAAGTGGTAACCGTCGCCTATAGACATGAGCAGTACCATGGACATAACAGAGTATACTGTTTCGCCCATGATACCCCCCATGCGTTGCCTTTCCTGAGGACTCAGATGTTATTCCTCTGTACTCAGTAAATTCACGCCATATCCCACCCTTCAAACCGAAACACAGCCATGCAAACACAACCGCTTTACGGTTGAAACATGAATGGGACAGAGGTACCCAAGCAATAGACTTTTGTACAAAGTATCCCTCTGGTCCTGTTTACCGGTCGACTGGTAAATAACGTTTTATGGTGTTAAGTCCGTCATTTACACTTTCTAGGTATATTGAAGTTTAATAAATAAAGAAATACATAAATTTATTACCGTGAAGTCATAATACGATATTTCGAAACGCCATTCGTTTCATTGACACCGTTAGAACAAATATTGAGAATGTAGCGAGATGAGACATTAGATAGGTGTAATCCACAAGTTCGGTGATAGCAGCGGCAACGTATTTACATTTCACTGACCACTATCCTTTCACTTACTGGTTTGCAACTGGCAATGAGTGATATAAAAATATATCGACGCTGGACAAGCAAAACGTATTAAGCGCCAATTTAAACAATGTTGAATTACATACATATATCACTGAACGCAGTTTTATTCCGCAACAAAGGCCATAATTTAAGAAATTAATCAGGGTGTTTTGATGGCGATTTAGCCATGTGTCCACTTTCCTAACTACAAAAATTTCTTTGTTTTAAACTTTTTTTTTATTCATACATAAACGATATATCTACTTTGGCAAATACACTTTATATTCTGAGAAAATTAAAAACACCACAGCTAGAAGAATTTTAGAATTCTTATCACTGATAGGAATTAGCAGCGAAATTTAAAAATGGCGAGCATAAAAGATTACCAGAGGTCGCAGTGTTACAGTTTTTATCTACCTGAAAAACCCAGTCTCCCAAGAATGATAATATTTTTTATTGATATTCATTTTTTATTCATTGAAAAGATCTCAAAAATACAAAGATGTGATATTAACCGTCTTGACATGTCAGAGATTTACATTTCTAATTATTGTAACACACATTTTGCCGTTTAGTTTAATTTTTTTGTTTTTCTATAAAATTCATTAAATAGCACTTATAACATTTTGCTTATCCGGCGTCCACGTCACGCGTCCAACTATGACCTACGGCGTATGAATACGTGGCCCATACGAAACGTAAACTCGTAGTACTACGTAATTAATCTGGGCGATCGATATTTCTGTGTTACCTCACTTCTACTAGGTAGGGGGAAAGGATTGTTAGTAATAGGGATATAGCAGATCCACTGCTAGTGATATGCCCTATCACGTCGACCTCTACGCGATTCCTCCTAGCAACCATCTTAATTAATTCTTGTCGAATTCGTCACTGTGGGCTAACTGGTCTGCATTCATCCTTACCAGAAGGAGACTTTGTACAAAAGTCGATTGCTTGGGTACCTCTGTCCCATTCGTGTTTCAACCGTGAAGCAGTTGTGTTTGTATGGCTGTGTTTCGGTTTGAAGGGTGGGATATGGCGTGAATTTACAGGGAACAGAGGAATAACACCTGAGTCCTCAGGAATGGCAACGCATGGGCAGTATCATGGGCGAAACAGTATACTCTGTTATGTCCATGGTACTGCTAATGTCTATAGGCGACGGTTACCACTTTCCATCAGGTGGCCGTCAGCTTGTTTGCCATTCTAAGTCGTATAAAAAAAATCTTTTTTTTTATACAAGTTAATTCTTAATTAATTCTTGCCGAATTCGTCATTATGGGAATGGAGTCTGACAGCCCCATTGCTAGCAATATGCCCTATTAGTGATCCTTCACGTGGTTCCCCCTGGAAACCATCGTGAACAATTCTTGTTGAATTCGTCACGATGGTCTAACTGACCTACTTCATCCTCACCTATCATCCGTATATACCGATAGCGAGGGAATGGTTACCATTCCATTATCACCCATAAAAAAAACTGACCTACACTCACCTTTACCTATCATCTCTTGCTGGAGCCAGCTTTCCAGTTCTTACAGCGCTGGCGGGCTAAACGTTCCATTATCCATATACTTGGCCTAACTTCATAATGTTGGATTTTTTTTTTCAAATTATGTTATTTAGTTATGTTAGAATTAAGCACAATTGTTTCAAACACATAGGGTACTTTATGTACTGATTCACGCTAGCAGAGCCGCGGGAAACGGCTAGTACATTATAAAATGTTATCTACATTTTCCAAGTGTATGAATCTAGTTGCCAAAGCAATTGTCACAATAAAGCTATTACGATAATCTAATGTAAACAATAATATTATAATTAGTTGACGAAATTATCTGTCTAACAAAACAACGCGCGTCTAGAGCTATTAGTATCAATCCTTACTAATATTATACATATGAAAGTGAGTTAATTTGTTTGTTTGTTAGCTTATAGCGTTTTGACGGCTTAACCAATCATTATGAAATTTGCTATATACATATCAGTTAGTATGGGATGGAGAAGAATATGAAAGGCTATTTGTTATGCCGGTTAGTAAACATATCTCAGTCACGCTGACGAAGTAGCAAGTAAAAGCTAGTAATCTATATAAAATAATAAGTTGATCAAGATTGTATTGAATCAGTTATGCACTACAACGGCGTATTAAATCCGCCAATTTTTAAGGCCGTTTAAAAAAAGAATACAATTTCTAAACAGACTTTTTTTTTTAAGTTGAAGGACCACATATATACGCAAAGAACGAAAATTACTATACACTATTTAATAGAACCCAACGAAAATGTAAAGAATGGAATAATTAACCGGACCTCACTATCTGCTGACGTCCAATATTAACAATTGTACAAATAAAAAATCAATTAATTAATTGAATGTTTCGATTTGTTTACGTTGTTATATCAAAACAACTAGGTTATCTTTTCATTAATTTCTATTTAAACAAACCATACGTACAATAATAATTAATTCAGGTGTTTTTAATAAAAATGGAAAAATAATGATGTTCAGTAATAAATAACTTCAAATGACATCAACTCCTGAATGAGAATTTAAAATTAGAATTCACTTATTTGCTAGAATAAGGTACATTTTTATATGTGTTACAACAGAAGTGCTTAGGGTTAAAAAAAGAGACAAATTGTAAGAATTATTAAAGTCAGAAGAGGAAAAATGTTAGGACACTTGATACGACACGACGAACTTATGAACAATATAATAGAAAATAAGATAGAAGGAAGGAGGGGAAGAGGGAGACCAGGGCATAGTTACATCAGGCAGATCAAGGAAGGAGTCGATGTCGTGTCGTATCAAGAGGTGAAGAGACTCGTTAAAAATCGTAGCGAGTGGCAAGAGCTCCATTGACAAAAGCGCAGCTCATAAATAGGATAGATAGATAGATAGACGTTAGAAGGAAATTATAATCCAATCTTATTCAGCCACAATGTACGGGTGCATATATTAAAACTTATTAAATATTGAAATAATATTTTGCTACTTTTTGTATAATTCATTACTATACTTATTACATATGTAGTCATGTCAATTCATTAACAAATATAAATTCAATAAAAAATATTCACAATATAAAAGCTACAACGTAAGGTACACAATACCTATTTATCTATTTCATTTATAATTTTTCCATCACTTAGGAACTCATTTACTGATAATAATATTTATCCAGAAATAGTTTGAAGAGCTTTTTTTTTTATTTTTTAAATAAGATATAATTATTATTACTGTAGACAAGGTACAAACAAATCTGTTAATAGAACAGTCAGCGCTCAAATGGGAAGGAATAAAACTACGTTGCCATCTCAAAACTGTAAGACCGCATTACTAACAATTTGTACCCCCTCCCCTTCCCCCATCCTATTATTGGAGTTACCGTTGTTACACTTTGCCCTGTCAATTTGACCTCGGGATTAACAGCTAATTGACAAAAGACAATGAAGCAAAGGACAGCATCATTGATAAACTCATGCTGTTGTACATAATGACAAAGAGAGAGGCACTTACCGCGACGTCATTTTGAGTCCGCAATCAACTCAGACCATATAGTGTCTCCTGTAACAAAGACATTAAAATTGGTTATGATATTCAGTTAGGTTTTCATTCATTTAATCATATCAACCGTCCACTGCTGTACATAAGCTTCTCACAAAAGGAGAGTTTTGCCAGTAGTTGTCACGTTTGGCAAGCCGACTGACAACTACTGTTAGGCTTTGGTGATGTTCTAAGAGGGACGCTACTGCACATCACTGGACCATTTAACTCCCTTAGACGCCTCTTACGACACCCAAGGGAAAGGAAGCGGTGGCTTATTCTATGCTAGGACCATACGACAAAGTTAGATCACCTATTATTAATAATTGGGGACGAAGGCACAACACTTTAGTCCTAAGACGTTAAAGTGTTTTTTTCTTCTAATGATACTAAACAGCTAACAATTCATGATCTGGAAAAAGTGATCCCTATCGCCTACAGAGATGTGTAGTACCATGCACATCGTCCGCGTAAATCAGTATATGATATATATATATATATATATATATATATATATTATTTTTTATCTCCAGACAGCCTTTACTGTTTCACCTCGTACAAGAGCGAGTGCAGAAGGCATTTCAAGCCCAAAAGAAGGGAGCGACAAGTTATCAACTCTTACCGATGTGTTAAGAAAGGAAAAACTTTGTACCAAATATCATTCAAATCCGCTCAATATTTTTTGTGTGAAAGTGTAACAAACATCCATAAAAAGTTTGGCATTTACAATATTAATAGGATAGGATTCCTTTAGTTTATAACCTTTCCTCAAGCGGGCAATCAGCTTGTTTGCCATTCTAAGTTGCATAAAAAAAAACCTCCCTATTGATGTAACCTGACGATGAAACTGTCGCCCTCTACGCGAGAGACCTATTGAAAACACAGAGGCCTCAGTAGTGGCGGTTTTACGTTGCTCGAAGCACGTAGCATGCGACAATAATTTTTAATTCCAAGCGTTTATTTTATAGTAGTACCTACCACGTAATACCTACCCAGTACGGTGCAAAGATAAGCCAAATGTAAAAAATAAACAAATAAAAATCGTATTGTACAATATTACATAATCTGAAGGTCAACCATCTGTGTTGCACTCCTACTCGTGTTGCATTTGACTATTTTTTTTTTTTAATTTACTCTGCCATGTTATCTTAAATTCTATCTATTGTCTATTTTTTTTTTTATCTTTATTTATTTAAGGACTTTTGTCCTTTTAGGCACGCCAGTCCCATCGTACCTTAAACTTAATAATCTATTGTCTTGTTACTTGTAAACATCGAAGTAGGCATGCGTAATATGGATACCGATTCAATACCTATATTTTGGGTTTCTTTGGACAGTGATGGCGGAAAAAAGTGATCATCCATTTCGATATCGCCCATATCGGTCGCATATCTATTTTCGAATATGTTAAAAGTCTGTCATCCAATATTTTTTGGATAACAGACTTTTAAAATAATCGTTATTGGATCAGTATATAGATATTGTAACTAAAATATATACACATTGCTCTATATTTACCCCCACTACATCATAGACGGTATAGAAATATTTAACACATTGGATCAAAAGCAGCTGTCTTTTAGTATCATCATTGTTATATATATATCATTATTATATATATACAAAAAAACCGACTTCAACTGTAAAAATATTTACTGCAAAAATAGTTATTTTGATTTAAACACTAAACTACTGAGCCGATTTTGATAAAAAAAAAATTAAGACCAATCTGAAAGTATATTCTTTCAAATAAAGAATGAAGGAAACGTAGTTATGAGGTAACAAACATAAAAAAAAAATACAACCGAACTAAGAACCTCCATCTTTTTGAAATCGTTTGAAAATACATTCTTTGTTCACAAAACAGAATGTTTTTCATTAAATTATTAAAAAAAGAAAAAAGTTTTTCATGTGACTTCCAAACTAAATCATCAATTTGACAATACATTCTCCATTCCATATAGTACGTGTACGTGTATGCCAAATTTCATAGTGATTGGTTAAGCCGTTAAGACGTTATAAGGTAACAAACAAACACACTTTTACATTTATAATGTTAGTAAATATTTTGCAATTGACATGGTGCACACCCACTTTCTTCTAAGTTTTTATTTTATTTTATTGGTTATTTTGCTTCGTTACATTCTGAAGTTATGGCTTAATTTGAGAAACTCTTACTTACTTTTTTTTTATTATAAGAAAGAATAATAAATTTATTGAAGGTTTTAGGAAATCTTAAAGTAAAAAAAATACGTAAAGGTTTTCTGGAAATATGTTTTCATAAGTCATGCCTATTAAGGTGCTTCATTCCGACTTGACCTTTTAGCTTTTTCTCCCGTTACCAGCTAAGAATGATCGGGTTGACAAAGAGTACCCAAGTGTGCAGAATTATTTCGTAAAACAAAAGTGCTCGGAAGTTGATTACTAAACTGAATGTCAACGAAAAATTTACGTATCACAAATATGTATAAAAAAGCTTTACTCGCCAGTTGGTAATCGGTATCATATAATATATATATATATATATATATATATATATATATATATATATATATATATTTTACATAACACGATATCCTTTTTAATATTATAAATGTGATAATTTGTTCATAACTTCTTGACGTCTAAAAACCTCAATCGATCGTTAAGAAACTTGGTCATATGTAGTATTTTTGGATGGAGATGGACATTAATTACCTTTTATCGCGATAAAACACGGACGAAGTCGCGGGAAAATATTAGTATGAATAATAAATATCCTCACAACTGTAATCCTAAATAAGGTTGTCAAAGACATTTGTCAACAATTCCTTTGAGATGAAACAAATTAAGTATTTAAATCTAACATAACAAAGTACAAACTTGGATTGTTAGAATGAAATCAGATCAATCAATTGGCCTATCATGACGAATTCATGAGAAATTTATTGCGAATTTTTCTAGAGAGCCCGTTGTGGAGTTCGACCTGATAGGATATATTGCTAGCAATGAGGCCACTAGTACCCGTCACTAACGGTCTTTTCTCCCCAAACCAGAGGGAGACTTTGTACAAAAGTCTATTGCTTGGGTACCTCTGTCCCATTCGTGTTTCAACCGTGAAGCAGTTGTGTTCGCATAGCTGTGTTTCTGTTTGAAGGGTGGGATATGGCGTGAATTTACAGGGTACAGAGGAATAACACCTGAGTCCGCAGGAATGGCAACGCATGGGGGGTATCATGGGCGAAACAGTATACTCTATTATGTCCATGGTACTGCTCATGTCTATAGGCGACGGTTACAATTTTCCATCAGGTGGGCCGTCGGCTTGTTTGCCATTCTAAGTTGTATAAAAAATAAAACTATCTGAATTAATTAGTTAACAACATTTATAAAATATAATCTGTATACAATATTATATAACATTTATATATAATTATCGTATATACGACACTGTACAATCTTAACAAATGACCTAATAATGATAAAAGTTTACTACAATCATGCGTTTACAAACAACTCACAAATAGAAACATCGAAAAGGGTTAATAATGTTGATACGTCGATCCGAGCGTCAAGCCCATTTCTTTGAAACTATTTGTAAATAGTCTATGTACTCAAAGAAAGTCAACAGCATTATCCCGCAGAATTTTCGACACCTTGGGACACGGGTTTCCCGTCTGAGTACAATCGGTAAACTGCCGCGTGCGTCCTGCGCGGAGACCCTTTTAACTTTCCGATATGTATTTGACACAAATTAAGGTGTTAACAATAAAATTTTGGCCAAATTTAAAATTAAATGCACAGATTAAGATAGAAGAAAAACGTATCTACTATAATTTCATGTATGTTTATCGGATTTTGGTGAAATATCAATTTTTAGACAATGAAAGTAACTTATAATTTAAATTAATTAATTTCAAACAGATTGTAGTTTAATATATATTTATTTCAGATTTTTTACTATTAACGCAATCTGAATGACGTTTCAAAAATGATCTCCGATGGGATGAAGCACCTTAACATGTTACCTTCTTTTTATTCTTTATTGCACACAAATGTAATGATAAGAACAATTAATTTCTTTGTGTGTAATCCTTAGTAAAGTGAGTTTTTTTTTTTTTACTTTATAGCGTCTTAACAGTTAAACCAATCACTGTATATTTTTTTTTAATGGGTGATAATGGAATGGTAACCCCGCTTTCGCTATCGGTATACACCAACGGGGCACCAGTGAGGGATGATAGGTGACAATGAAAGCAAGTCACTTAGCCCATCGTGACGAATTCCATTAGAATTAACCACGATGGTTTCCAGGGGGAACCGCGTGGAGGTCGACCTGACAGGGTGTATTGCTAGCAATAGGTCAGTTAGACCCCATTACCAACAATCCCTTTCCCCACACTCACTGTATAATTTGGTATTCAAGCACTATATAAGATGGAGAAGTATATAGTATACTTTTTATCTCGGTCAGTAAACATAACCCGGTCACGCGGATCAAATCGTGGGTAAAAGCAATTTATCGAATATCATTGTTATGGGTCGAGCAGGCATACGTAAGTATAGTGGGGCGCTATACTCCCCGTGATAGAGTGAAGTGTTAAAAAGCATCGCCGAGTATTTACTTAGGGTAGAGATGGGCAATCCACCTGGGTGGGTTTAAAGTCTGGTGGGTAAAAACCGGGTGTTTTGGGTTTATTGGGTTTAAACCCCATAAACACCCAAATTTTTGGGTGTTTATGATTTTGTACTTCATCATCGTCATCTCAGCCGCAAGACGTCCACTATACTGGACATAGACAATATTATTATGCAGCCTACAGAATAAAAAACTTTTAATTTGATTTTGAGTTTATTAAGAAAGAGATGAAAGTAAAATGTAAAACTACAGTCAATCACTGTCAGATTCAGAGTTATTACAAGCGATGAATTGTATAGGTTCGATAGGCTCTATTTCGTCTAAACTGTTATGTTCATTTACTTGCTCAATGAAAGCTTCTAAGGTATTTTCTTCATTAAACTGAATGTCCTCGCATTCAGCTTTATGTTTAAGATTCCAGTTATAACAAATGAATGAAATTTTTTCAGTTCTTTCAGTTGTAAGTCGATTTCTTTTGTTATTATGTATGTAGCCTTGGATACTAAAGGAACGCTCAGTGGCTGCCGAAGTACAGGGAGCTGATAGAATACGAATCGCTACTTTGCTTAACTCAGTGGAACCACAAATACCTTTCCACCATATTAGGGGCTCAATGCTATCTAATGAGCTCCATACAAATCCTCTGGCCCAAAAGTTTTCTTTAGCTTTATAACACGCCAAATCTGCCATTACATTTGACAAACTTAAGTGTTGGCTTAAATTGTAGATAAACTCCATACCCTTAAGTTCTTCCTCTTGAGTAAGTTCGACTCCTAGAGTCCTGGGGTCTAGAATATATGCTGCAAAATGTATTGGCCTCATTGCCATATTGCATCTTGAAGATACTGATGTTAGAATCTGCTGTTTGCTTTCTTCGCTCAATGTCGAAATCTCATTTAATGCAAAACGTATCTTAGCTTGTACATCTCTAAATGTAATGTATGTGCGATGCAAACGATTCTGGTCGCTCTCTAAGTAAAATATGCTTTCAGTGACTGGTTCCAAAATACTTATACATTCCCCTGTCTTCGTCCAGAAATCATCACTTAGAATTAAATCTTTAATATCTCTTGAAATTACCACATCTTCTCTAACTGTTAATATTTGCAAAGCTATCTTATTTGCTTTCAAACTTTTTAACGAAGTAACATGACTTCCCCATCTTGTAGCACAAGGCAATTTTAGTGTTTGTGTAGAATCTTCACCCTGCCTTGATTTTATCAACAAGGAACTTAATCGTTGACTCCTTTTAACAGTTTTTATTATATTTATGGCTTGCATAATAAACACAGTTACTTCTTGTATCTTTACAATATCTTGGCACAACAAGTTAAGGATATGTGCACAGCAACCGAGAGGAACAACATGTGGATATTTGAGTTTTGTTAATTCGAATGCCTTTTGTATATTTCTAGCGTTATCGCCAATAAGTACAAGAAACTTATTTGCTCCATACACTTTCATTACTTTTTCAACTTCTTGGCTAAGGTATTCACTAGTGTGAGGATTACTTTCTGTATTCAAACTTTTAACGTATGCAGGTTGAGGTTTTGATATAAGAAAGTTTATTATTCCTTCATTTCTTAAATTAGACCAGCCATCGCACTGAAGGTGTAAGTAACTACAAGCATTTAGTTCCTCATTTAACTCAAAACGCATTTCTCTATATATTTTATCTAAGTATTTTGTCGCTAAAGCTTTACGTGAAGGTATTTTAAATTTTGGTTGCAATTTTTCGAAAAATTGTATCCATAAAGGATGTTGCACCATCGATAATGGCGTCCCTGTTACAAATATAGCTCTCGCTAATTCTGTTTTTATATGATCATCGGTGTCTTGAAACTCAGCATTTATTGTAGTGTTAGCAGACGACGAGGGGCTTATAAAAGAATCATTTGTCTCTATCTCTGACAGTTTTTTTTTTTTTTTTTTTTTTTTTTTTTTATAGAACTTAGAATGGCAAACAAGCTGACGGCCCACCTGATGGAAAGTGGTAACCGCCGCCCATAGACACGAGCAGTACCATGGACATAACAGAGTATACTGTTTCGCCCATGATACCCCCCATGCGTTGCCATTCCTGAGGACTCAGGTGTTATTCCTCTGTACCCAGTAAATTCACGCAGTCCAGACATTTTGGTTTTGGACGAGCTATCTTTTATAAGTTTCATAGAGTCTTTTAATGTTTCTGGAGATTTTGGACAAGTGATAAGATGTTGAAGCATTTTGGCAGCATTACTGAATTTGTAGACCTTATTACAAAGCTTGCAAGAAACAGACTTGTTTGGTAAAGTACGGTAGTGCTCCCATATGCGTAAATCTTTAGGTCTCCCCATTGAACCTAAAAAAATGAACGATGATTAGTTGGTCTGACGAAAATTCAACAATAGAGTGCCTATTTTTTTACAATGATTATTTCTTGTTATTTACAATAAATTTATTAAAAAAATAATAAAATAAATACAAAAAGCCTTTGTAAAATTACATCTCCTCGGAGGATTAAACGCAGACGCTAGTTTATTATCGTATTGTTCTGTATTTTTCTCAGCAACTTCTTTAATTCGATTAGGTACTTACGCATATTATGTTAAAAATAAATATCTAGTACACATCTTAGGCTATCCACCATTATTATCCAATGACGACTCTCAGCTAACTATGCACTATCATCCAAAATAAACGTGTATGGAAAATTTTATCCCAGTCGGTTGAGGATTGAGGATAATTGCATCAACATACGAACATACCTACATACTTTTATTTACATAACGCAAGCTAAATAAAAGCTTGTAATAATACATCTAATTTTAAGTTAAAATTGTTAAGTGATCATGATATAATTGTATCATTCAAAAATCCACTTACCTTTAATTATTTCTTGTTAAGTATAAATATTATTTCAAATCTGCTCCCTTAATATGCACTTTTTTACTGCTTTTCCTACCTAACACGTTACCAGGAAGTCACGTTACCAGAGTCAGAGTAATAGTGAACACGTTTGACAGTGATTGTCGTCGCCTCATATTCAGCGTCGACGAATAGGGGAATCCCCAGTCATAATGTATTGCATGCGTGGCGGTCTTACTTCAAATCCATAAACAAAGAGATAATTACAGAACTCGATACTAGATGGCGCTGTTTTTGTTTGAAGAAAGTTTGCGGGCTAAAATACATAGAATTTCATCAATGACTTCCACAAAGAACAACATTTCTGTTTTTTCTAAGTCCGTATCTCTTCCGTATATTTCATAAGATATAAGCTTGGGCTACATTGTTATGCAACGTGATTTTGTCGCTGTCTTGCTAGCAGGGTTGACAGATATACGATTTAAATCGTACTCATACTATTATTTGTCTATTTTTTAATGTACGATCGTAAAGATTATGATCGTAATTCGCACAAAAACATACGACTTTTTGGTTACCTGGCAACATTTTTATTATGAAACGAACATGCTCACATCATCAGTCACATGCAACAATTTATTGGGGATTTCCCCTTCACATCTGGCAGTCCTGCTTGCTAGAATATAGGTAAGTCAGCCACAGTTACTGACGATCGATATTTAAAGGGTATTGTTTTTGTGCTAAATATTTCATAAAAACGTTATTTAATACTTTGTGGATTATTAATTTAGTTGATAATCACTGGAAGTAAAATGGATGCTAATTTGAGAGATCAAGATCTTCGTATAAAACAGTTAATAAAAGAAAATCTACGTAAGTACTCTTTTTATACCTAGGTAGGTAAGGTATAATAAACACAAAAGGTACTTAGATCGCGTGTGTTCGAAGCATTTATTCTAATAAATTTAATTTAAAATTGTAGAAAGAAAAAAATGTCTGCCAAGCCGTAGCCGAAGCCGATCTCCAAATATATTTGGCGATAGTGAGACCCAGTGTCCAGATGATTTACCCAGCGTCGTCGCAACAAAGAAAAGAAACGAGGATAAAGTAAAAGAAAATTTACTGAAAGAAGAAACAAACTGTTCTAAATGCTTAATTTATGGAGAAGAGGATAAAAGAAATGAGTATTTCGGACTGTTAGTGGCTCAAGAATTTAAATATATACGGCCATGTGTGCGAACGAGGTGTTATGAAGAAATTTTAAAGTATCTACGGGAAGCAAAAGGCCAACATGTTGATCAACTGCAACATGAAAACACTGAAAATTAATTACTTTCATTTTATTATATATAGATTTTTAAAATTTCCTGAAATATTATTAGTTAACGTTTTATTTAATATTGTAGAATTGATCAATACAATTTATAAAAATAATTTATTGGTATTACTTACATATTTTCAAAAAAATACGTAAAAACCTATTTTTTTGGGTGATTATGGGAGTTTATGGGTGTTTATTGGGTTTTTACCAAAGCACCGGGTTTAAACCCGGTGCTTTGCCCATCTGTAACTTAGGGCGTACTTTGTTGTGAAATATGAGGGAGATCCATGTTCAACAGTTGTCGATATAATGACATGTAATGATGATGATGATGTAGTCGATATTGTATCAGCCGTTAACTGTCCATTGCTGAACATAGCCTCCCCCATAAGAGGGTTTTGTTAGTAGTTGCCACGCTTGACAGGCGGGTTGGCAACCGCAGTTTTGGCTTTTGGTGATATTTTAAGTGGGACATTGCTATCCATCCCTCAACCATAAGCTTCCTTACTTGTCTCTTACGATACCCACGGGAAAGTAAGGGATGGCCTATTCTATGCCGGGACCTACACAGCTATAGTCGATACGAAAAAGTACAATTTTTATTGAAATAAAATTAAATTTAAACATTTTTGAATAGTCATTTTTTATGATTCTACTGCCCATTCGTAATGCAATTTCAGCTGAAAACGGGCGAGGAACTCAACTGTTGCTTTAGTACGCATTTAACATATCTATTAGAAGTTAGCATGCCAAGGGCGAATCTTTTGCCATCGTTCGGATAAATTTATTTATTTATTTAAGGACAACCAACAAAGCATACATTTATATCTACTTAAAATACATTATAATATGGTTACATTATAAAATGCTGCCTCAATTAAAGGCCGCCACGACATGAGATTCATAATATATAATTATTAGGACGAAAATTTATAAAAACTCCAATACTACGAGTAGTTATACAATAAATAGTTAGACTACAGTAATAGTTTGGATTTGAAAGATTTGTACATTTATAATCTATACATATGTGCAATGATACATGCCATACTGTTATTAAGCTGATTAAATTAATTAAAATTTGGTTGGTTAACGATATTTTCCATCGCCAGAGAACGATCGCACTTTTCAATCGACTTCAAAAAGGAAGTCCCCAATTTCTCTATATTTTTTTATGATTGTTAACTCATGTCGCCGTCAGCTCTGAACCAATTTGAAAAATTGTTTTTTTTTTATCTAGAAGATATATCCTATTAAATAAAAATAGGTACATATAAATTGTTCTAATAGAAATTTTATCAAAATCGGTTCAGTAATTTAAAATCAAAATAATTGGTTTTGCCATAATTGAAGTTGGTTTTTTTTTGTGGATTACAATATAATTATATACCAATTACGAAACTATATATCGTCACCGTGGGGTAAAATGGATGGTTAGTAATGAGGATCTTACACCTCCACGACTAGCAATATACTCTATCAGGTCGACTTCCACGCGGTTCCTTCTGGACACTATCATTGTTAATTCTTATTGAATTCGTCACGATCGGCTAACTGACCTACTTTCGTCCTTGCGTATCATGCACGTATCATGTCTCACTGGTGCCCCTCCAGCGTATACCGATAGCGCAGGCGGGGTTACCATTCCATTATTATGTAGGTATTTACATCATTACCGTTGGCGTTGCGTCGAATGACGTCACTATACATGGAAACACATATTTGATAGCGGGTACATAATGCTATCATATTTGAACAAATTGATAAAAGTAAAATGCATATTAGCCATACATTTTTAGCCAACTTTAAAAAAGAGTAGTTCCAGAATTCATCTGTATATTATTTGTGTAAACAGAATTGGGCAAAATAAATTTTATTATTATTATTAAATACATAAGCCTTCCCCATTTTTTAATATTCAATCTACTTTGTAATTTATAATTACAAACAATACAGATATATATATATATATATATATATATATATATATATATATATATATATATATATATATATATAGATTAATTATTTCACACTATTTTATTGTTTATATATTTATATAATATTACATTACGATTTAACATAAAATCAAAATAGAATTTTCGTGAAGTGAAAACGTCCATCAAAGGGCGCCGAAAGGCAATCTCACTCTACCCTGATCAAGGGCTGGGGCTGGCGCTATGCGAAACTTTAATATGTTACAAAATTAGTTCGAAATCGTCAGGGAACCCCATACTAATCCCTATCGCTTGAAAGGGATTAATAGAATCGGTTTATTTAGTTGATACGTTGTTTGGATTTTCGTAAGTAGTTTATTTAACAGATTAATGGAAGTGATGACAGTTTGTGCCATGCTTGAAATTTCCCTTAAGATTTCCCTATAATATGCATGAATTCCGAGTTATCGTTGTACAAACAGGATAAGACGCAATTTATTTAGGTAATTGCAATGTTTGATCATGATAACACTGCCGCTCCCTCGAGTGTGAATTTTATGGGACTGTAGGTATATGACAGTAATGAAAAACGGTTATACCTGAAAATTTGGCAAATTATGAAAAAGAGCAACACATTCCAATTCCACATTGGGATGTGGAGATCTCGAAGTCTCCCTCCACCAGAGGGAGACTTTGTACAAAAGTCGATTGCTTGGGTACCTCTGTCCCATTCGTGTTTCAACCGTGAAGCAGTTGTATTTGCATGGCTGTGTTTCGGTTTGAAGGGTGGGATATGGCGTGAATTTACTGGGTACAGAGGAATAACACCTGAGTCCTCAGGAATGGCAACGCATGGGGGGTATCATGGGCGAAACAGTATACTCTGTTATGTCCATGCTACTGCTCATGTCTATAGGCAACGGTTACCACTTTCCATCAGGTGGACCATCAGCTTGTTAGCCATTCTAAGTTGTATAAGAAAAAACATTATAATCTAGTGTGTGGTCTACCACAATGTAACTCCATGTCGAGGGAGAAGTTTGTTTTTATTAATGGGTGATAAATGGCATTGTAACTCCACCTGTGCTATTAGAATATGCTGACGGGGCACCAGTGAGAGATGATAGATGAGAATAAAAGTAATTCAATTATCCTATCACAGCAAACAAGAACTAAAATGGTTCCTAAAGTTCAGATTTTTTAATGGATGAAAATCTATTGGTATCACAGCTACATGATTGGTATACACTGGCTGTGGAACCAGTAATGAATTTAACAAGAGGTAACCACAATAAGTTCCAGGGGAAACCATGTGGAAGTCAACCTGATAGGGTATATTGCTAGCAAAAAGGCTTTTAGATTTTCATTACTAACAATTCCTTCTGACCTGATAAGCAATATTTTAATTTTTTTTATTTTATTTGTATTTTTGTATTGCTAGCAAGTGGGCTGTTAGACTATTACCATTACTAAAAATTCCTTTTTCCCAGTAATAGCTTATTAGTTAAGCAATACTTCCTGTTAGGTTGCCCTTTATGTAGCTCTCCTTGGAACCCATACTTTTACTAGCAATATGGCAGCCAAACCTCATTACCAACAATCTACTCCCCTCCAATCATAGTAATTAATTAATGTTAAATTGGTCATAATAAGCACTGTATATATTATATCATAGATAATATATTTTCTTTAAATTGAACAACCTAAATCATAATAAAATTAATAGAATTTTTAAAGCATTTATATTTATACAACAATCTGTTATTTATTGAATATAGAAAGCAGTATCATCCACAAAGCAGGTCATGAAATATTACATTTGTTTTTTGTTAGTATTTTTGCTGCAAGATATGCACCTTTATCCACCATATTCAATATATATAGACTTGCACCTATCCACCTTCACAATTTGTGGAAAGTTACTAGATTTATTTAGTTCATTAGAATAAACTCTGATTGAGAAATTGAAATTAATTTGCTGTGATTTTGACAACAATTTTGAAATAGGAAAAGCTTTGTACTACAATAGGATTAGAGCAATTGCTCTTCTATTTTCAAAAAGTTACAAAAAGAAATTATAGTTCGACTGTCAGATAATCTGTCCATCAGAGTGGCATATTTTATCAACTACTAACACTTTGATTAAAAATATAAGACAATTTTCAATAAATTGTAAAATATAATTTACTAGAATTTAATAATATTGCAATCTGTTAGACCAGAAATATTCATAAGATTTATAACATAATATTTATTATAATGATGATTAAATAGATTAGGATAATATTATATATACCCTACAATGTATGTGCTAATCAAAGGTATGATCTATCTGTGTAAGGTCTAGCCAATATCATACAAATCCATTCAATAAGCAGACTGACAAAATGCAAATAAATCTATTGAATTGTTGCATATCATAATATAACAGTAAAAATAACTAGAAAACCAACAGTAAGTCTAGAAATAATTTGATTTAAATATTTCTTTTTTTTTTTGCTTAATAGTAAAAGTTTGAAAAAAGAGAAGCTAACAAAAGAGAGAAGAAAACAAAAGATTATACTAATAAAAGAATTTTATAAAACAACATAAAATAAGAAAAACAATATAAGTATCGGTTTCCTCTCACTTTTGTTTGCTAATGAAGATGAATTAATACTACATAGCCAATTATACCTAGAATATTTTGAAAATATAATTATTTTCTAATAACTTGATCCTACCATCAACAATAGAATTATATTTCATAAATAATTCTATACTTTTTCTTGGATAGTAGTCAACGCTAACGGTACGTATACAATTAAATAAATTACGACCCTTTCACGCATGCTAACATATGGCCGAGCAGGAATTATCATATTGATTAATCCAAATATTGCACTCGCATTAACATTCGAGACCTGTATAAACGACCTTGAATTGCCTGAAATGAAAAAGTGACGAAAACCACATACGTAGCTAATACAGATTGGTTTTTTAATGTCACAATTACGTTGAATTTGTTGTGCAGAAGAACAGTGATCTATCTTTTTGTAATAATAATTCATCAATAAATCTTAATATATAACGCTTACCTTGTACGACAAGGCAGATATCAGGTCACTGCACCCAAATCTTTCCATATTTTATGCCACACAACATCACACACGATAATATTTTCGTCAAATTGCACAAACAAAAAAAACCAATGCGACGAGAGGAAACGCATCGTTCAAGCTTCAAATTTATACTGACAGCCATGCTGCTGATGAGTCCGTCTTTATTGTGGAGTTGTGCGCTGATTGGCTGTTGCGCCGTGTATAAAAAATAATAATTACAAATTTCAACCAATCACATGGAAAGAATTCAAAAATTCTTGGCAATCTGCCAAAATTAAAAAAGTTGTAAGAAGATGAATAGTTATAAATATGCATATTACAAAGGCAAAAGGATAAAACTATACAGATTCAACTTTATGAAATTATGATATTAAACTTATTTTTTTAACATACCCTATGTAGAGGCTGTTTTGCTATAACAAAAAACCTTAGATGCAGCAAACACTTTGTACAAAATTGATAATTGTCGAAAAATTGTGTACAATTGCTTTCTAGTGTCAAATGAGTTAAATGTAATTTTCTTTGATAGCAGCACCACTTGCCACCTAATACTAATAGATAAAATTAATTCGTAATAGTTATTTTATTTCCTAAAACGTTTTGCATAAGGAGCATTACCTTTCTTGATGATTGCTTTTAAGTAATGGAAACATATCCAAAACTAAGTTAGATAGCATATAGGTAAATATCGAGCAATTTTCAGCTACTTAACGCAAATAGAGAAATATTCAATTTGTAGGTATCCGAAATCTTTGGTACGCATATTTCCGAACTTAGCTCTCAAGAATTGATCTTTGTTGTCTGTCAATTGACTATCAGACGTCAGTCACTTTCCGAAATCTTAAATTCCATTTGTTGATAGAATAAAACACATGCTTTATTGCTTACTTTCTACTTTTTATTACCTATATTATATTTATTTAGTATAATAAGTAAATATTAATTGATTTTAAAAATGGGTAAAAAGAAAAATAAAAACAATGAAAAGAAAAATAAAATTAATTTAGTTTTCGATGAAAACAAGCGAAAGTGATTACTCTTTTAATTTTTGTTTACATTTATATTTATTTTTGTAATTAATATTAATAAAAAATTAATTCTAAATTCATATTGTAATTAATTACAGAGAATTTCTATGTGGTTTCCGAAAACGTAAACTAGAAAGAAAAAAGAAAGCGCAAGAGGAATTGCAACAACTGTTGAAGAATGAAAAAAGAAGAATAAAACAAGAGGTATTTTGCTTTGACTATATTACATGAAAAGGTTGCCCATCGATCCCTATTTAGAAGAGGGACAGAATTGTCAGGAATTCGCTTTCGGTATATGCCGCAAAATTGTCAGGTGACTTAAAGATATTCGTACCTTGAACCTTGTTCCTTGAACAGTAAGGGAACTCTTCAAAGATTGGTAGTAAGAATTAGCAGAATTGTCAGTAGATTTCACTTATACAGTTTATAAGGTCCAAACAAATAACACAATATATATATAAATGAACACACAATATCACTTGATGTTTAAATAAAATAGTATTTAAATCACCTACTAATTTTCTATTTTCGTAATAAACGACAGTCAACAATTGCTAGGCAACACACGCAATAGGTGTCACACCGCATTTAAATTTTGGACAAACCAAAAAGTATTAACAAGGTGTCCACCCTAGAATAAGAAGTGGAGCTTTCGGCTATGCGTAAACGTGTTTATACAGGGCGGGAGTTTCTTGGTAATGCCGACTAGTTTCATTGCTAATAATATACCCTATCAGGTCGACATCCTTGTTATCCCCTCTGGAAACCAGCGTGTTGAATTCTTAGTGTATTCATCATGATAGACTAGCTAGATAGCTAGCAATATACCCAACCAAGTTAACCTCCCCATGGTCCCCCCTGGAAACCATCATGCTGAATTCCAAGTATATCTTGGATTTTAAAGATTTCAGTTGTGAGGTAAATTAGTACAACTAAAATGTTATAATAAACATGACTAAAGTTATTTAATAAGTTTGTCATCACTGGCAAACTTCTGATATACTTATTCTATATCATATAACCTACTTTATATATACTTTTTTTTTTATGGAAGTAGAATGATATTGCACTATTGCTGGTGGGGTGCTAAAGAGTGATGATACATGATAAGTGATGAAATCAGGTCATTAAGCCCCTTGTGATAAATGTAATTGAATTTCATTTGTATCTATTGTACCATTTAAATGTAACTAAATAACAAACATAAATTTCCACAATTATAATATTAGTTGAATAATAGGATAATATTTCTATTGATTTTTAATTTCAGAATAAAGAATCATACAAGAAACTAGTATTGTCTAGTCGTCCAATACCAGATATAGAACAGTTACTACAAGAAGAATATGAAGATGAGGATGTAAATGTTAAGATAGTGGAGCTCTCGTCTGATACATTGCAAAAGAAAGATTTAGTTATAGGTGAAAATAAACCTAAAGTAGCTAATGAGAATACAGAAAAAAAGAAAAGTCATAATTTGATGCGGAAAATCCCAGGCATGGATTCAGATGTAGGCAGTGAACCAGAGGAATCAGATACAGAAGAAACCCAAGATAACAAATTAAAAACAAAGAAAGAAGTAAAAAGATTGCTGAAAAAACAAGCAACAAAAAAAGTCCAGAAAAGTAAAGTTTTCCAAATGAAAAATAAATTGGAGAGAGTTAAGAACAAGAAGAAATCTCATCAGAAAAAACACCACATGAAAGGAAAAAATGATCCAAAAAAGTCTAAAAAGCAATTAGGCAGAAGGAAACATTAAAAATATAAGTCAATTTTAAAATAAAAATTGTATTTTATTGAAATCAAATTAACACTGAATGAGGTAGTTGTAGTCTTACTACTATTTACTTTTAATATGTTTATCACATTCAATAATTATAAATATATAATCAAAATTCAATTACTGTTAACTTTACTTTTCTTATTGGTCTTCTGTTTTCCATGATTTTCAATTTTTTCATTCTTTTGTTCATTTTTAATTCTCAGGGACTTTCTCTTTAATGGAGATTTGTTCTTACTAATATTCTGAGAAATGTTTTCAATTTTACTTTCAATAGCTCTCATTTGTACTTGTTTAGGTGTTTTAAAATCTTCCATCTCAATATCTGCTGCAGATAGAGTGTTCAAAATTTTCTCATTATTTTGTAAATCACATTCTACTGTTTCTATTGTAATATTTGGGTTTTGTACTTCTTTATTTGTATTCGTTTTCAAGTTTTTCTTTGGTTCTAGATCATTACCACCCAGCTGGCATTTTCTAGGCATAATTTTTTGTGTGTGTGATTTAGTAGCAATTTCCTTTTTAATAAGATCCTTTTTTTCATCAAATTGATCCTCTTTTTCTTCATTATTTATCACTGGTGTTTTCTTATTTGGCGACTTCCTGCCCTTACCACTTGATGGACAAATGTCTCTATTTAAACATTCATTACATATGGGACTAATAGGCAAGCAAATAGTTTGACCAAAGCCTACCATTAGGTTGTTTACTTCACTCCATAATTCAAATGGTAGCCAAGTTTCAAGGGCTTTACGAGTGTCTTCTGGAGTAGTAGTAGGTTTCTTTACCCAGCCAATCCTGTTACTGATTCGGTGTACATGGGTATCTACACCTGAAATAATAATTTGTGTATGGGATATAATTTTTTAATGAAGTATATATGTGGACATGAAATGTTGAAAATAACTAAAGTATTTGAGTTTATACAAGTTTTATATCATTGAAATCATAATTATAATAAGTTTGTTTAATTTACCTATTCCAGTTACTGTATTCCAAGCAACTTTCATACAAATGTGTGCCATTTTCGGCCCCACTCCAGTCAGTTTACAAAGTTTCTCTACTGAATCTGGTATATCACTATTGTATTGATCTTTCAATGTTTGTGTTGTCTTTTTTATATATTTTACTTTTGTCTGTAAATAATTCAAATTTTGTGATAAGTATTTTAACTTAAACTTAAGATAATTTGGGAAATGTATATTTTTATTACATATTTTACCTTCCAAAATCCTACTGGATATATCAATTGACCCAGTTCCTCATCACTCATATTTAAGATGTTGTCTATAGTGAGACCTCGTGCTCTAAGACGCTCCATGGCTGCAAAAGTAACCTGATCCTTTGTCTGGCTAGACAGCATTAGTGATATGAGACTTTGGTATCTATATACCTGAAAAGTAAATTATATTCACTGTTTAATTAGAATATTGTTATAACACTTCTAAATAAGCAGTCAGAGGTATCCTCACTGTGTACTAAACCTGAATATTTTTTTCTAAGAAAGTATTTTGGAAATCAACATAAAATATGTTAGATGCCACTGCAGAATTTAAAATATTAATATCATTTTGCTAATTTTGTTATCAAACATGTTATATAGCAAACAATTCTATTTAACTTACTTTGGGTGGTGCATTCTCATCCATAGACATATGACATCCCATAGAATCAACTGGTGCATCATTATTTGACCTCATGATTCTCAGGTTGACTAAAAACTCCTTCCAATTTGGTGGCTCCCATAAACCTTTAGTTTCCTGCAAAAGTCCATAATAATGAAAATATTGAATTAATATTAGACCAACAAGAAAGCATAATATTACCCAATAATTTTCACTAAACAATTTTTTTTAATGAGTGGTAATAATGGAATGGTAACCCCACATGCTCTATTGGTATATGCCGACAGGTCACCAGTGATAGATGAGTATCAAACATCAGTTAGCCCACAGTGATAAATTCACAAAAAAATAACCAATATGGTTTCCAGTGGGAACCACATGGAGGTTGACATGATAAGATATAATGCCAGCAGTGAACCTATTAGATACCCATTACTGATAATCCCTTTCTTTCCATTAAACCATATCTTTCACACCTAAATATTGTAATTGCAATCTGTAAAAGGTGGCTTATGTCTGAAAAACCTCTTCCAGCGAATAAAATACAGTGATAAAGGATGTAATTAATTTTATAATGTATATAGGTTTTATTTACTAAAGATTGTCAAATAAAATAGGCATAATTTTATTATAACATAGTATTATTTAATTTGAAGAATTCTATAAGCAACAATGCTTGCATAGTACTTTTAAATGAATTATGTACGATACTGTTTATTAAACTTATATTTAAGTTAAATTCTTACCAATATTATGTTTGTTTATCACCTCTTGGTGCCTTTACCACTCTATCAATCTATGTTATCTATTAATTATCAAATTTGACATATGCAAAGTATTGTAAAGGAGAAGAATAAGGTTACTTTTTGTCCTGGTTGATCAATATATTCCTGCCATATGAATAACTATAAATAAGATATAAAGATATGAATAAAACTAAAGAATAATTTGATTAGAGTGTAGCCTTAAAGTATTATGAGCTAAAATTTTAATAATTCTTAATGTTACAGCATTTTATTTATGAGATCATTAAATAGTGCTACTTATTTGAAAGCCCTGCGGTAATGCCCCTAAGACTACTCACTAACCATGTGCTAAAGAAAATATTACATCTTTCACAGGAGAATCCTTTTCAAATTCTATCTTTATGTGTGGTTTCTTCTCGAATTTAAATTGACTCAAATCAGGAACCGAAATACTAGAACTTGGTTCTTGTAAAGAATGTTCCTCTGCTTTTTTCTCATTATTTGTTTTATTATTACTATTTTGAATATCACATTGTTTATTTAAATCCATTGGATATTCCGATACTTTTGTTTGTTTGGTATTACTTTTTGTTTTTCCACGAGGCATTTTGTTAAGAAATCTCAATAGATAAATAGTTCCTGTATAGTGTAAAATAAAATACAAAACTTGATCAATGGATACCGTTAGGATTGATTTCAGAATACTTTCTATAAAAATAAATATTCACTTCACTGCTAAGCTAACAATAACACAATATTTATTTTATTCGTATAATTTCTGATGCAGTATTATTCATATAGAGTAGGTATATATAAATTCTGTACTTAACAATCTATTTTCAAATTATTGAACTTTTCCACTTTATTTTACTCATAGAGGCGTGAATTTCTTATTTTTGTTTTGGTTTTTGGCGCAATTCAAAATTCAAATTGCATTGGCGTAGAAAATTGTAAAGATTTCTTTGTACAATAGTCTCTCAGTCTCTCTAATCTGTGCACAGAAGAAATAGAATAGACACACATATATATAAATATATGTAAGAAAAAGATTATACACGGTCAAGACCTACTGTTCAATTAATTAGAAAAATGAATACTTTTGTCTTGGCACTAAAATATTCTCTGTAACGTCGCACGTAATAAAATATTTAAATATAAAATAATATTATTGGTCTTCCGCAAACATCCATCCATCAATATACATTAAAAATGGTAAAGAAGCTCGTAGATGATTTATTCGATTGTATTTAACTGTATTAAGGGTATCACAACTCACATTATATTCATAAGTGTATGTGTAATATTTATTAGCAATTGTAGCAATGAACGTAAGCATTGTATAGTATGGTAAAATCTTTATTGTAGATAATTTACATTAGACACATTAAAATAATTTAATATACAATGATGGACCACAGACATAATTATGTTTGTATAAGTGGTAGACTTATCCATAGCGGTATCTTTTACATTTAACATTTGCCGAAAGAAAACTATAGAAACAGTACAGTTAAAAATAAAATTCAACAGTACCTAGTTAAAATTAAACATATAATAAAAAAAACTGTATACACCATCATATATAAATAATACATAAATACTAAAATAACATTAATATCAGGCAGATAACAATATCGCTAAATTTGAATCTTTCCTAAAGATAATGTGTATATGTGTGTTGATACCGTTAAAACTTTTTGATGAATAATTGTCACTTAATTTGTGAAATTTATTTTTTAATATGGCAATATTATATTAGCTAGCACAAAACTATCGCTTATAGTCAGTAGTCAGTCATATATCAGTCAAATTTTATCAATCTAATAAACTATCTGACTGACTACCCGTCACTGTAATCAAATTTAATAATTATTTATTAGGCACATATATTTATTCGTTTATATGTGCATTTATTATCATAGATTTTACACATTTTATGTATAAATCAACATGGTAGAATTACTTCTTGATCCAAATATACGACTATGGGTGTTTCTTCCTATAGTAATCATCACATTTCTCGTCGGAATAGTAAGACACTATGTATCTATCATTTTATCTTCTCAGAAGAAAATTGAACTTATTCAAGTTCAAGACAGGTAATATCTTTAAAATACCCAATCTAGTAATAAAATACTTTATCATATACCTATAACAATTAACGTAATATTTTAATATATAAGACACCAAGTGCTATACACTAATTCATACAAAAAGAATATGAAATACTGACCTATACTGCCTAGCTGCCTGTATCGTCTTAATAATAGGCTAATATGATCCTGTAAATGGAAAAGACTCCATGTCTTGTATTTCTTTGCCATTTTGTATCTTTATTCCCAAAATATATTTTCATTACAGTCAAGTGATGATAAGAGCCAGGCTACTCCGTGAGAACGGCAAGTACTTGCCACGGCAGTCATTTGCAATGCGCCGCCACTGGTTCAACAATGAGGAAACTGGTTATTTTAAAGTGCAAAAACGTGCTGCTACTTCACAGGTATATTGACTGTACATATATATAGCTTTATTTCAAAATATAATTTATTGTATTATTTCTTAAATAAGTTTTTTAGTAATTAACTCTTAAAAAGTTAAATAAATTTTTTAGTATAAGAACAGTGCATGTAATGCATCTGGTATTCGCAAGTGTTCACAGGCTATGGTAACTGCTTATCATCAGATGAGCCGTTCACTAGTTTGTCACCTTAGTGTTTTTTTTTATTAAGGCACACTTGATTTTGAATACATTGTTTTTATTTCTATTTATATATATTCTTTATTGCACTTGTAAGTTACATATAAAATAATCTAATTCTCAATAAATAAAATAATAAATAATACTACCACCCCTTCAGACTGCAATTTTAGCTAATAATGAGCAAAAATTTCATTGTTGCTACTTTTTAAATAAAAATTGATTTACCATACTAGTAAATTCTAAGACATAATTGAAGCTCGTTCCACAGTGAATGTTAGTTAATTTTATATTTCATTTATTTCCCTAAAAGAATATTATAACTCTGTTGTTCTTATCCACATGGACATTTTCTGTACTAGCACCAACTATTTTGCAATTATAGACGGGTAGAGGCACATTATGTCAATGAATAAATTATAAATATAATTTAAAACTTTGCTCTGTTGTAACAACAGGACAAAAAGAATTATCAAAATCAATTCAGATATGACAGAAATATCATATACTTATATATATTTTAAGTATATATATAAATATATATGTATATATATATATATATATATATATATTTTATTAAATAAATAAATTAGTATTTTTATACTTTATTTTTTGTGTGTTTTTCTTTGATTATATTTCTGTGATACATAATCACATTAATTTAGTTAAATTGGTTGTTTGTCGAATGTTTGTCTATCATAGAAACATTTGAATTGAGAAGCATCTCCGCTTTGGAGTTCTATAAAAGTATATATTTAATTTTAGAATCCAATGACAGACCCCGGCATGATGACAGACATGTTGAAAGGCAATGTGACCAATGTGCTGCCCATGATTGTCATTGGTGGGTGGATCAACTGGATGTTTAGTGGTTTTCTTACAAGTAAGTAGTATTTGTAGACCTATGTATAATTTGCTCTTTTTTTTTAATGTTAATTAATATTACAAGTATGAAAGTGAGTTTACCTTTTTCCCCCATGAAATTTGATATGGAGAAAGACAGGCAATATTTTATTCTAGTCTTGGGGATGCATGATATTGTGATATTTAAGGTGTAAGGTGTATAGCTAGGATCACTTACTTTTACACCTTTTACAAAGATTGTTTCCTTAAGCTGAACTTCCAGCTCATTTAGATGAATGGTCTACCTTTCTTAGTCTTCTTTTGGAAAGGGTTTTAATTTCTTATACAATTTGTAATGGCAAACAAGAGTTTCATTAGAAATACTTTGTGGGATGTGGTGGAACAATCACCTATAGACATGAACAGCTCTATGGACCAGAACATCCAACTTCAGAGTCATAGCACCTCAAGACCAAAAAACAAAAATTAAAATCATTTCAAGACAAATCATGGCCGATGTTATAATTTAGCCCTACTGATCTTAATGTACCACTCTTATAGACTTGAGTGGCGGTACTGCTAAAGTGTCATACTATCATAATTTTACTACAATTCGAAAGTATTGTATGTATGTGTGAGTGAGAATGACGCGCGCATGTACATTCGTGCAACGTGTCCGTTAATTGCTTTAATTTACGTGTTTAATTTCTTTGTCCATTAGCCAAAGTACCATTCCCGTTGACACTCCGGTTTAAGCCGATGTTGCAGCGAGGTGTGGAGCTTACGCACCTGGATGCCTCATGGGTGTCATCCGCCTCTTGGTATTTTCTGAACGTATTCGGTCTACGCACCATTTACGCTCTCGTACTTGGAGAGAACAATGGTATGTCTTACTATCGTGATTATAATATTACACTAAATGTAATGTAATGTAAATTGGACTATTTTTTCCGCATTAAGCTTCTCAAGATATATCTCTCTCATATTAAAATATTATAGTTTATAGCTTATAACTCAATCTCGACCAATTAATTGAAGAAATTTGAATGAATTTTTAAACAAATACAGACATCAAATCGTAATATTATTTTGCTATCATCAAACAACTATATATATACAAATGTATTTACTGATTTTAATAAAAATTTACTTCAATTTTTAGAGTTAACTCTTTTAATGGTAAAAAGAACATCTAATAACAGGTGATCATTGATGAAGATATCCTATAGCAAAGACCGTCGTAAAATTAAGATTTTAATTCTAGTTTGAGTGAAAGCCAAAGAGTATATCTAAATAATTTGGCATAGCCGCCTCAACAATGCACAAAAAGAAGTCCTTTCAATATTAACCTAGCACGTATAACAGATATGCAGTTGCGTTAGTGACAACAAGTTATTATTGAAAAACATTTTCAGCTGCTGACCAGTCGAAGATAATGCAAGAGCAAATGTCCGGAGCAGCGATGGCGATGCCTCCGGACCCCAAGGCCGCCTTCAAAGCAGAGTGGGAGGCTCTGGAGATCACCGAGCATAAGTGGGCGCTTGCCAATGTTGAAGCGGATTTGCTCACTACTGAGAAATAGTGATAACTTAAACAAATGATTACGAGATGGATTTAGACTGTAAATACAAGTCTCTTATCGAAGTGAAAATATCAGTAAATGTGTAACAAACATTATCACCGAATATGTTAGTTAAAGAATGTGCAGAATTTAAAAAAGGATTTAGCAATTTTGTCGCCCCGGGCAAACTATTTTGCCTCTAGCACTCATCTGGTTTGACGTAGCTTGGGATCTGCCTTAAAGTTGCACCTCGAGAAATGTTTTTTATTTGTTACTATGCATTTAATTTTTTTAATACAAATTTTAGTGTAATACAAATGTTTAAAACATTTGCAAATATATTTTTTTTAATGGGTGGTAATGCGCTATCGGTATACGCTGGCGGGGCACCAGTGAGAGAATTCATCGTGAAGAATGCCACGACAATTAACCACTACGGTTTCAGGGGGAACCGCGTGGAAGTCAACCTGATAGGATACATTGCTAGCAATGGGGCTATTAGACCCCATTATTGACAATCCCTTTCCCACTGCAATTTTACATTACAATGTATTTCCGTAATTGTTGATATCAATACATTATTAGATAATTAAATAAATGTTTTATTATATGTGTACAAGGGAATGTTATTTAATTTAATAAAACAATATATGCATTAATAAAAGTTTTATTCCAATGCAAAAGTAAATCGAGTATGTACAATGGCTTAACCTGTACAAACATATTTATTAAAATAAAAGCATATAACATAAAACTGCATCATGCGCATTATTGGTTGATAACAAAGTTGGTTGCACGTTCGTAACAAAAATGTTCACACCATAGGGTCTACCATGAAATGAAATTTCGAATTTATGTCGTATAGTGAAATGTTTTCCGAAATATTGGGGCCGAATGAAACACAAATCTCATGTTAAAAAGACATAATACATACCGTTTCAAAATATTAAAGTATCGTTCCTTTGAATTTTAATGGTAGGATTTATGACGAACGAAATAATGAGCTTCATTCCGAAAATTCATTTTCAGAATATCATTTTATGGTTGACCCCTATGATTCCTACCACATACTCGGCACGAAAAGGAAAGGTAACACATTATATACTTACTACATTACCATCCAGTGTTAAACAGACCTTAAAAATAAAATTCATAATCGCATAAAAACCATATTATGAAAACAATAATTAGGTATAATATTGTAGATAAATAATACATATTTATGTAATTTATTTATTACATAGTCCATTATTGTATCAGGAAAAGTTGGTCGAGTATATTATGGCGCATCGTATTCGTGTGCGGTATGTGGGGGGGGGGGGGGGGAGGATTAGCGCAGTCCGACGAAGTGGTGAAGAGGACTTAGGCCTAATTTATAAAATATAATTTCATAATGTGAAAGAATTTGTTTTCATGAAACCATGTTTTTTTTTTTTAAACTGATGAAGTCTATGTCATGTAAACTAGTTTAAATTACGTTTAATCTGTACTAATATTATAAAGCTGCATTGGAACAAAATTCACAGCTGCATTTGGAAAATGTTTTCAAACTCTTGGAATATATAGATATGGTATTAACATCAATGGCGAATACATTACTCACTTGCCGACGTCATAGTAACTATGGCGGAATCCCTGGAGGATCTGATTACCATGCTCAAGGAACTCAAGTGTTTCTCAACAGGTATGTCTTAAGATGAACATGGACAAGATTAACCCTTTGAGTGCCGACGAGTGTCATCGCGCTCGTGCGCATTGCAACTAAAAGTGCCACGAGCGTCACAGCGTTCGTGAAATCAGTCGCTGTTTAGCTTGCTGTACAAGGGTAAATGACATCAACACGACAAAGATTTCTTTGGCATTTTTAAGTAGATATGAGTAAAAATCAATGGCACTAAAAGGGTTAAGATCATGTCTAACGTCCATGGTCACACCTATATTGGTTACGATTGAGAACACTATGCTCGAAGTTGTCGATGAGTATGTATATATTCGGGACAAGTTGTTCGAATGGGTAAGTCCAACTTCAACCGAGAGGTCAACCGATGAATCCAACTCGACTGGGCAGCGTTCGGGAAACTACGCCACATCTTTTCATCCAAAATACCTCAGAATTTGAAGACGAAGATCTTTAACCATTGCTTGTTGATGACTTATGGAACCGAAACATGGTCCTACACGATTGCCTGTATGCAAAAGCTACGAGTTACTCAGCGGGCTATGGTGAGGGCTATGCTCAGTCTCTATGCGTGATAGAATCCGAAACAAGAATATCAGCAAAAGAACCAAAATAACCGACATAGTCTGAAGGATAAGCAAGCTGAAGTGGCAATGAGCTGGTCACATAGCTCGAAGAACCGACAACCGATGGAGAAGAAATGTTCTTGAGTGGCGACCGCGTACGGGTAAACGCAGTGTAGGACGACCCCCCACTAGATGGAGTGACGACCTGAAATGCGTTGCAGGGAGTCAGTGGATGCAGGTGGCTCAGGACCTTTCTTTATGGCAGTCTATGGGGGAAGCTTTCAGGCATTATCCGTCCAGCAGTGGACGGATAATGCCTGAAATGATAGTAAAGTATCCCTGAGGGCTATTTTTCATTTTTATAAGTATATATTTTCAATAATTAATCACAATAAATGTAACTGAAGTAGGTAAAAAATTTATAATGCAACGCACACCATGTGCATTGCCTGAATGTTTTAAAATAAAGGAATAAAATCTCTAATAAAATATTCATTACTTTTAGCTTTACAAAAATGTCCGCGACACCATATATTTAAGTTTAATATCTCAGCCAAAAAATGGTTTTTGTTAAAAGTAAAATAAATAATACAAGAGTAAGTTTGGATACAGGTTTGACGTATACTTTACAAGTTCTTATAAAAATAAATCAAAATGGAAATTTCATGGAGATAAAATTTACTTTTTACAGCATGTTTATTGATGCAGTTGGTCAGAAGATAATGTGAAATAAAAACAATAAGTTGGTAAAATAATTGCATTATCGCTGCCATTGGCCGTGCGAGAATAGTAGGCGGGACACAGAAGGAACTATATGTATAAACGCGCGCACATAAAACTGTTAAATAGGCCGTTTATTTTAAAATCTTAGAGTATATTTGTGCAGTACGTATCACACTTGCTAAACTACCAGCCTTACTAAAATGTGTTGAACAGTTTAAAAGCTACACAAACGAATATTGCACCCGTGCGAAGCCGGGACGGGGCGATCGTTATAATTTCAAAAATTAAGAAACTGCATATGGTGGCGATTGTGCGCTGCGACCATTTTCGTCTGTAACTCTTCGCCGCACTACGTCGGACTACGCTGATTTTAAACTAACACTACATCGGGCCGATTTTCGGTCATTAAGTGAACGTAACGCTATGAAACGCTGGCGCCTCTGTTCGGTCGTACGCGTACCGATTTTCCGTCGACAGTTAATCGGCAACGTCGCAATGCGCGTATTCTTATGTGATGCGCTATACTCAGCAGTCAGCCCTCGTTGATAGGTTGTTATGCGGCCGAAGATACATTAGCCTTAGTCTTATGTGTAATGGATAAAATAATGAGAAAAAAGGCATGTGTGTTCATACATATACGAGGAGTATATGTATGAACACGTGTTTTTTTACGTCTCCCCACAGTCGTACCGCGCATGAAGTTACCGTGTTATAAATGTAGATAGCGACTGTTCGTGTAACTTATATCAATACAAGGACAATATACTATTTTTTGATGAGTTGAACAACATCCTCGTCGTGTACTAAGTGCTGGATGCCGACCCGTTGCGGCGAGTACTTGGTGCTGGTGCCCCAGACGAGAGCATATTTGAGCTGAGCGGCCAGGGTCCGGTGGATTGCGTGGCACACGTGCTCCACTGTCACGCCCTGAGAACAAATATATTATGAGCACGAACAATAGATATTTAATCGTCAATTATGTTTTCTGTTAAACGGTCTACTGGTAGATAACGCCATATGGTGTTAAGTCCGCCATTTTCTTTCTAGGTGTATTAAAGTTTAATAAATAAATATTTTTTTTTATTATTCCTTTCACAAATAGTAATAGAATATATTATGATAGTTTTATATCTAAATATAACTGTATCACCAGCAATGTGAATGGTAGATTACTGTATAAAAAAATAATATAAAAACATACAAAACTACTGTAAAGTACAGTTCATTATTATGTTGATTAAATTAATTTTTATCATTCAAACAGAATTATGATGTTAAATCTAAGGAGTGCAGTATTTCTCAATAAAGAGAACAAAACTTTGAACAAAGGTGTCTGTTTAGGCACCTATATCCTTTATGTGAAGGGTTAGATTTGGGATATTACAGGGTACAAAAGAACATCTTGGTTCTCAGGAATGGCATAATGTAACCGTTACACATGTGTAATCTTTGATTGTTGTGGTACTGTTCATATCTATACCAATTTCTATCGGGTGAGGTGTCAGCTTGTTTGCCAATTTCAGTTCTACTCGTTTGCTTGTGTGCCACTGTCTAATTCGTGTTTCTACCGTGAAGCAGGTGTTTGCTTGGCTGTTTCGGTTTGAAAGGGTGGGATATGGCAGTGAATTTACAGGGTACAGAGGAATAACACCAGAGTTCTCAGGGATGGCAACGCATGGGGGATATCATAACCGAAACAGTATACTCTGTTACGTCCATGATACTGCTCATGTCTATAAGCGACGGTTACCGGTTTCCAACAGGTGGGCCGACAGCTTGTTTGTCATTCTAAGTTGCATAAAAAAAAAAAAAATAAAAGAAAAATAATATTCACCCTCCTCAGGATAAGTCCGTCGTCGAAATCCGGCGGTTGGCCAGGCTTTTTAGTATACACTCTTATCAGGGATAGGTATTCCCACAGCGTCTCCAGTAAGTAGTCTAAATTCAGTTTCATATTGCAGCTGGAAATAGTAAGGAACAATTACTTCTATGTGATGAAGAATCAACAATTATAAGAGACAATGGTTGGTCAATTGGTTGGTTGGTTGGTCAATTGGTTGACAAATGGTTCTGCAATATAGATAAAGAAAGCCAAACTGGCAACCCTAAACTAGCAAGATTGTGTCCCACAAAAAATAATCGATTTTAATTTTGACAAAACCAATTATTTTAGTCTAAAAACTAAACTACTGAACTATACGATTTTTTTTGGGACCAATCTGTTAGTTTCTTATTTTTTTGATGGATGAAAATGGTATGGTAACCCCGCCTGCGTTATCGGGATACGCTGGCGGAGCACCAGTGAAGGGTGATAGGTAAGAATGAACACAGGCCAGTTAGCCCATCATGATGAATTCATCATGGTTTATTACCATGATAGTTTCCAGGGGGAACCGCGAGGAGGTCGACCTGGTTGGGTATATTGCTAGCAATAGGATTCTCAGCCTCCATTACTAACAATCCCTTTCCCCCATCTGTTAGTATTAGTAGTAGTTCCTTTCAGATAAAAGAAGAATCTTCTAAAATAAATTGAACTGATGGAATGATGAGGTAATAAACATAAAAAATACATCCAAATCAAGAACCTTCTTTTTTTAAAGTCAGTTGAAAATAAAGGGGTGATTGACCTGCTAAATACAATGACCTCATAAATATTGGAAGCCCATGGTTGCAAGATATTGGAAAATAATATGGGGGTAAAGTCTGAACTAAGTACTCAGGAATGAACTGAGTCCTCAGGAATGGCAATTCATGGAAGTTATCGTGGGCGAAATAGTATACTCTGTTATGTCCATGGTACTGCTCATGTCTATAGGCGACAGTTACCACTTTCCATCATGTGGGCCGTCAGCTTGTTTGCCATTCTAAGTTGTATAAAAAAAAGAAACATTACTTTTTAGGGTTCGGAATATTGGTATATCTTGAGAACCCACAAAAAACGACAGTTCCTTTTTTTAATACATTTTTATTACATTTACATTTGTATAGGTACATATTGTAATGAATGTTAATATGATGATATGTCAATATAAATACCTCACTACGACAGAGTTGGGTTCCCGTGCTATTCTGTCAACTTCTTGTATGGAGATCTGGTCGATTTTATTGTATACGTAAAGGCAGGGCAGGTAGACGCGGTTGGATAGGATCACGTCGATAAGGTCGTCCGCAGAACAGTCTTCGCGGAATAGCACCTGGGAATTGTATTTACTTTAAAAGAAATGAATATTTAATGTGGGACCTAATTTATGTACAAACACGAACAAATAAAAACTAAAATACATATGTTTGGTAAGATTAGCTAACACTTTTGTTGTTTTAAGGGAAAGAAAAAAAAATAATTAAGGTGGGATATTATTATTTCCAGTATTTACACTGACATAATTTACATAGATCTTGAATTAAGTTGGTAAACTCTTAAATTATGAAGAGACTGAAAGTTTTAGCAACAACTGGTACTGACAAATACTAAATTAGATTATAAAACTTAGCAGTGTCCCTTTAAACAAAAAAGCCAACCTGCCCGCCAATTGTGGCAACTACTGGTAAAACCTCGTTTGTGGAGGAGGCCGATGTTCAGCAGTGGACAGTTAACGATGATATGGTGATGATGATGAGATTATACAAATAATTACAACCTGAAAAAATTACCTCGGCATTGAATATTTTATATTCATGCAGGATCATCTGCACCATCTTCTCGTCCACTTTAGTGAGCTGACAGGTCGAATTGAAAGAAAGACCGCCGCCTTTCTTCACCTGAAATTTTTTTTATAATATACATCTGCTTCCTAATTTGCTACTAAATGTGTAAATTTCAAAACAATCTTGCTAAATCTTTTCAATGTATTTCATTATAAAACAAATGTTATTGCATTTAATTATATATATATATAGCTTTAGTCAAGTATTGAAATACATAAGTTTTAAGTTTCAAAAAATATAATATCAGTGAGAAACCAACTGAGTAAGCAATTTTTTTATTCATAGTCAGTTTTAATTACTATTGTATGGATGAAAAGGCCATATTTTGGTCAAATATTGACATTTAATCTTTATTTTTTATATTTTACTTATCATTATTATTATTATTTTGTTTTTATTTGTTCTTTTTTGTTTGTTCACTTTTTTTGTTAACTCCTATTTTTGTAGCTTTGTGTGCAGCGTCTTGTATCTATATTGTTGCTACTTGTGAAAACCTATTAGTGGCTTATTTTGTTATCCTAAAACTGTATCTATTTGCTGTAGTGTAGCCCTGGTTTTCCTATGAATAAATAAATAAGCTGATGTAGATAAATAGAATATGGTTCATAATAGTGATTATACAGGGTGGAAGGGACAGGTTGGTCAAAACGAAAACAGCCGATTCTGATGAATCTGAATCATCTTCCTACTGAAATGCATCACACTACATATAATTAACGATTCTTTGTTTTGACACCGCGCAATGTATTTTAAATTTTACGATCGACATGACGCCCGATACCTACAGCGCGTACTATACTACAAATCAGTAATGCTTCTTCGTAAGTAGTTTTCGTACGATTGTGGCGTTGACGTTGCGCAAATGATTCCGCGCTTCGTGGTTGGATTTTAATACGAATATTACATTGTTGTTTTTTGTTTTTCACAGTATTTCATTATGAAACATTGTTATTTCTTTATATTAATACATATCATGAAATACATGATTTTAAATGTAATAAATAGGAAACAATTTTGAAATTTTCTAGGAAGAATTTTCAATGATTTTCAGTTCAGAATAATGGTCTGAATTAATTGTTTCAGTTTTTGCCAACCTGTCCCTTACATCATGTATATTATTACTGAAATTATTTATTAATTGTGCTAAGTTTAAAAAAAAAGATAATATTGTCATTTTGGAATTACCTTAAAATATATATTGGGCTTTGTCTTGTTTAGCCTGATACCGACACTTTCCAATTCTTTCTCCAGCAGCTGTCGATGCACATATGGCTTGGTCGCATCCAACATCATGAGCACCAGATCAGCCGTGCGAGCTACTGCTATTACCTGTACCATAGAAGATTTTCAATGAGTTTATTGGTGTAAAGTCATTTAGTAAAATCTTGGTGTAAAAGCATTTAAAAGTAGATATAAGGACTTTTTTCAATCTGATGAAACGGAATGGTAACCCTGTCTGAGCTGTTGGAATATACTGGCAGAGTAACAGCAGAGATAAAGTCCAGTTACAGAACTCACTGTGATAGGCAGGAAAGAAATGTTAGTCATGGGGTCTAATTGCATCATGCATGCATGATCATCTGCACCGATAGATCAGCCTCGTCTCTCCATCTGATATCCCTCGTTGCAGGGTGGAAAGGGATTGTTAGTAATGGGATCAAATAGCCCCATTACTAGCAATATACCCTATCAAGTCGACTTCCATATGGTTCCCTTTGGAAACCATTGTGGTTAATTATTGATGAATTCATCACAATAAGCTAATTAACCTGCTTTCAGCCTCACCTATCATTTCATACTAGTGCCCCACCAATGCAATAAAATAGTACAAAAGGGGTTACTATTCTATTAACATAAAAAAAAGTCAACCTGTTCTCTATTCAAAGTTTTATATTATTGTGATAAATACTTATTTAAACTGTAACTTTAATAGTAGTAAAATTACCTGTCTTCCTCTACCCTTGCCCTGGGCAGCGCCTTCAATAATACCAGGTAAATCGAGCAGTTGTATGTTAGCACCTTTGTATTCAATTACTCCAGGAATACATGTTAGAGTTGTAAATTCATAGCTTGCTGCCTCTGAGTGTGTGTGTGTTAGGGTTGACAGTAATGTGGACTGAAAATATAAGTTGATACAAGATTAGGAAATTCCAAAATTATATATTTCAGTCCTGTTAACATTAAGTCTTAATTTCTGTTTCTTAAAACATATTATGATATAAAAAAAAAAGATAAAATTATGATATTCTCTAGATATTTTATTTATTTATGTTAATCATCTGCTTTCATTTATTTGATTAATTTATTGTGGAAATTTCACTGATTTATGTTATGGTTGTGTATACTATTTATATGTTTTAGATATTGTATGTTTCCCTTTTAAAGTAAAATAAAAAATCTTTTAATTTAAAGGCATTTACAGGAAGTATTCATAGTCCCAATGAGATTACTATTTCATGTTCAACCTTTTAAAACATTTGTTGCCCCTAGATAGAACTCTGTTGTGAATGTTGAAATTATTGGCAAAAACACTTGTTTTCTACATTCCATTGTCATCTCCATTACTAATTTTTTATGGGGGGAAAATGATTGTTCGTAATGGGGTCAAACAGCCTCATTACTAGCAATATACCCTGTCAGGTCGACCTCCACATGTTTCCCCCTGGGAACCAATGTGATTAATTCTAGTTGAATTTGTCAAGATGGGCTAACTGACCTGCTTTCATCCTCATCAGTCATTTCTCACTGGTGCCCTGCCAGTGTATACCCATAGCGCAGATAGGGTTACCATACCATTGTCACCCATTAAAAAAAAAAGTTTTTATATGCTACTTTCATAGACATAAATTTTTAAAGTAGGAAAACTAACAAAATAGAGAGCTTCTATGTGGCCTATCAAAATAAAACATACACCAGTTTTTGCATGATGCCAAAACAAACATACAGACAGATAGATAGACACACAGACTGATAAAACTTCTAAAAAATATTGTTTTGACTTCTTTTGTTGTTATTAAGATTCTCACATCAATTTATTTTAAATTTTTTTAAGCACCCCCCTCCCTTCTAAGATATTATTTTTCTTAAATATCTCCCATAATATAGACATTTTCTAGTTACAATTTTGTTATATTGCTAAGATTATTGATAACTGATATTTAACAATGTGAACTCACCTTGCCCACAGATGGAAAACCAATAAGAGCCACTCGGGCATCACCAGATTTTAGTACATCAAAGCCCTCCCCTTTTTCTCCACCTTTCTTAGAAGGTTCCAGAAGTTGTGAACGGTACTTAGCTAGCTTTGCCTTCAATAAACCCAAGTGGTACTCCGTTGCTGAACAAAAATAAACTTATATTACTGGCCATATAATTTAATTTGATGGAATATGGTTTTCACGGTATATACTGTGCCACTTACAAACACATTTCATATCTTATTCAAATATACCTCTTGTATTTTAATGCTAACTAAAACATCAAAACTGATTAATTACAATATTTCATTGTCCGTAGAAGAGACCTCCATATATATATATATATATGATATCACATCACTTTAATTATTATTATTATTTATTATTTATTTCCCTAGGGTTTGTTAATAAAATTGTTAGTATTATGTATCCTCTCTGTTCAAGACACAGATTCTTATGATAAGTACATTTTACCACTAATTCAAAAAGTGGTATCACCTAAGACTTGGCAACTAACTGTATTATTATTGCTTATATGAAAAGATCAATCAAGCAATCCTAGCTTTTAGCAAATACTATTAATTACTACAATTTGTCATCAATAATACACGGGATTGTAATCAAGTGGTAACAAAATAGCTTTCAGATAGATCTAAATAAATTTGCTTACTAAGTCACAAAATAATCAAATGTGAAGTATTATGAATTGAATTTGTGCCGAATATATAACGCAATTGAAAAAGGTTATATGATAGATCACCTTTATTCTTCTGTGTTCTGGCGATTTCCTTTTCTATTTCTGATATTTTTTCTAAAATACCCATGTTTGCACTATTTTAAAACTATTTAACACAAAAGGAAACTACTTTTATCAAATGCTTTTTAGATTATTTAAACATTCAAGTTTATTTTATATAGATAAACATTTCAAACGAATAAAGTGAAAAGCTAATAATAACAGTTCAAATTGCAATTATATGAAAGGAAATTCAAAAGTTAGGTTAACTATTTATTTTATAGTGATTAATAAGTACCTACAAGTACCAACGTTTTTGACATTGACACATTGGTAGGAGTGCAGGAATAACAATGACAGCGATTTGTAGCTCACTTCACATCGAACGGAAGTGCAACTTTCTCTTTAAAATAATACCTATTACATTTCTTTCAAGTAATTTTTATTTATTAATTCTAAAGAAAAATATGAATTTATCTATATATTCATTAATTATATAGAATTAAAAAAATTGGGACTATTATTAAAAGTAACACGTATAGAAAATATCTAAGAGAAAATATTAATACGTTAATAAAGAGCCCACTCGATTTTAAACTTCTAACATCAGTTGGTGACTTTTAATTTTAATTTGTAGTGTAAAACAATTTAATTGTTGATTAAATAATAAAACACAATTAAAAAATAAAAAAATGTATATAAACATAATTGTAATTCATCAATATATATTGTTAAAAAGGTACGAGTGTAAAACGATAATAGATTTATATGGTGACAATGAATTAAGATTTTAATAGTACAAAATTTTAAAATACGTGTTTAAATTTATTACACACGATTAATTTTTAAAGTGTATCTAACCATATTAGAAGTTATCCCGAGCAAAATCTACTTATTCATTCATAAAATTCGGTAAAATTTTATGAATGAATAAGTAGATTTTACTTCACAAAAAAAAACCTACTTCAATTGTAGTAAAACCAGTAATTTGAGTTGAAAATTAAATTAATAAACCAATTTTGATAGAATTTATGTGAAACCTTAGATTATATAAACAGAGCAACGAGGCCTTAAAAGCGGTCAACTTTTTGTCTAATTTGGCAATTAGCTGATTCATTTTTTTATCGGTGTTCTATATACTTACGCATAAAATGTACATTGACGTATTATTTAATAAATAAAATGAGTATTAAGCATTAAAAAGAAGCAGAATTTATAAGACAAAATAAATATAGGAGTTATAAAAGACTCACTCATAACTATTTATTACGCAAAATTGTATGAAAAATTTGACCCGATTTTCTCGAAGCATTTCTATGGAGACACTATCTATATAATCTAAGTATGGACCAATCTGAAAGAATATCCCTTAAGATAAAAGTTTTCAAATCGATTTATAAATAACAAAGTTTGGAGGTAACAAATGTGAAAAATAAAATGCAATCGAATTAGAAATTTCCTGGTTTGTCTGTTTTTTGGGATGCCCACTTCTCATTTACTGAATTTATTCCTGAAGAATAAAATAAAAAAAGGACTCGCCAATTGATGTTGGAGGATTCGTCCTCCAACGTCAATTGGCGAGTCCATTTTTTGGATGAACAATGGTGACCACTTCTCGTCAAATGGATCATTTGTCTTCCATTGTCATTTTACCAATAAAATGAAAAATTTCCAATCAATTTTATAATGCAAAAAATCACATGAAAGTTTTCTGAAATTCTTATTGAAACGGAAGATAATAGGTTTACAACAAAGAAGCTGCAAGCCAACGGCTAGTAAAATTTTAGGTTATGTTATTATTATGTTAGACAGAGTCCATTAATAAAAATGTATGACTGATTTTAGTGTGGCACAAAATCTTCTAGTAAGTGAAGCAGGACAGGTGACGAAATCTATAGAAGATATGCTTTTGGATTATGAAGATGATAAAAATTCTATGATTGCGATTACTGATAAAGGCACGAATACTTTGTTATTTATTTAACAAGACATCAGGTCATAGATTGACTTACAATTAGAAATTGGAAATCACATAGTTTTATATCAATCAAATAGTAAATATAAAGTATTATAATATACTTTTTTATATTTTGTTAAAATTTTTTATTATACCTTCTTACAGTAAAGTGCATATTAACTGCGGTATTCTGGTGTATAGGTATATACGATATTAACATATGTGATGTTAATAGATACAATAATAATATAATGCATTATCATACTAATTAATATATATTTGCAGCTTTATTTAGTTAATTTAAAGGTCGAAGACATACTTCTGAAATTGACCACTGAGATTATTAAGAAAGAAAATTTAAAGCCATAAATGAATATTTTTGTACATTATATTTCACAATATCCAACAATATTACAGAAAATTATAACTTATATGAAGATTTTTATGACGAAATGGATAACAGAATTAGAACTGAACAATCTATGAATATGATTTTCTTTGGGCCTCCAATTTCTTTTATGAGACTTGATTCTGAAACTATCTTGCATATATTAATACATACAAGAAAGCATTTAATACCAATAACAAGGGCTTTACTTGCATGGGATATTATTACTGGTTAGTTTTACAAATTTTTTTTTATATCCCTCATATTTCACAGATCTTGAGCTGGATACAAATATATGCCACAAAGTAGGTATAGATTTTACGATTCATACGATTGAAAACCCAGAAAGCGATGAATTCATATTGTTCGGATAGAAATGAACCTGACTTAAGACTAATTCTATGATTGACAAATTGCATGATTAAAGCAACGAATTATAACTAATTTATTTCAGATGGGAAAACAGCAGCTTATTTACAAGGGCGCGAATACTTAGCTTTTGGGTCCCTGTTAAATGTTGTACCAGAAGAAGATTTATATTACGTAAATTTTGGTGATCCTTCTGTACTAACTTTTTTTTCTAAGAACTATGTAAACCTCGATAATCGTAAGGTTAGAAATTAAAAAATAAATATTAATTATAAACTGGTAGTTAAAAGAAGGTTATTGATATTCCAAACGCATTATCACTCTATCATTTTATTCATAGAGTAATGGAGAGAAAATATGATTCTTTATTATTTTGCCACTATATTGAATCTACAAGGTCTCTTAAGAGGCAACTAAAGGAACAAAATGTGAAATATAATATTTATACACTTATAAACAAATTTTCTTCACTTTTGATTAGAGGTCTTTGGGACCGTGGGACGTTGAGATCGTTAAAAAATAATGACAAAAGTGAATTTTATATTCATGGGCTTATGGAAACAGTTAATATATAATTACTTTTCTTCTTGAACTTGAGTAAATTTTCTAAATTTTGAGTAATTTAACTAATTTTATATTCTACAGTTTGGTATTTTGGTGGCGTCCTATAGACGATATTTTGGAAATAGATGGTATGAGTCTGGTACACGTATTAATGAATTAGGCTATTTGCTGTGTGGGTTTCCATCGTTTGATCTTAAAAAAATTACACCCCAAATATTCAAAGAGATCAATGTTGATATTTTCAGTAAACTGGGGCGCTGTAGTATTAATCAAACTAAGGTTAGTATTTAATATCGGTTCTGAGGTTCAAAACAATATTTTTAGGATGTTACACATATAATTAAATCTTTTGAATATATTTCAGACTCTTTATGATATAGCTACGCATCCTGATGCTTATGGAAAACCTTACAAGTGGTTTTCTCATGAAATTGATCGTCTAGGTATATTGTTTATATGTAAGTTTGTTTAATTACCTATTTTTTTATTATAATTTATTCAAGAGAAAATATGAGGCTTTGAGTATTGTTTGATATATAAGGCGAATCTTAAAATTCTTGTATTATGAATTTTTTTAAAACTTCTTTTGACATAATGGAATCTGACGGGCTACCAGAAGTATTCGATACAATTTCAATACTTTTTTTAATTGAATTCTGTCGATCCTGTAGGAAACCTTTCTATCTGTTTTTTACGTGAAATTTAATATATTCATTGACAGATCTATTTATGAAGCCGTCAAATAACTCTGTAAAATATATATAAAAAAAAGTATACTGTAGTTGGGATGTTTTATTTTATGCGTTCAATGAAGATTACCATCAACATCATCAGAGTTCACCGTTATTCCTAATTGCAACTATAATTATTTACTTCACAAATGAATACGCACCTAATAGTTTATGTTCAGGTGTTCCAGAAGATGATATTAGTCCAATTCAATTGGAAGCAGTATCGGCTATCAGTGCGCAGGTTATGAAAAAAATAGATCAGAAAAAGTTGAAGTTCTTTACCAAAGAACAAATATTACGAATGAATGCAAAAACTCGTCGAATTTATATCCTTAGAATGCAGTTGAGAAATAGTCTCGATATGAGCCAAATAACAAGACGCCATGGTATAAAATTGTCGCCATCAATCCTTCTTTACTTGGTTAATGTTGTCACTCTACTTATGTGTATTTAATTATTATAGTATTATAGTTATAAACATTGTTACTGTTTCATTTCGGTCAGTTTCACTACCTTTATTCATTATAATATTATTGTTTCTTTCATGAAACAGTGAATTACAAATTGCGTTATTTATCTGAACTAACTATAATATTGTGTAACAATACAATTTAAAAATAAGTACTTCTGAAGTTTAAGTATTAAACTTAGATAATATAGATAGAGCATCGAGCATCAAAAACGGGTCAACTTTTTGTCAAATTAGCTGACTCGTTTTTTATCAGTGTTTTGACGTATTATTTAATAAATAATATGAGTGTTTACGCATTAAAAATATGTAGAATTTATAAGACAAAATAAATATAGAAGTTATAAAAGTCTCACTCATAACTATTTATCATGCAAAATTGTATGAAAAAGTTGACCTGTTTTTCTCGAAGCATTTCTATTTAGACACTATCTAAATAATATAAGATATAAATGTATAAATTTTTGAAAAGCCATGTTCATAAATTGTAATAAAGCGAATAAACTTGAAATAAATAATGAAATTATACATATATATTGTATAATAATTAAACTTGTAGTTCATTAATGAATACAAGTAACGAGCTCTGAGTAACTAATAAGTTACATGTAGCAATAAATTTAAAAATAATGTATTGTTTTTTTATGGGTTTTCCTAGTTCTTCACAGAACCCTACGTAAAATTTTGAAGTTTTAACAAAAGAATGTTGAAAGTCTAAATTTAAATTTCCTTACGTCCGTTTCCGTATTCTTGATTTAATTTTGTATATAAACACAACTACATTTATTTTATTATTTAGAATAATATGAAATAAAATATTTCTTTAGAAGTTATATTAAATGGGTTAATGTATTTTTATATTTATTAATATATTTATTAATTTCTGCAGTTTAACTAAATTTTCGGTATTTATTTTGATCAATTTCCTGTATCAGTTTTCAAGGTCAATTGCCATTTTGTTTACACTTTACGCCATTTTCTTTTTCTTCCTTTTGCGACTGTCTCATCTTTCTTTTTTGGGAATTTTCCCAAGAAGGACACGTCTCAGTGAATCATCTATTTAATATTAATAAGATATAATATTATTTATATTGGCTAAAATGCCTCCTGTTAAGCATTACTCTTCTAGTGAAGTGAATCAGTATGAATTATCATCTAGATTATTATCATTGACGGAAAATAATACATCATATACCCTTACACAAATAAATGGACAAAGGATTTATAGAAAAGCCCCTCACGCTTGGAGCGGACCGGAGCCGTCAAGGAATTGCGAGGTTAGAACCACCCCTAAGGGCATACACTGACCAAATTTAGTTGCTAAACTTTATTTCTTAGTTTATCGGCCATTTTAAAATAGTTAATCATAATATAAATGAAATATAATGGATATTTAATTGATGTAACTAAGTTTGTTATGTAGTTTTGTATTTGTAGCTTCGATTACAAGATAGATAAAAGTAATATGCTAGATCATGTTATAAATAGGCAAAAGTAACAGGTATTATAACTAATTATGGACTGCACATTTCCCGCCTTTTATACTGTTTCGAAAATAAATATCTTTTCTATTGATTGACGTATTCATACTAATTATATGATTATTATTTAAAATAAGTGTTATCGTCTATTATTCGCAGCTGAACATAGGGCTCCCTAATATTACGCCACGGTAGGTAGGTATATATGATACTCGTCACTTGAATCCATCAAGTTTTACAACACTTGAGATCGTCATCCATCTCTTGGAAAGTCTTTTCTGAGATAAAATTGTACTGTCGTTATGCACTAGCGGGTCACCAGTGAGGGATCATTTGGCGAGGATGTGAAAAGGCTTAGTCCATCGTAACGAATTTGACAAGGATTAACTGAGATGCTTTCCGGTGGGCATCGCGTGGAGGTCGACATGATGGGGTATATTGCTAGCAATGGGGCTGTTATACCATATTACCTACTAACAATCCGTTTTCCCCAAAAATGGAATGGTAAGCCTGTTTATGCTGTTGGCTGTCTGTATGGATTATGTTGACAGGGTATTAAGTCATGTCAGTAGACTCATCGTCCTTTCGTGACGAATTTTTAGATATTAATTATGATGGTTTTCACCGAGAACCGCGTGGTGGTCGACCTGACAACCCTGTATAAATATTGCTAACAAAAGTACTACTAGATCCGTTACTAACAGATACTTTATCCATTATTTCACGGTGTTGCCACTGGTCTTTTATATGGATGATTATGGAATGGTAACCCCGCCCGCGTGGGGGAAGGGATTGTTAATAATGTGGAGGTTAGTCCCAATTGCTATCAATATACCCTATCAGGTCGATCTCCACGCGGTTCTCCCTGGAAAATATTGCGCCTAATTTATCGTTGAATTCGTCACGATGCGCTAACTGACCTGCCTTTTCATCCTCACCTATTACCTCTCACTGGTACCCCGCCAGTGTATACCGGTAGCGCAGGCGGGGTTAGTACGCCATTTTCACTCATTAAAAAAAAACCCGCCCGCGCTACTGAGCGCGCGGGGCATCATGGAGGGATGATTCATCACAATGGGCTAGCTGACATGCTTTCCTCCTCATCTATCTGTCACTGGCGTCCTGGCAGCGTATAGCGTATAGTAGCGCGGGCGGAGACATCATTGCTACAAATTAATTACTTCTCCTAAATATTGATTGTTATTCCCATCTCTTAAATTATTAACACGTAATATATATTACGAATACGAATTTATTGATACCTGTTTCTAAAAGAATTTATTGTTTTGAGGAAAATGTAATATTTTTTTAACGTAACCAGTTGTCTGTAACGGGGACTAGTGGTTTAGCAGGTCGACTCCACGCGGTTCTCTTTGAAGAACATTCTCATTAATTTCTGATGGATTAATCACGATAGACCAATTAACCGGACTTCATACTTGCCTTATATTCCTTATAGGTACACCGCCAGAGTATATCGATAGCGCAGGCGGGTGTACTATTCCATTTTCATCTTTCAATAGAATACGCAAAATACTAGGTTCACCTTATACGATATGATATTATTTTTAAAAGATGACTTTATAAAGAGAGAAAAATAGAGGGCGAAAAAGAAGTGAAAATCCGAGATATAACTTCACGAGACATATAAAGGGAAGACTAGAGATCATGTCGAATAGGGAGGTCAAAGACATGTTTTGGAATAGAGGTGGTTGGAGCAGAAAACATTAATTAATTCCCCTGACAGGATAAAACTCTTAAATAAATAAATGATAGAATTGTAACTATTGACAGGTATTCATTGGACGAATACCACATGATTGTTTCGAAGACACTCTGGTGCCACTTTTCCGTCAGGCTGGCGAATTATTTGAATTTCGGCTCATGATCAATTTTTCGGGTTGGAACAGAGGGTAAGTGGTTTTTTATAATGTAAGAAAGTCTATATAATTTTTATTCTCCCAGTAGGTATAATTGTACAACGGGATTTGTTTGTCGTTTCCGACAATTGGTTCGATTTTATCCGGAAGTCTACTTTTTTAATAGATGATAATAGAATGGTAACCTCGCTGACGCTAACGGTATACTCTAACGAGGTACCAGTGTGGGAGGGGGGGTGATATGTGAGCAAGTCAATTGGCTGATAGTAACGAATTTAAGAATTAAACATGATGGTTTACCAGGGGGGCCCCCCCTGGTAAACCATCGTGTTTTCGTGGGCTTCTTAAAAGAGGGCGCATACTCATGATTTTACTTATAGCTGAAAGCTCCGCTTCTGATTCTGAGGCGGGCAGTAGACAGGTCTGGGGTGAGCACGGACCACTTGATCCCTCCCCTTAACATACGCACATGATTACGTCTGCGAAATAGTATCGTCGTCTGCTCGCGTTGGAATTTCTTTTTTAGAGGACCAAACCGTACTTTTTTCTATGTGATATTATTTTTATTATATATGCCGTTAACTGTCCGCTGCCGAACTTACACCTCCCCCATAAGGGGGATTTTGCCACTAGTCACGCTTGGCACGCGGGTTGGCAACCGCAGTTAGGCTTTGGTGATGTTTTAAGAGGGATTCTTTAGTCGCCTCTTACGACACCAGCGGGAAAAGGAGAGTGGCCTATGCTATGTCAGGACCACATGGCTTTCTATGTATAACTTGTCTATATTAAAACAATGTTATGTCTTTGTGCATTATTTACCCTACATTTATAAATTTATATCGGTGTAGGTATGCATTTGCGATGTATACGACAGAAGTTGAGGCGAGCAACGCTATACGGATGTTCAACAACTATATGATCAGACCGTCTTGGCAACTAGGTAAGAACAATCTCATAATATATAATCGCAAAATCCTTCCTTTTGTCTTTGCTCTATATAAAATATTCTTTAAAATTTAGGTAGTTGAACACTTTTCTGTTATCGTTTTAGACATTTTCGGTAGAAAAGACGAATTGTACGGGCTTGTCATAAATTATCGATATTAGTTTTTATGGCTTTTTTCAATTAGAGGGTGTTAAAAGAGGTTCAGAATCTCGGCCGCTTATTTTTACAGGCATTTTAATAAAACTTGGTTTTAAACAAATCATGAGTAAAAAAATTAAGGTAAATAATAAAGAGTGAATAAATAAACACTACAATGTGTGCTTTCAGTTAGGAGCAACTTGGGGTTGCCAGGTGAAAACAGTTACAATAATCTTTGTTATCAATATATATGATTAACGCAGTTTTTTCATTGTTCCTGCTTACGATTATTTTGAATCTTTTTCTTTGTTCCCAAAGGCGTGTGCCCATCGATCAATAACTGTCGTATATTCATATCGCGCATTCCGCCGACCACGCCGTCTGCGGAGATCGTACGGCTCCTGTATGCACTAACTGACGAGGTGCAAGAGGTGCGCATACGCCGCTCCATTACTTCCTGTGCCGCGATAGTTGAGTACAAGTCGCATCGCGGCGCCGCGATGGCTAGGAAGGCGCTGGTGGCGGCTGCGGCTGCCGCTTGGGGCTGCGGGGCTAGGCCAGCTGTTGACTGGTCGCTGCCGCAGTCGCCACAACTACTTAAGCAGTATCGAGAGGTGAGAGGGCCTGAAAGTTTTTCTTTTTGTTATTTATTTTTGAACCATCTTTTATATCTAATCGTCTTATTTATAAAAACTAAAACTTTCTATTAGTACAGTATTTTGTACCTTTCATTTGTATTGAGAAATTACTATAGATTAGAGGAAAATTGTACAAAAGTTGTTTCATTGGGTACCTCTGTCCCTTTTCATCAAGCGGCCCGTAAGCTTGTTTACAATATGAAATGCATGTTCTATAAAAAATATGCTAGGTGGGTCGCTGGACCCCAGAACGTGGGGTTGAATTGACTCGTGCCCCGGAAGACAGCGCCGCTAGCTCGCCCCCTGTAGCCGCGGCGGCGCCTACTTACACACTGGAGCCGTGGTCGCAGGCGCGGCGCCTGCGCATGATACAGGAGGCGCAGCGCAACGCCGCCGCCGCTGCCGCAGAGTTCGTATACTAGTTTTCATATTTTTGTAGTTTAAAATAATAGATTGGAATCTCCATAATTCATGAATAAATAATTAACAAAACTTGTGCAGTAGAAGTTAAGATGTTTGAAAAGAGAAATGAACCAACTGAAAGATTAAGGCACAGTTGACTCTGATTGGTCTACAAATATGAATTTTCTCATAGGAATTGTATTATAACGTATCTGAACGTTCAAGAAAATAAATCTCGAAATTCCCACGGCTACATACAGAAGACGAGAGTTCCGCACGGGTGAAGGCGTCGGAAACGAGCTATTCTATTATAGAATTTTACTGTGTTCAAATAGAATAGAAATAATCTTTATTCCAATAATAGATTTGTTTACGTATGTTTTTTTAAATCGTAATTTTTTTAAGATTCTACTGCTTATGGACAAAATAATTTACATTTATATGGGTGCTGTGATTGTAATTAGCATCGAGTTCTATTATTATCATTCTATTCAGTGTGAAATAAACAAGCAAACGAGCAGATCAGTCCCCACAAGCAGTATCTGTTCATGAGTATAAACAAATGAGTAAAATATTCAAGAAATTATTATACAAATTTGTGTGCAGGTGGTCCAATCGCATTGCCAGCAGTGGTGAGTCCTTGGTGAACTCTATGGCTTCTCTGAACCTTGGCATGGGGCTAGGTCTGGGAGCAGGCGAGCGAGCGGTGTGGGCGCCGCCCCCGCCGCCCGTGCAGCCGATGGAATCTATGCAGCCATTACAGCCGAGCCGCGACCAGTACTCTGCCCCAGACTTCAACCCGTGGACCACTCCGCATCCGCTCCACGGGTTCATCTCCCCCAACAAGCACGAGTGAGTGGCTCGTTCTAGCTGGGTAATTACGCAATACTACTAAGAGATTATCAGTTTAAATGAATTACATAGGTGATTGACAATTAAGGCTGTCTGTCATACAAGACGCAAAAAGATCTATAAATATTTGCTCTCAAAAAATATTGCATACGAAATATACGGCCTTATATTTTATGGGAACGTTTTAAAACTGATACAAGCCAGTGAAAACGTGAATTTAATAAACTTGTGACTTACATATTTTGTATTTGGTATTTGGAGATACGTGCTATTTCACCATGAGTATATTAGTCAAATAATTTCTATGACGACATAAGATATGCATATCTTATACAAAGTGAAATGGAAAATATTAGCATATTGAGTGTTGTACTAGTATACGGACATTTACCCAAAAAATATTGGTAAAAAACGACAAAAGATTTTGAGCCTTTATATACATGGTGCATTCGGATGTAACACCAAAAGCCATGACCTTGTGTAATATGGATATAATCAAATTATGCCTACCCAAAATAATTGGGATAAGGGCAGGAAGATTTATTTATTTAAAATTATAATGAGATACGGCGCATCTACTAACTATAGGATCTTGTTATTTATTTTGTGTTCAGTTTCACTCGTAGAATCATCAGTATGTAGATTTGCTTTGAATGACGGCATTAATACTGAAATTCACATTCATAGGTCTACAAAACAGATTCAAAATGCTACTCTAATGTGCTTTTACAAAGTCAAAATTAAAAAAGATAATCATTTTTGCGTAATTATCCAGCCATTGTTATTGTTTACATTTCATGTTTGTTCTGTTGATTTGTATTTATAGCACGAATTAATTAAGAATGCACGCACGCATGGCGCTTGCTAGTGTGGGTTACGGAGTGTAAGGGAATTTGCATCGGAGATGTTTATGCTTATAATTAGTCTTGTCTAATGCATAGGTTTTCTCAGATTTTCTCGCGGTTGCTTATTTTATGTATGTCTAGTTAACGTTAACGTATTCTATAATGTATGTTTAGCCCGAAAAAGTATACCAACCTGTGTGAATAACAATAATATTCACTGACTATCTTTTCCTAAAAAGCTTTGTTGAAATATGTAAATATTTTTAAAATATGTATTGTACCAGTACCCTTGCGGCACATTGTTGATACTAGATTTAGTGTGAAAGGTCATTGTTGTTTACTGTCTGTCGTGTTGTTAAATAGATTGGTATACCATTTCAGGCTGAAATGGTAACTGGCGTTTGTCAAATTCTAACCGGTGGTATTTTTTGTTAATGAACAAGAATATTTACATTATAATAGTCTAACTGCACAGTGGTGGATAGTTTACATGTATCGTATATGTTTTTTGTAAATATTAACGACAAAATGGAAACTAATTTAACATTTTTTTTTATGCAACTTTTATGACATTTACAAAATTCTAATTTTGAAATCAACTTGTCTTGTTCGATCGGAATTCAAATGTTGTACCATTTTGAGGGTTGCCCTCGGAATAAACATTTGTTTTATATTTTATTTATTAACATTTTCTCTTGCACTCCAGAGCATAAGAGAGATTTTAATTTTAATTTTAGACATTCTTTTAATTTAATCCTAAAATATATTTTAATTAAGAATCCAATTGAATGGCATAATTATTGATATGTATTGAAATTTGAAGCTTTTATAAGGCAACATCGGTATATTTAAGCATGTGTCTACACTTTTGTTTAATGTTATAGAATATGAATTAAGGGAAATAGCGTGCGAGCGCCTTACTGCCGGCCGCCCGCCTTAGTTATATATTATTGCACTGGCAATCTGCATTTTTTGATGTTTTTTTCAACGAAATATTCATGTTATTGTACTTTATCTGTGTGTGAATATGTCTATTTAAAATCAGGTTTTAAAGTAAATCAATTTGGAATTGTTTTCTCAGCATCTAATGAACGCAGCATTATGAAATTATCTATCTACAATAATAATTAACAAAATCTAGACATTTTGTAACGAGACCATAATATGAATTTATCTCTCGATTGTTTTATGATATTTTTAATAATTATTGCACGCTAGTATTGATTAATAAATTTAAGTATAATGGTTTAATGTGCTTGCTGTTTTATTTTGCGCTTTTGTTTGCACCTACACATATAAACACGTCGTTCACAAGCGTATGTTGATGGTATATGTACACTCCGATCAAGAAAAGGCAAGATACATTGTTAGAGAGGAACCGCCATATTGCTACGCCTTAGAACATAAATTATATAAATATTTCGTACTATAATAATATGTAATAATCCATGTTAATTATAGTTATATCATTCAATAGACGGCTCGAGGTCATTGGCGCTCCTATTCTTGTTTTGATCGCTTTGTACTTGCATGTAAATAATAACATAAAGCTCGCTTAGTTAACGAATCACTATTATTGCTACGCTATTATGAGATGGCGCTCATGGTGCGACCGAGTGGTAATACTTGAAGTATCACATTTGATGAGGAAAACGTGATCTTCTGGGTGCGGTCAAGTTATAAAATTAAGAATAATTGCTGTTATCGTTTCGTTAATATACTATTATTATTCGCATAGTTTCTCTTCAAATTACAATGTGGTATAGGTATGTGTCATGAAAATCACAACTGTGCTATTAAGATTAAATTTTTAATATTTTTGCGTGCGTATTCTTCAATCATAGGATTAATTTTTCAATATGCTAAGATTTTTGCGTGCGCCTTCCTTAAAAAGTTGCACGTCCATAAGTTGAATAGAAAATAGCAAATATAACAAAAATGGTAGATAATAAAATTCTATAACCTGTAGAGCAGTGTTTCCCAACCTTTTTTGTGCCATGCTTTGAACATTTCTAACATTTTTATGCCCCCATACATAATTTTTCTCTACAAAGTTTACTTGACGACTCTAATCGCCCAGTTGATATTTTGGTAATGTCAAACAAAATTATACCTAATAAATATTTACAGCATTTTTAAAATTTACTTTTTTTTTTTTTTTGTTAAATTTGGCGCTGATATCTACTCGTAGCATTGCATTTAAATGGCCCGGAGCAAGAGGGTTAAAGTCGCCTCCCCTGAACTATCAAATTGCCCCCCTGTGGGGCGTGGGCCCCTCGTTAGGAAACACCGCTGTAGAGTAAGATCAGGCTCATAGTGATTTATCATTCGTGTTGTTGTCGGATTTGATTTCCGCCCGGTTAATTTTTAATTAATAGAATTACTATATGTGTTAGGTCGGTACCATCTTATTTGATTTGGAAGTAGCCTTTACAAGTATTAGTTTGTTGTTTATATGTTTACTGAAGAAAACTGGATATGAGGTGTAAATGCGTTTGGCCTTCAAGTGTAGCAAGTTGTTACACAACTTATCACTTACACAACAATAATTGTCATTTTATTGGAATAGATTTACTACAATGAGATTATGTAACTACCTGGATTACGTGGGATTGAAAAATTTAAATTAGCAGATACTGAGATTGCTATTTCATTGTCACATGAGATAACCTTCCACGGTGGAAGATCATCATAAGAGGTGCCATTGGTGATATACTGTATATTATTATATATTATATACACACATGTATATTTGTGTGTGTACCCGGCAATTAGGGTAATTTATTACTTACTAGTAAAATTCTTTAAAACTCGTTTAACAAGTAGATAACTGTATAACCACTCCAGCTGCATTTCTTTTGATTAGTTTTTAATTATTAATGGTGCTGCTTCATTCATTATCATAATTTTTTTTTTATGCAACTTAGAACGGCAAACAAGCTGTCGGTCCACCTGATGGAAAATGGTAATTGTCACCAACAGACATATTAGTACCATGGACATAACAGAGTATACTGTTTTGCCCATTATACTCTCTATGCGTTGTCATTCCTGAGGACTCAGGTGTTATTCCTCTGTACCCTGTAAATTTACTGCCATATCCTACCCTCCAAACACAGCTATGCAAACATAATTTCTTCACGGTAGAAACACGAATGGGACAGAGGTGCCTAAACAAACAATGTACAAAGTCTCTTTTTGTACAGTTGGTGTAGGTTCAAAGATAGCTTTTAGATTAAACGTTTAAGTCTTTGTTCATAGATAATATTAGCTTGTTATTAAATTGGCCAGGCGCCTCGGCATAAGTTTTGTATCGATTACTAAATAAGGTTGTTCCCAAACTTCTTGTTACGCGACATCTTGATCAATTCGAAATCAATGTTGGTAATTCTATTTACAATCAAGGACAGGGTTTACCACACTATTGTGTTAATCCCATTTTATTTTTTATCATGAAGAAGTTGTTGAAAACTGCAATAATTGCGATGAAAATGCAGCTAAACTATCATATATTTATAAGGACGACGAGATAAATAAAATACATATTATGTTTTCAACATCCATTTTATTAAATTTGAATAGAATTGACAGAATGCATTACATTTTTAATAGTAAAAAAGTATAAGTGGCCAGTACGTGCAATAATAAAAGAGTACATTCTTATATATTAAATTGAATCTGCAACAGAAGTATTTCTTTTTCCAAAGCAGAATTTTGTATTTCGAACATTCCTCCCACCCTGGTCTGTGCACATAGCACATTCAGGACGTGAAAAAGAGTGGCCATGTTATCATTGTAACTCAGTAGTGTACACTAACGCATCCGATAGACGTTGCCCTGCTTGAAACTTTGCTTTTAGATTTTTTTGTTGTTTCTTAACTGCAAAAATATATCATACACACACATACATATATAGATTTATTATATAGGGATTTACCACTCACACAAAAATCTTTGAAATCAGCGGTTTTGAAATTCAGTGACATACGTACAGAAGAGTTATATATATACAAAACATTACTAACATTATTCAAATTTTGATACCACTTAATATTGCTTCAAAATTGCCCATGTCTAGTGATGGTAAACGTCGTAAACGAACTTAATCTGTTGAATGGCGACAGCGTTGAATTCGAATAATAATAACAGCACTGTGGCAAATGTGACCAAAATTGAGCAAATCGAATGTTATGATCAGCAATTTCTGCTTTGATAGTAAATTCGACGACGTGTGTTTATAAAATTTGGGATTATTGTCTTGCATATTTTTTGCACAGGCATTAAAATTATTATGCGACGGTTATAAAAGGAAAGTCAATTGATATTAGTGAGAACATTTTGTGACCTATGAGCGAGGCTCCCGTCTCGTCGCATCAGAAAACGTTGCTACCATATTAAATACTCGCTTGTAACTTTCAAACAGTGCGGGTATGAATAGAATGTTGTTTTGGACTTTTTTTGGTGGGCACTTTTTAATTCTTAAGATTTTTAGTAGATACGCCAACTTTATCACTGCTTACTATACAAGTTTTTAAAAATTGTTGATCAGTTATTGAAATAAGTATTGAGTTTTTTTATGCAATTTAGACATAACACACTGTGAAAGAACCCATGACCTTGGCATTACGGCGAAAGTCGGAATGCTGTGGAGTTTTAGGCGGTAGGAATCCAGTACCCACCCGTGTCCCCGGAACAAGTTTATCTTCGATGACGGATTTTCCCACATTAATAAAATCTTATAAATACATTATATTTATCATAAATAGATTTAAATTGAGCCTTAACTTCTGATCTCCCACATGATACTCAGTTAATTTAACGCTATTAAAAATATTATTAAAACACAAGATAAGTTTTTCATCGCGGGCGCACATTTCCGCGCGACTGCGTCGTCAGCTCGTCCATGTAGGACAAACGCTTCCTCCAATGCCACGGCGCGACATGCCACCGTGAAAATGGTCGTTCGCTTCAAACAAAACACTGCGCCCGCGCAGCGCGGCCGCCTACCGCGCTCCTGTGCTTGTTATTATGACAATTACGTGAACACATGGACTCGTTTGTGTATGCAGTCGATAAACAGTGAAACTTGTGTGGCGCAATCGCATCTTATCAAGCTGCGATGGCGGTATGCGACAAATGGGTCGCCCTAAAGATAGTAGAGTTTGTAAGTAAACCTCTAATGCCTTTTTTACGCATATTCGTCAGTTTATATGTACTTATATATAATCGATAGGTACACTTTACGGAAAATTACCAATAATACTATATATATTTTATTAAGCAGGGAGACTATAAATTTTAATACAAAATATTTGCTTTATATTCCATGTCAATTGAATAATTATAGACGAGCATACAACTATGTACTTATCTAGACTAGAACAAGTGTGTAATAGAACTCTGTCGTACTTATTTCAACCTGTGGTGTGTTTGACCTAAGTATCCAATGCCACTGTTGAGGTTTACAATTTATAAGTAAGAAATCCGTATATATGTCCATGTAAAAATGGTTAAAAGTTTATTTAAACATTTAATTTTATTTATATTTATTTTACTTTAATACTTACAACATATAAATAGTAAACACAGCCTTAATATAAATCAGTAAAGTTTCCATATTTAAATTAATTAAATAAACAAGAGCAGATGATTAACATAAAAAAAGAAAAGAAATATATGAATTACAATTAACAATTTAAACATGATTTTTTCCTCTCTAATCAAATCTAATCAAAAAATTAATAAATTATCTTCCAGACAATTTATAAGAAAACAGGTTAATTGCGATGCCTATTTGTACAAATGATTTTTAAATCAATTAATATTATGTTTTCTAATAGATACTTGTAACATAATATGTAATCTATGAATCGCAGATGTATTAGAAATCGAAGAATTTCCATACATTTAGAATACTTTCGATTATTTGATAACTTTGTATGGTCTTGAGTTAGATACATTTGTACAGTTATGTGTATAGGTACTCAATTACAAAACTGGCCATACAAGATGTTTGGTATTGCGACAGTCCGTGACGTAACATACACACCTGCATGTTTTTATGTCATATCGTTCGTAGCAGGCTATAGCAAAGTTAAGCTCACAAGCGAAAGCATTAGAGTACGTATTACGTTTGCCAATGAAAGTGGAAGTGTGGAAGGTCATAACATTTATGTGTACCGAAGTTAAGAGCTAAAGATGTTGTGCATTTTAGTAGCGTGAAAAGGTACGATTATTTATATAGTATCATTTATTTATCGACTTTTTAACTATTGACTATTCTGTGGTTTCTTTCAATAGTATTTAATGATAATTAAAGATTGTGTCCCCGAAAAATAGACCGTTTCAATTGTGACAAAACCAGTTATTTTGATCTAAAATGTAAACTGCTGAACCGATTTTGATAAAATTTCTATGGAACCAATATGAAAATATATCCTTTCACATAAAAGAAGAATTTTCCAAATTGGTCTAGAAGTGACGGAGTTATGAGGTAACAAACATAAAACAACATAAATACAACCAAATTAAGAACCTCCTTTTTGAAGTCGGTTGAAAAGACAATCAAGTTTTATTGAAATTATCAAAGAAATATATTTTTAATGAAATCGGTAACAAATCGAAATATTTAATATATTAATCTATATACACTTATATGTCGGTACAGTGGGGTTGATTCAGAGAAGCAATTTTTTTTTATTTATCTCTAAAATTTAAATTTGATACCGCAGCGAAATCTTTATTCTAAGGACTAATACGAACTAAATATCTAAAAGCTATAAATCAAAATATTATAAGTTTATAATGGTCCATAAGGGGAATTTAGAAGAGGCAATATACTGGGACTTTTTATATGACGTGACGATTTTTTAACTAGAAGGTAAATTAGAGGTTAAAAGAGAAACGGGAAGACCGAGACTACATAGGATAGATAAAGGAAAAAATAGCTGTCATATCGTATAAGGTGGTCAAAGATATGGCCTGAAATAGAGCTGGCTGAAAGAAAATGCATGAATTAGTTGCCCTGAAAAAAGGAAACTTTGAAATGAGAAAAAAAAATTGTTTATAATATAGTAATTTCGCGAAATTATCAAATTCAAATATAAAGCCCCAAGTCCCTCTTTAATTTTTATAATGGATGAAGAAATGGTGCATTCGCTTGTGCTAACATGCTGAATGTAGTCAGATAAGTCTGTCTATTGTGACGAATTTGCTAGGAATTAGCTAGGAGGTAACGCTAGCAGGTCATTGTGGGTGCCAGGGTAACATGGGTATATAACTTGCAATGTCTCCCTAGTCGTATCTCTTTTGTACTTATACACTATTTTAATACTTTATTTATTTACAGATACACTAAACAAACTTTTCATTTAAATAATATCATTAGTTACATACAATCGCTCTTTAAGAAAAAATAATATAAATTATACATATTACATATAACAAAACAATATAATAATGAAGATTACACAATTATATAATAACATTACTATTTTACTTTTAATTTAAAATAAAAGAAAAACATATAAGAAACAAAATGAATGTAGCAGTGTTTGTGCAAAGGACCTAACTCAGCATATGTCGCAGTTTCAAATATGAAGCTACGACACTGATTTTCAGTAAGCCCATTTTCAGTAAGTAATTACACTTTGTCTGTGCTCGATCTAGCAGTTTTGCTGATCCAAGCAGAAAGAATAACATTTTGCCATCTTTTTAAGCGCTACGTGCTTGTTTTGTCTTAAAAAAGTTCGACCTATATCCGTCGTGAATCGAGATTATAAGGTTAGAAGGAAATGTACCTCACCTAGTTTGATCACATTCTCTCCGTATAACGTGACAGTGTTTATTAATACACGCCGGGTACACAGAATGCTTCCGACTCATAGTTACATACTAGATATATTTATGTATGTATATAATTGTGCTTGCTAATTTGAAGGAATGAGTATATTTTACTTGCATTATAATACAATATAGGAAATCAGCAAGACAACAAATATAACGATACAATTGTATAAGTACAGTAAGGCGGTCTTATTGCTGAGAGCAATTTTTTAAGGCAACTTTAGGGTAATGAACTAATTGTTATACAAGTAGGTATGATAATATTGTAACTACCTATTATCAAATTAAAAAAATAAATTTCTTAATTCAAATAGAAACACTTCTGCAATTTCTACTACTATGGATCAGCAAACTGGTCGATCGAATGGTCAAAGAAATTACTGTCGATACTGTTGATCAAAGAAATTACGGTCAAAGAAATTATCCTTTTTTTTTAAAAAAAAAAAAACATTTGTCTACTACTGAATATAGTTCTCATAAGTATAGCTACAAATATCGGTCCTGCGACACTTGCACTTATTATGTCTTGTCATTTATTTATTTATTTATTCTTTATTGACCACATTACAAAAAAAATGTCTGTACAAAAGGCGGACTTAATACAATTAATACTTAATAGCATTCTCTCCCAGTCAACCTTTGGCTAAACAGAAATTTGAATATGCGGTGAAAAAAATTACAACACATACAATAGAGATTATATAAATATACATACATGAATATATTAAACAAATATTAAATAAATATACAAATATGTAATAAAAATACATACATACAAATATAAATATACATATATAAATATACCTACATACTTATAGACTATATACGATAACACTGTCATCATGTTAAGATAAAAAAAAAAAAAATTAACACTGCATTTTTTTTAATATTTGAAAACTTTGAAGTGCTAATTGTCATTGCTTTGTTCTATATTTAGTTCAGTTAGCACTTCAGCGATAATTAAGAATAACCTTTGTAATATCAAAACTACACTTTTCGCTAATATGGGATATTAAAAAAAACGTAAGTAGGCACCTATTTAATAAAGGCATATTAAAATTATTCAATTTTAACCGACTTTAAAAAATGACGAGCTTGGCATTGACTTTAAAGATCCGTAGATAATACATATTAATATTTTATTTAAATTAATAGGTTTATTAATAGATAAACAGGTTATGGCTTTTTTGTTTTTATTTCATTGTTTTTAAATTTTGTTTGCCATCTTCACGGTATAAAAAGATCGGTATAAGTTTTTTTTTCTTTTTTTCTTTAATGACAATCGGTCTCCATTTTGACGATCATTTCTGCCAGCGTCATGTATAAGAGGCCCTTACTGGAGATGAAAATGATATCCAATTATTTATTTATTTAAACTTCAATGCACAATTATATAATTAAGTGTACATGTCGGACTCTACACTTAATGGTGTTTTCTACCAGTCAACCGTGTCATTATATTCTTTATTTTTCATGTCACGTTTCGCTATTTCAAGAGATTTTACACTCGAAAATTATTATTGCTCCACCTCACAGCCATTCCATTCAATTTATGAGCGCGCCATTTTCAGAATTATCTCAAACATGCTATTGTATCTTCTCTCTAAAAGTTTATTATTTTTAAAATAAATCACTCAAGTGCAAATTAGATTTAAACATCGATTCCCTGAACATAATTTAAATCTGTACCTAAATTTTCTTGGTGTATATTTTACACGACTGCTCAATAAAAGAATGCAATATTTTTAGTATTTAAGGTTTTTTTTGATTCCACCATATCATTTGAGTGTCTGAACAGTTTTGCATGTATGGAGCATCGTTAGAATCCTTACCTTATCACGAGTGACACTGGCTATATTTTTTTAAATAGTTCGTTATTTGGCAGGGCAGTCAGGTTATTTAATTTATGAAGCAAAATGTACTTGTGTAAACTCAAGTTTCACATTTTTATAATAAATAATAGAAAAATAGATTAAAAATAGTTTTAATTAAGTAAATTTATATTTGAAGTTCCAATTCCTGAATGTAGCTGAGTTCACTAAGTACCTTGTAAATAGTATATATATATATATATATATATACACATAAATCTCGTGTCATGGTGTTTGTGGTCGCACTCCTCCGAAACGGCTCGACCAATTTTATGAGATTTTTTATGTAATATACATAAAAAAATCGACCTCACTATCAGATTTCAAATATGACTAATGGAACGAAGGTTTAGTCGTGTCTTATAAAGCTTATATATATTTTATATAATAAACTCATAAACTAGTGCTATGATACAATGCTGGTATGGTAGGTATGAGAATAGGTAGT